TATCAACCGTACAATCGGGACTCGCTAAGTACCTTGAATGGATAAGAAAGGCTATAGTCTCTGATAACGAAGTTTTGCGACCAAAAATTGAGTCAAGAAATCCCCACACACTGGCTGTTAAATTTTCATCCCATTCGACACATCCCTCCATGGACCATTGCCCCATCTCTTTGTGCTCATAGTGGAGTCCCAGATATCAGAGGGATGAAAAGCTAATAACCATCAAAAACAAATATGAAAGCTACCCGAAAAACGGGATGTTCTCTAGGTATGAACTGAAGTATGAAAAGGGAAATGTGCAGGCTCCATGAGGCCATAGTCTACCCTGCATGCAGTTGGCTGGGCGTCTCAACTGAAGCTCTGAGGTAGAGACTTTGTGGAAGGCTCACTAGCTGATGGCTGGGTAGCTGGGCTGGATCTTTCAAGGGCTGCTTTGAATGAGCTCGTTAAAAAGGGTAGCTCGACATTAAAAAGGAACCTAGCTCGCCTGTGTATTCATCTGTCTCTCGTGAGTGGACATATTCCGTGCCATGAAGCCGTATCTCGCTGCATTCTAGAGGTATTTGCACACCGATTTTGTTCTCTAGAAACCAACTATCGCTCCTGGTTGGAATTGAGCCAAGCTCACCATCTGAAAGAATTTGGATTAAGATATTGACTAGTTCCGTTTATCGATTCAGACCTTTTGGAGGAAAAACTTGGATAACAGATGTTAAGAATTTCGGGCTTTGAAAGGAACTCCTAACTCTATTCCCAGATTTGAAGGAAGCGAGTGGCTCTAGCTGCATGTGAATTTCGCTGACCGAGGACTACGATTGGGTTGGTCCCGTCGCTAAGAAAGCTCCCTGAAGAATATCCCTGATTATAGTTCTACTTTATGCTTATGGGGCTGGAGATAATGGAGATTTCAGAACGTGACTGGCTGAATGGGACGGTTATCCTAGCTGCGCAGAGAATACAGAGGACGCTGTACATGTATGGGGCAAGGAGGAGTGGTATTCGCAATCTCTCCGTACATCTGCAGGGATGGCGGATATCGCTGGCTTTTGATCACCCTTTCAGGCTAAGCTTTTCTGATCGGCTGAAAGCGAATGAAATGACAAAATTCTTTTGCGTGTGACCGATCCGAGTCATATTGAAAGGGGGGAAAGAAAGGAGAGCCGGGCTGGAAGGTTTCGACTCATCGGAGAAATAAATCACTCGTACGTACAAACTGAAGGGGTATATCGACGAATAGAAAAAAAAAGAAATAATTGGTACATCCATCTCGGCACAAAACTACAGACTAAAAAGGAAGATGACCAATAGTTAAAACATCCAAGTCGAAAAAGAAAAGAGAGTAAAAGAAAAAGAAAAAGAAAAGAAAAGAGGGCCTCGCCTCTGATTTCGTCATCTATTGCTTTTGGATTTCCTCTCATTAAAAGTTATCCCGTTCCCGTAACTAAACCCATATCCCATTTCAGAACTCATTACCGTGATTATTACGTACCTCAACGTCAACTGTGAACGTCCGCGTCTCCTTGATTATCCGCGACTGGCTCGACTGGCTGTTCGATTCATCCCAGTCTACCCCACCGCTTTCAACCTGCGACCCATGGCCATTACGTGCACGGCCATGGTTCGAGCTCAACACGCCCAGTTCGTTGAACTCGCCAGCCTCTCTGCGTGCTGCCCTTCTCGCAGACGACTTGGACCCGGATAAATTGTATCGATAAGATCCCTTGGCGGTCGATCGGCGGTATTGATCATCCGCACGAAGTAACCCGGACTCAAGGCTATCAAGGAAAGGTTTGAGGAACGGCATACATGCCGTGACGACTGCAAGGGATTGGAGAATCTGAGTGCAGATTGTCATCTGCCAGTAATCGAATGTCGCATTGCTGGTGTCGGGGACCTGGTTGAGAAAGTACAGCTGTAAAGCCACCACGACCACAACACTGTTGACCCTAGCTTTTAGTAACGATGGTTGTTGCGGTGTGTATTTGGCTTCTGGGGTTGACATACAGTAAGCGGGCTCCAAAAACAGAGCCGATGGTTATTTTGCGCTTTGTTGAAGTCTGAATCTGAGATGTGATGGTGATCATTAGGCCGACTTGGATAACATCGGTCAGAATGTTCATCGCCCCATAAAAATTCCAAAAGTTTTTCTGGTTTTGCAAACTATCAGCACAGGCCTTCCATAAGCATACCGGGGCTCATTCAAGAAAGATTCATACCCTTCCCACACAGATATTATTGACATAGTTCCATGGTTCAGGCAGACGGCATTGAAAACCGACCACGAACATTGATGACATTGTCCATAGGATCACTATGGTCCCGAGAGCATATATAGTGTATTTGTATTGCTTCAGCAGGGCAAATTGGAGGCTTAGAACAAGCAGGGCAATTTTCGTGAGGCATATGGATGTAATGAATAAGAAACTCGCAGCATAGTCGCCCTATAAGCTCATGAGTTAGTTTGCTCCGGAAAATATGTTTGGCGACAACACACTTTCAAAACTGTCTGCAGCTGAGATTCACTTAAAGTGTTGGTATATCTCCCCCATCCATTCTGATTCTGGATCCCAACAGTGATGGACTGCCCAATACAAAATGCCTAAGGGAGTTCATTAGTATTAAAACGCACCCAAACCGTTAAACAAGCAGTAAAATGATAACTATTCTCACCAGAGCTACCAGGATAATATAATCTTCAGTTGTCGGTCGTCCTCGAATCGCTATTTTTGTTGAAGTCGAGGCGATAACTGAGAGTACGGCGATGACCAAAAATATCCAAACGAAAATATCCACCAACGCAGACTTGTCGGTGTCTGTGATCAAAGTCTGCGCCATTCGCAAACTTAGATGAAAGTAATATCCACACCTCCTCTTCTCATGATAGTCACGACAATCAACCGCAAACAGGAAGCAAAAAGGGGCTGATGTTGAAGTGTCAATCGAAAACAGAAGTAGGAAGAATCACCATTATCATTGGCGATAACAGCAAATGGCAAAACAGTAAAAATAGAGGGAGGTTTTTCTCAAAATGATAAAAAAAATAAATAAATAAATTAGTATCAATCCGGATTCGATGGACAGGTACAATATTTAATGAAATATGTACTCCGTATATCCCAGGGAGCCTTGGGAATTGACAAGGTCGATGTGTGAGAAGTGAGGACGTTAGAATATGCGCCCGCAAGGATTCCCCTCACGCGAAGGCAATTTCTGGCGAGGGTAGTTAATTGATCTGCTGCGGCATGGCTGAGGACGTACAGTACAAACGAGCAGCGTGTGGAATATTATTATTATTATTATTATTATTTTCTTTCTTTCGTACGGAGTACACGCATGTGTATGCAAGGCTACTTCAATGGAGAGCTGGGGATAGTTTCGATTATCCGAGCCTCTCCAAAGAGCTTTCGGATTCTTGCTATTTCGGATCGGACCAAGCCTGAAGGCACGAACATGAGGCGGGAACCAGTCAGGCGGTTATGTCGTTCGAGTCTCGAAGATCAATGAACGAGCCATTAATGGTGGCGGGCCGCCCGCAGGTGTGCATCCTTATTTTTCTCGGTGAAGCAAGCCGAGATGGTGTTCAAACCTTGGCGTCATTGCCCAAAAAATTTCATCTGCTTCGTTCTCTCGCATGGTGGGACAAATAAGAGTCTCAAAAAAGGTTCCATCCAGCAGTCTATGTGGTTTGGAGAATCTCAGTAATGAATCATCTCGTCTGACGCATCATTTTTGTCTCAACTCTCCTAGTCAAGGGCTTTTCCTTTGGTCTCTTTTCTTTTCTTTTCTTTTATTTTTCGGACAGAATGGTGCCATAAAACCTAGCTGCCAGTTGCAACAGAAGTGAAAATCCGTTGGGAGATCCCGGATGGAGTGGTCGCTCCTGGGATCATCCTGGATCGGCGGCTTGTTGGATAGTCTGGGCCTATCCTCGCGCGTAATCTGGTTCGGACGGTCGTGAACAATTAAGATTCCGGGAAGTTCGATTTGCAGCAGGCGAGCAGGGGCCACTAGCCAGTTATCGATTGGGGATCCCGCATCGGGACGGATGTAACGATGCTGGCACAGGAGAATATTGAATAAGGATTCTCCCAACCAAGAGAGACGCCTTGGGGCAAGTCTGGCTAACGAAGGTGGACAATGCTGTTCAAGACCTCGAAACTGCCCGTCTGCTTCAGTACACAACATTCATGGAGATGATTAGCCACCTAGTTGGGCTCGTCCTCTCTGAGAGATGTGTACCTCAGCACAGAGGACCTCCTCCTGCGACGCAGGTCATTTTCATTCCCATTATTCGCTCAACTAACTCTGTGTCGTACGAAGGTGGCAGAGAGCCTTCAGCTTGGTACTCGCCATTTTCGTGGCCAATGAGGCCTCGTCTCCGGCAGAAAATGTACGTGTTTCGTCCAGATGCATGTCTGTACGGAGTACTCCGTACTCCGTTCTTCCTCCCACATCCATACACATTTTGAAATTAGGGTTCACTTCGGAGCAATAAGAAGCAGCAGAATTTTGTCCACAGGCTCGTGAGCTCCCGGAGTTAATTAGCAGCTAACGCATTTCTTGTGGAGTGGGCCAAAAACACTCCATCTACGCCTCGTATCCGTTTCCCCCCACACCCACGAGAAACGCTTTGAGCTAAGCTCTGACTGAAGGCGGAGGAGGAGGTTCACACCGTACTCCGTACTTGCGGGCAACTTTTTTTTTTTGGGTCCCATGTGGCTGCTAAAGATTTAAACGAGATGTCAGGCAGTAGAAAGGTGGATCCCGTTTGCATGTACAGCGTATGGAGCAATGGATGTCCTGGTGGCTATTTTGGACTTGGTCCAGAGAGGCTTGTGGCAACTAAGTCTCCCAGCGGGAAGAAATCCTTGGCGGCAAAAGTCTTTTACTTGGTAACTACTTATGGGTTAAGGTTAGGCGCTCCTTGTGCCCAGAGTGCCCTAAGGACTGCCCTTAAAGAACGCGGGAGCTTTACCTGATGGAGGCGCTGCTGTTAGGGTTCAGCCCGCTAGCCACACCGCTGCCAAACGCTGCAAACATTTACTTTCAACTTTTTCGTTATTTCGCTCGTTGTCGTCGTCGTCGTCGTGGTCTCGATCGCCTTTCATTCGATAGTGATACTGAGCAACAACAATGCCGCTGACAATTCCAGCGGAAAAGCTTGCGGGCTTGCAGATACCAGTGGACGGCGTGGAATCGAGCCTCCCCTTGGCCCTAGCCAGCGCCAGCCAGCGCCACTTCGCTGCAATATCAAGACAACTCTCCTGCTCCAACAGACACTTTCCGTCGATGAACCAAAGAAGTTCATCGTGATGGGCCCTGTCCAATAAGTATCTGGTCCAGTCAGGGATAAAGTACGACCTTGATGTCAATCTCTTCCACTAGGAGCCACACGCAGCAATCAAACTTCCACACTAGCCCCCGATACCCTTGCACAAGGATCCCAGCAGCGCGAGTAATGCCTGCATTCCACCCTCCGAACTGGTCCATGTGTGAACGAGTCCGTTAGTTCTTCTTTCGCCAACTGACTTGCAATCGCGTCGGGGAACAAACAGTGACCCATTTCGCCTAAGCTGTTCTCGCCGGCTGCGCTCTTTTCGATACTTCCGCAGTCTCAGCAAACCAGCTAAAACATGGCAAAACCACCCCCAGACCCCAGCTAGTTCCAGGTACCATGTCCTCAGGGTCGCGCCACGTCAAATGCACGGCTAAATTCTCGAAGACCATGCATTATTGTTCCAACGAGACTTAGTTTCCGCATACCGAGAGCTCGCGCTCTCTCCCTCACTAGATTTTCTCCTCTCCGTGCATTACACATTATTATTTCTCACAATATTACTCCGTACATAGTCAAGACCAGGCGCTTTCTTTTCGGTCGACGGAGTACTCCGTATTCTTCTTGAATTTCTTCTTTCTTCCCCGCCTCCCACCTTCTCTTTCTCTCTCTCTCTCTCTCTTTTTATTTATTTATTTATTTTTTTCCCTTCGAGGTCTCCTTCTTCTTCGCCATCTTCATCGTCTTTTGTCTGCTCAGCATTAGTCCGGGAGCCTTTGTTCCCCTTTTATACCCTTTTAATCGATGTTCAATCGATCCTTCAACCTGAGGGTAACTTCGTCCCATTGAACTTTGGTGCCCTTGACCATGATGAAGGAGGAAGTAGCTCAAGAGCTTGGCTCTTTGAATGGCAATGGAACCAAAGCTGGTGCCAGAACCCAAGCGAGCCAGGTTTCACAGGATCGGGATCGCGATGAGCTTCTTCGGCTGGGGAAGAAGCAAGTTTTAAGGGTACAAATTCATCCTCAACCTAAGTCGTGAGCGCAAAGCTGACAAGAGCCATCCCCTTTCGCCAGCGAAACTTTGCGTTTATGTCCATCCTTGGTTTCAGCTGTACCGTCCTTATTACTTGGGAAGGTGCTCTGATCTTATTCGTTACCGGTCTTGAAAACGGTGGATATGCTGGCCTGATATACGGCTACCTTGTTGTCTGGCTCGGTAACTTTGCGGTATTCGCTTCTCTTTCGGAATTGGTTTCTATGGCTCCGACGTCTGGCGGTCAATATCACTGGGTTGCCATGCTTGCGCCGCCTAGATGGAGCAAATTTTTAAGCTACATGACAGGGTGGGTTACTGTTCTTGGATGGCAAGCTTCCATTGCCTCCACTTGCTCTCTGACCAGTGGCCTTATTCAAGGCCTAATTGCGTTGACACAGCCCGACTATACCCCTCAAAACTGGCATGGGACGCTTCTGCTTTGGGCAGTCGTGTTATTCTGTGTCTTTATCAACACGGTTATCAGTCGACTACTGCCAAAAATTGAAGGCTTGATCCTTATTCTGCACATCCTGGGGTTCTTTGCTGTTCTGATCCCCTTGGTCAAGCTATCCGAGAAGGCGGACCCGGAAGTGATTTTTACAGTCTTTAAAAATGACGGTGGCTGGTCAAGTAATGGCTTGTCATTTCTGGTTGGCCTGACTGGAAATGCGTTTGCCTTCCTTGGTGAGTCGTATATCTCCAAACTGGGGCTGTTGGCGTGACTAACATTTCGCTTAGGACTTGATGGCGCTTATCATGTACGATTCTCCTTTTTTTCAAATGTGTTCGATTGCTAACAATTCCTTAGATGTCCGAGGAAATCCAGCGACCCTCTGTCATCGTACCGCGATCAATCATGCTTACTTTGGTGATCAACGGATCGCTCGGTTTTGGAATGATCATTGCTGTGTTGTTTTGCACTCAAGATATTGATGCCGCTCTTGATTCACCCACAGGCTTCCCTTTCATGGAAATCTTCAGACAAGCTACTTCTCCCTCAGTCGGAGGAGCCGCTGCCATGGCGAGCATTATTACTGCTCTTGCCATGTGTGCAAATGTTGGTTTCCTCGCCTCTGCATCAAGAATGGTCTGGTCGTTTGCACGCGATCGTGGTCTTCCTGGCTGGCGGATTCTGTCAAGGGTAATTTTTATCCCCATCATGAGAGTTGGAAAAAAAAAAAAAAGGAAAGAAAAGAAAAACTGATTACAACTAGGTCGAAAAACGCACAATGGTTCCTCTGTGGTCAATTGCGACCATTACTATCATTGCTATCCTGCTTTCTCTCATCACCATCGGCTCTCTCACGGCTTTCGATATTGTGGTCTCTTTGACTGTTGCCGCTCTATATATCAGTTACATGCTAGCAATTGCTTTGCTTCTCTACCGTCGCGTCACCGGAGGCATCTCCTATTCCTCGGATTCGCCAACTACGTTGGCCAATACTGCAGGGTCTCGCCTTGTTTGGGGACCCTGGCGGTTCGGCAAATTCGGACCCATTATCAATGTGTTTGCTCTCTGCTATCTCCTTGTGATTCTTGTGTTTAGTTTCTTCCCAGCCCGCACGCCTGTGACAGATCCCAACGATATGAACTACAGCAGTGTTTTGATTGTGGCAGTGATGGCCTTCAGCTTGGTGTACTATTTCCTGTATGCGAGAAAAACATACCAAGGTCCACTCGTGGAAGAGGAAGCAGTATCACTTTCAGGGTATTGATTAATGGTTACTGATTTCAGCATGGGGTTTAAGCCAAAGAAAATGGCAGCAAAATCGACTAATTATTTCCTTTAACCCCCTTTCAGCCAATGTTTTATAATATTGTCTTCATCTTCGAAGTATATAGTGGGACTGGCTTGGTATATATGGTTACAAGACAACAGAAATTCCCTTTGGTGTTCTGGGAGGGATCTATCGAAGAAAATTGTGTATTTATTGATTTTCAAGAGGAAGAGAAGTGACGAATCAATATATACCCTCGCCTATTTAGCCTTCGAGTTCCAGCCCAGCTGTAACCCCATCGACGAACTTCGCCGCTTCCTCCATCCCTTTCTTCATAACGTCAGCTTCATTGATCTCGCTCTTTTCACTCTGCGCGCGTTTTGCTAGAGCCTGTGCAACTGCCTGTGCAACCTTCTCATCGTCCAGGACACTCTTTCCATCATCCCCTACCATCCCCCCAGATCTCCCAATTATCTCCGTCCACACTGCACGCTCTCGCTCTCTCAACACCGCATCGCGCATAATGGCGTTCTTCGCCAACCCCAAAGCATGCAATTTGCCCATCGCGCTCGCAATACTACTACCCACCGTCTCCGCAAATTCATCAATCTGTTCCTCCACTGACGCGCACGAAGTCTTAGTCCCAAAGAAGAATCGATCAGTCGCGGAGAGATATATGATTCCCGCACATAGCGCGTCAAAGGTTGTAAGGCCTAGCGTTCTCGCCATGTAGAGACGGGTGTACAAACTACCGGGAATCAACGATGTGTTCAGCACACCCATTTCGTACGGGTTGTAGGCGGCTACGAAGCTTAATTCGGCCAGGAGGAAGAAGAATCCGGTCCAGAAGAATTTGGTCCTCCATCGTGCGGCGATGGGGCCGGCGATGGGCGCGGAAGTGACAATTCCGAGGATGAGAAGGTGAAAGAGGTGTGGGAGGAGGACGTTGGAGGAGATGTAGTAAATTAAGTATGACTTTGGATTTTCGGGGCCGCAGAAGGGGCAGGAGAGGAGCGTTTCCGGGCCGAAGCGGAGGTAGGTCCTGCGGGCGGCGGGAGAGGTGAACTGCGCTCGGAGTAAGGTGTCGAGGTGTGTGAGGGGCCGGATGCGCGAGACTCGGGTGAAGAGGAGCTCTGTGGGAGTGGAAAACCGCGAGGATGTTAGGGAGAAAATGCTTGAGGCTGGAGCATGTGGGTGAATAGGTAGGCTAAGGGTAAAGAAGAGAGCAGCGGAGAAGAAGAGGATATTCAGGGCACGGGAGCTCTGGGGAGTGAGCGGCTTCGGCGAGATGTGACGTCGCTGCGCGACGGATTGCCGCACCGCGCGGATTAGGGATATGGCACGAGGTATAAGGATGGGCGCGAAGAAGATGGTGAGGGATTTAATGCTGCATGATTACTGTCAGCTGGCGCCTCGCGTTGATTGAGGGCGAGAAGCGTACGTATCAAAGAGCGTCATGTTGATTCAGGCGGACAGGCTAGTCTTGGAGTGAGAGGTTCAGCATGCAAATCAAATAAATGACCGACTTGCATTGTCAGTGCCAACCAAAAGCAAGTGTGAGGGCCTTTCAGCAGTTGGTGGAAATTACCAACAATAGACCACGCTGGCGGTTAGAGATCGTGAAAAGGTGATGGCAGCGCCAAGCTCAAGCTCTCCCCAGACCGAAGAAAACCAGCAGCTTGGATTGTAACTATAGGCTCAGGGCAAGAGTAGTGAATTCATAAGTCCATGTATTAGAGAAGCCAATGCGACTTGCTAAAGGATAGAATAGCTATGACTAGATACAAGTACATTTAATATAAAGGGAAGATCGTGTGGACGCTATCTCTTCAAGTGCCTATGCTCGAACGCCTGAAACCCCCAGATTTCCCAACAGATAATCAAAGAACGTTTTCTTTCCCAATCGTGGGTAGACGAATTGAGAATATTATCTTGAAACCATCGCATGACTCGCTCTATTATGTTAAAGAATCATACCCGGTCGGAATACATTGCTGGGTGATGTGCCAGGTTGGGTACCGCCAAATCAGGTTCGGCGGTAAATTTGCCAAATTGATCCTGGTTATCATTGATCGGAGATGAAATCTTTATCGGGATTCTGGGTGTAGCGCGCACCGAGGCGGTTCTCGTAGATACCGCCCTTGGGCTAGAATAATTGGAGGAAGACGAGCGATATGTCGGGAGCGAATCTTTACGCGAAAGTTGGAAAGACTTGTGGCTGCTGTCTCTAGTGATAACCTTTTGCTCGGCAACAGCTCCATGAGCGCGGACATGGCGGGCCGTGACTCCGATGTTCCTATCTTGGAACACAAAGCTCTGAATGGCGGGCATTAGCAAACGATGTCGTCAAGAAACAAAAGGAGAAAGGCAGGGACATACAACAATGACATTGACAACTCCAACAATTATCACAACAATGCCGGAGGATATCACAATTCTCCAAAATGCTAATCCTAGAGACTTTTGGCTTGTAGCTTCTTTATTGAGGTTCCCAAGAGTTGACACCCCGAGGACAATCATAGTCGTTCCTAACGTGACAAATCCTGAATTCTGACCAAGCAACGGCCAATTGCGATTGAAATACGCGCGAAAGATGTTTAATTCGGAAACTATTAGAAAAACTGCATGTTTTTAGTACATACAAGCAAAATGATGGCAGCTATCTCGATAGGACTTACGACTGACACTAGCAACCACCACATGAGTGACGGCGTCGAAAAGGAAAAATTTGCTGACGATGAAGGTCTTGACCAGCATAACAGCGCAAGCAGCAATAACTGAGAGAAGAGCAATGATGTTCATAACCCTGACAACATTCAGGATCACATATCCCGGGCCGGCCAGGGGTTGTTTAATAAGAGCCATCTTTGAAGCTGAAATTTATAGCGCAATATGTGTTCGAATAGATAGCCGAGGCGAGATGAGCGAGATTCGCTGAATGAAAGAGACCCGAAGGGTTATATTTCGCGTATACCAGGGCTAGAAGGACGGGGTGAAGGGGAGAAAAAGAGCGTCGCTGGCGAAGATGTAGGAGCTTGACTGAAAAAAAAAAAAACAAAAAAGAAAGAAAGAGATTATGCCCTGTAGCCTGACAGGCAGTAAAAGATCTTTGAGAAATGGATGTGAAGGCTTAGCACTGCAGATTCAACATATTGTTGAATGTGCCATTGAAGGCCACAACCAGAGCGCCTCAAAAGCCAAAAGCAAAGGAAAGGGCGAAAAAACTCCTCTAAATAAAAAAAAGAAGAGTATTCAGGAGAGGAAAGGATTGATCACACTGGAGGGAGGGAAATATCTATGAGAGAATGGCTGTGAAACAAAGGTGAAGAATGAGAAATGACAGGAACCAGTCCATTGACTGGTGCATTCACAATGATTGAGAGAGCAGCCGCTTCTTGTATTCCATGTGAAGTGTTCTTCCCGCGTCATCGGCATTGGAAATCACTCATTTCTAGCAATTTCTGCCCTGCAATAGATAGGCAGCTAGGGGCAAACTCCATGTTTCAGGAAGTGCCTGCAAAGAACGGAGGAAAATAGCAGGAATGGAGAGCTCAAGACTCTCTGGCCCCCAGCCATCCCACCAAATCGAACAGGGCTTCTATGGACTGGCTATGGGAGTAAGTTGGGCAGCTTGACCTTGTTCCTGATGAAACGCATCGCCGCTCCTGGACGGGTGTTTTCTGCAACAAATCTGCATGCTCATAGGCCAGTTGTTTGGCGCCGGACTCTGACAGCTGTGTGGAGACAACCCCCTTGACAGCGGTTGTGCTGGTCCCCAGCGCTTATCTAAGTATACTTGGGAGTCTTTCCAAACTGGTATTATGAGAGAGGAAAAGCTCAGATACCGGCGTGATGGAGAGATTCCAGTCGACGATGGGAAGAGGTTGGGACAGGCTTGTCTGGATCCGGAAATTAGGGCTCAAAACCCGCAGGGCAGGCTGACTAGCTAAAAAGGAACAAACATAACAAACATTGCAAACAGAGCAACCCCACGTTCAACACGTGTGCTCTGCTTGGCTTAATTCCGGCGTGAGCGACAACGGTGTCGCCCAGCTCACACCGCTGCCTTTGCTCGTCCCTCCACTGCTCTCACTGCAAACTGTGTTCGAGTAAACCGCATCCAAGATGGCCCGTGGAAACCAGCGTGAGAAGGCTCGTGAGAAAACTCAAAAAGAGATGGCTCAGCAGGTAAAGCGCCCCTTCATCCTCTAACTGCTCCAGAAAGTTCAAATCCACGACCTCCGCCTCACTAGAGCTACGTTGAAATTGCTATCTTTGCCCGTTGCTTCTGTTAGATATATATTAACTCCGTGCAGAAAAAGAAAAATAATATGTCGGGGACTGAATTTGCCCGGACTAAAGAAGCTCAAGCAGCCATCATGCGTGCAAAACAGGAAGCAGGTACGAAGAAATGTCCCTTTCTCTTGCGAAGCATTTCGGAAGCTAATGAGACCCCTTTTGGTGTGTGTAGCCAATGCCAAAAAAGCCGCAGACGCTGCTGGCGGGGGTAAAAAGAAATAGCTACGTTCATAATTCGTTTTGCACCCTCACCGGTATATAATGACGGGACATTCGTATGGTCACTCTTGATCCGGCAATTTTATCCCACCCGCGAACTACGGAATTCATGTTAAGGCGCGGTGAGGGAATAGTACGATGGAGGCTGCCCTACTACAAAGGGTAATCATGCGTTTCTTGAGGTTTCCGTTTATTTCAGATGACGAAACGAAAGCGATTTTAATGATTTAGCGGCATCATTCAGTTGGAATAGAGCGTTTATATATATTATGTGTTAATGCCGCTAATTTACGGATTCAAAATGGTAAATCTGTGCTTCGCACAAGGCATCCAAAAATTTGAAGGAACGTTGTGGCATCCACTACCCCTTGAAATGAGCCTTCGCCTGAGCAGCTAAATCAGCCCAATGGCGGCGGATTTGTGTAGCATGGCCAGCTTCATTGTCCCGTCTGGTTATTCCGTGATCCATGCGGGAAAACGCCTCAAGGTCAAGTCGAAAATTTGATATGGCAAGTGCGACGAATACCCACAATGCCTCCCCTTCCCAGCCCACATCGAGAGCATATTTGATAGTCTTTTCGACCATGACTGTCTGGAGTGGTGCATCGTCGACAACCTCAAGCAAATACAACAGGAAAGTCCAACCAGAAATGTCGGGTGGATGGTCTAGACACCATCTATGCATCCCTTCAAGCAGCACGCTCGCCATATCCTGGAAGGAATGCAACTGGATATCACTATTCAGTGGGGTGGTAAGGATGTCACCGTGTTTTTGCCTTGTCATCTCGCTATTGAGTAGGTCTAGGCCACGATCTCGGAATCGGCTCAACAGGGCAAGGAGCTGGCGTAGATAGCTAAAGGCGTAATAGTTCATCGGGTGTTGCTCTCCAGCCTTCAGGCCTACCGCAAATTCACGTTGGAGAAGTTTTTCGCTGATCATCACATCATCCACGCTTGATTGCATCTGGGGTATCTCTAATAAAACTGATTGTATCTGGCAAGGGTCGAGTCTAAGGACTTCGGTCATGACCCAATATCGGTGGTACCACAAAGTAGGAGACTTAGCATGTCGGTGCAACGGAGAGCGAAGCAAGGTTGCAGTAAACGAAAGCTCCTCTTTAAGTGATCTAGCGTAGTCACTTGCCGGCAAAGAGCTTCTTAAGGCACAGATTCTCCGTTTGCGCCAATTGCAAACTGTCAGGTGCTCGGAGTCGAAGAGGAGGATGATTTCGGATGCCACTCTTATATTGGTATTAGTGGGTGAATCCGTTGTTTGCCCTACAATAACCGAATCCTCTCTAGCATTGCCATCCTTCAGTGACCCGAAGAAAGCCTTTCTTGCAATAAGAAATGCTTGGGCGAGAGCGCGCTTTGTGATTCCGATATTGGTTCCATCCTGAAGCAGTGGGCCGAACCCTGATGGGAGAATCTCAATATCGTAGATTTGCTCATTTCTACCAACGAATAACTTTGATAAAGATTGATAAATATTCTCTGAGTCAGACATTTGAGGTATCTCGCATTTTCTACTACCATATATCAAAGTGGTCTTGCATGAGCGCCTAGAGTTTGTTGTCAGCAGTTTTGTCAAACCTATCAAACATTTGATGCAAATCAAACAAACAAGCTTTCCCCATTTATTTATCGTCATCATCGCACAGCACGCACGTTGAGAATCGAACGGCCAGGTTCACCCTTCTCACTTGAAGCCCCCATGAGTGTGAAACTTTGACTATGGACACTCTCCTATAAACCATTTTTCCGGATCTTCTCATTGTATAGACATTCATCCACCACCTGCCAATGCACTGCCGCCAAAGCGCCTCAGACCTTTTCAACTGATTCCTCCTGGACACTGTCATCATGCCTTCTCTCCTCATTATCGTCCTGATCATTCATGTCGTGACCTATCTAATTAACACAATTGGCGCTAATACCATAGACAGTCTAGTATGAGTTCTCTTATGTCCCTCGATCATTAGCCGGAGACACGATCACTGGCACACAGATTCTAGTGTCTGATTGTTGGCTTGTCTTTGGGCCGTCGGAGGATTTCTTCTAGTTTAAGGGCTAATTTTGTTTTTTAAATAGCTATGGTTACTCTATCTCAAACTTCCCAACCAGACATCGCAAACAGCGAACGAGCAAAGGCGGCTGAAGCGGGAAGTCATGCAGCTCAAACGAGAAATGAATGCCACGAGTTCGCAGGATGAGTTTGCCAAGTGGGCTAAATTAAGAAGACGTCACGATAAGACTATGGAAGAGTACGAGGCGAAAAGTGCGTCCCGTTCCCCCTCCCACTCCCGAGCTTTAGCTGGTATCCTCTTATCACCCGTGTCCTATGCGAGATGGCAGGCACGAATACTAATTCAGTCTTTGGTATATCCAGATAAAGCGCTTGGCAAGCACAAGTCCTCGTTTGACTTAGCAGTTAAATCGATTAGATTCTTCAGTACCACTGGTTTGAAGCTTTTCCTTCAGTTCTGGTGCTCGAAAACACCGATATTCGAACTTCCTCGTGGATGGATCCCATGGCAGGTTGAATGGGTCCTGTCTTTCCCACGAGCGCCGTTGGGCACCGTGAGCATACAAATCTGGGGCGGCGTATGCGCGACTGTCGTCTCCCTTGCGGGAGACGCTATTGGTGTTGTGAATGTGTACTTGACTTCTAAAGCCCCTAAACAGAAAGAGCCGGCGACATCAGGAGAAAACTCTGCACGGCCTATGGCAATAAAAAAAGAACTATGACGACAAAAGAATTATGCTTATGATCCTTTAAAATGCGTTGTTACGTATGTACATTAATATTGATGATTATTTAAGACACGCCTGGAAGAAACACAATTAAAATTAAAATCAGGCATGGCATGTCCTGCCGAGGTGAACTGTTCATCAGATACTTGGATAGTCTTCAACGGTCTTTGCTCAAGGCAGTAGACCTCTGTGCTTGACTCTATAAAAATGTTATCGTCATTTGAACATAAGGACTGGATCCGACCCCTTCGACAGGGCATCTGTGATAGTCCACCAAGCGAACTAGGGACTTCTCACCGCTTTCCATAAGCTACGGACCCGAAAAATGAGATAAAAAAAAGTTTAACTCCTCGCCTCGAGAATAAGCCCCATCGAGTTATCCATCGAACCAAGAGCCATGTGGCCCAAAGTCGAAAAGACAATCGCATAGCTATCCAGCCACGGCGAAGTGCAATCGTATCCTGCCTGGACCCCATCACCATACTCCATTGTTTCCCCTAGAAGCCTCCTCCCACCCGGTACCCAGAGAGAACCCAGAAGGACCAATAGCTTCGAATGAAGTACCCCAAGCGCGGACTCATATCATCGTCCTGGTCCGTCCCGTCGAAACGAGACGGTGGTCTTGAAGCAAACCAAGCGAAACCTACTCCAGCAGGAACCATGGAATATCGGAAAGGAGTGCGGACGGCTCACGCGGCTAGGGTCGAGTCGATGATAGGAGGCAAGGAAAGACATCAGCCGCTATCAATTGCTTTTATGGCGGCGCGTTTCCGCATTGCCTGACACAGTATGTTGTGCAGGGTGCCCGGGGACTTTCTCCCAAAGCTATATGGTATGGACGATCTCGAGTTGAGAGTCCTGTGCGTAAGCTTTGAATGCGATTCTTCGAGCGAGGAGTTAGGAGAAGAAAAGAAGAAATCTTGGATTCGGAAAATGCTGCGTTTGGTTTTTGTTCTGCTTATTCCAGTGCTAGACCAGAATAGGAAAGGTACGCTTATTAACAGTCTTGGCAACTTCGAAGAGCAAACGGCGTTGGTCGCTGGGAACCTCGGCCGGCGGGCCATCAAGGTGGAATTTATTCCTTCAAAGTGCTTCGTATGGGGTACGGAAAAGCCTAACCAACGATCCCACCTAGGGATGACGCCTCATTTATATTACACGAGTCAGGTATTGTTTCAAAAGTCCGACTCTAGCAATCCCATCATATGCCTGTTGCCCAAATACCAGTCTTCTAAAGACTGCGCCATCTCAACGTCAAAAAGTTCAGGAATTGCTTCTACGCCGTCATTATTGCCAATATCGGCATGCCCTCTTAGCATTGAAGGTGCCAAAGACGGTCCCAGGCCAAGAGCGTTCAAATAACTGTCGAATTGCTCACCCGGATAAGCAATTGGTTGGTATTCCGAGGTGGTATTTGTGTTCTCAACTTCCTGGCGTTTTGCATCCACGTATACCTTCGCAACCTGATAGAACACCATACACAAGCGATACAATCGCTCAGCACCTTCTGAAAGACTCCCTGCAGCCTGTAGACTGGTTGCGACCTCTTCGAGCAATTTCAAATCGTCCAGGTCACCCGAGGATATGGTGTGACAGAAAATTACCAGGAAGGGAACGAAAGGGCATTGCAAAATGGTCCTATGAGTATGTTATAAATCAATGTGACCGTACCAACTCAGATTTGGAGGGCCATGAGGATAATCGGGTAGAAAAGAGAAGCACGTACCAATCTACATATCCTTTCATCACATACGTGTCTTTCGCACGAAATGTCAACATGACATGTTGGTGAAGTTGTAGGGCTCGTCTAGCAGACTCTACACAGAGTAAACTCAGGCCGGACGGAGTTTCTGGCGGTTGTGTAGGCGGGAGCGCGCGATATACCAAAGTAAGAAGCAAATAGTAACTCAGGTCTGCGCCTGGGATCATCCAACCAAAAAAGAAAGCGTGGTATGCGTCGCCTGGTTCAAATCGGGCCATTGTGGTGCGCCAATCTTTGATTTCTTCCTCGAGCTTCTGGGCTTTCCTCGAACGTTCTGCCGCACTATCGCATAACGCCCGGGCAGAGAAGAGAAGTTCGTAGACTCTGCCCACAATTTTGCTGTATTCAGTCCAATATTGGTAAAGCAGGCGCCAGGGGCGTAGGCCAGGATCATCTGGCAATTCCGGGTATTCAACCGCGATATCATAATCCTGGAGAGTAGAGGTTCTGCCCAAACATAAAGACATGCTTTTATCCATCATATATATGAACCAAAAAAGTGATCTTTCTCTTGTAACATTGGTAGGAGTATCCCCTCCACTCTCGTCCCTTCTGGGGAATGTACGGTGATAGCCCAAACTCTGGCACATTCGAGCTGCCACGGCAGTGAAATTCCAACAAAGCGAAGTTTTGGAAAGTTCAGTTGCATGAAAGGCCTTTATACTGTCAGCACTTGAGACAAGGTCTATGGAGGATGGGGAAACACACTCCAAAAGCGAGCGCTAGAATATTATCGTAGTTTGGCTCCACAAACAGGTCAAAACTGCTAATAATGGTTTCAAAATTCAATCTACACATATCAGAGTATTCGTTAAATTTGTCCTTTAATGTGCCATTCGGTCCATAATATGTGTATTCTTTGAAAAGATACGAAAGTGCGCAGTTAACAGTAGCAAACTGGGCACTAGAGTACTCGTCGGTGCAAAAATATAAATCTTTGCAAAGTTGAGTGAAGGACGGCAAATCCAACATCGGAACGGTGAGAAAAAAAATAGGATAATGATCTAGGACAAGTAAGTTAAGGTTTGCTGCAAAGGGAATAAATAGAGGCATGCCTTTCGAAAGCCGAAGCATTGAAAGGACAATATCCAAGGGGGGTAGCTCCAGCTGAGAGAGATCAAGTCTTTTCCCCGGTGACTGGCCAGGAAATCGCAGTACATGCATCCCACAGGGACGAGTTTGCCCTTTCACAATATCTCGCAATGACGATAGGGCTTGGATCATGGCTGGATTCTGCTCTATATTCGGACTACTTCCCATCGTCTGTTCGAAAATAGCACTTGCAAGAACCGAATGCGCACTGAGGGCGGATTCTCCTTCAAAATGCGCACTCGGGGTGGTTGCCTCTGATTTTTGGATGACCGAACGGACCTTTGCGCCGTCATTTTGTCGTGAATGGTCGCTTGACTGTCGGGTGTTGGGTGGCGCTTGGCTTGAAGTCGGGATGGATAACGCGAGATCTTGTAGAAGGCGCTCAATGCTCGTAAGCCTCTCGTCTATGGTCTCTATTTTCTTCTCGCTGGATGGTATTAGACGCTTATAGTGGCACGTTAGACAACAGCGAGTCATACTATTGATGCGATATCAAAACCCTCTGGCGCTGCTCTTTTACTCTTGGGGAGGTTCGACAGATACTCTTCGCGATCCGGCAGTTTGAACATGGAGAAGCTCTATCACATTTGATCTGTAGATCCACTTTTAGCAACCATAACTACAGCAAGGCGGGCGGAATGATGATGTCTATATCCACTCTTCTGACCTTACGGACACGACAATTGTCACACTATTGGAGACATTGTTAGTGCATTGTAGCTGCGCATTCAACAAGGGGTGCTTTTAATTGTTTTACCGCGCGAGAAGCTAAGACAGGTCGCTCAGCCGATGGACCTCCATTATTGCTTTCGGAATCCATTTCGAATATTTATGTTGTGTATACACCTGGCCGGTAACTCCAAGAAGGCTGGACTGGATGACGTGCGGGACGCCCAAGTCTGAGTTTGTTCAGCAGGGTGAAGTGTTGCTTAGATAGATCCTGATACATCCAGGAACCGCCATTCTTCCTTTTCCATTGAATTATTCACAATGTGTTTGGAGATTGAGTGGTGAAAGTTCCACAAGTCTTCTGCCGCTAGCCTCCAGGCTCCTACAAATTTTAGATCCTTTGCTGTGACCAGTGACTAACTAGCTAGTAGTAAGTTGACAAGGCGGGCCGTGCCAAGCCCTTCTTAACCACGTCCTCGGTTTCTCTGAGGCGTACGGAGGATTAGTTGTCTCTGTGCGTGAGGCAGGTCCTTTTTCTATCATTGATTTATCAGTGCTATGGACCATGATATAATGCATGCGATGTCGCTGTTTACAGGGTAGGCAATGCCACCTTTGACTAGTTACCAATGCCTCCCTTTGAACAGTTTATCCGCTCTAACTAGTAACTAGTTTGAAGGGATCGTTGGTGGCACAATTATATATACGCCACAAACATCAACTTATTTATATGTGTATCATCCAATTGCTTTTATAAACCTTAGTTTTTTCTACAAAGAGCAGAAGGAACTCCTTTTGGTGTACTCTAAACAAATCTGTTGGCGCGCTGCAACCAATGTAACGGTCTTTGAAGGTTCTTAGACCTTGAGGTCTGCCGCCGCAGTATTGAGGAGCTAAAGTAGGATTCTTGTCAGCATACAAAATCAAGAACTCCGAGGGCAAGTCTTACATCAATTTTATATTGCTCAAGAGCCCTGTCAACTTCTTCAGTAATGAATTTCTCCACTTGCTGAGGTGCCCTGCCAATGAAGCTGCTCGGGTCCAAGAGTTCATCGAGCTCGCCGATAATTGGTTTGAAAAAAGCTGTCCGCTTGATTCGTTCAATCAGGTCGTTTTGTCCGCCTTCGTTCTTCACAACTGCCGCGGCTTGGTGAGACAGCACCCGGATTTCCTCATGGCTTTCTTGGCGGCTTACGCCATGGCGTGCCAAAGCCATGATGACATTCTAGAACAAAATTAGAGTTAAGGTTCTTCAAGTCGACAAAAAAGAGGAAAACATGGGCTACACAGCACCTCGGTGGCCATAAAGGGAAGTTCAGCAGCAACTCGAGAAGCAATAACCTTCTCGTAGACGACTAAACCGTTTGATATGTTATCTAATAGTATCAGGCATGCATCGGCTGTAAGAAAGGCCTCAGGAAGAGTAATGCGACGATTAGCAGAGTCGTCCAAGCTACGTTCAAACCACTGTATGCTGTTAGTTCAGCCTTCGAAAGGTTTGTCACAGCCCATACCTGAGCAGCATAGTTAGTGAGTCCATTTTGGGTTAAACATTGCAGATGACGCCCGAGAGAGCAGAGGCGCTCCGAGCGCATGGGGTTTCTTTTAGAAGTCAGCAAAGAATAAAAAATGCTTATTTTACTGCACACTCGTAGATTTAACTAACCTTTTGTAGGCCATCGCAGACGAGCCAATCTGGTCTTTTTCGAACGGCTCTTCCATCTCTTTCATCGCCGCCAAACGACGAATGTCGCCTCCGATACGCTCGCTATCAAAAATATTAGAAAGCTAAAACATCTACACATTCAAAAGGGTAATTACCAAGTAGCCCCGAACTCTCCAAGATAGTTGATGATATTGGTATCCACTTTTCTCGTGTATGTTTGAGAAGTGATGGTGAAGGCCTTATCAAAACCAGCTTTCTCTGTCACAAGTTCATCAAGGCGTTCAACGAGGTCATCCTTGCCATGAAAGATTTGGAGGAATGACGCCTGCGTCCCAGTGGTACCTTTGCAACCTCGAAACCAAGAAAGAAGGGATTTCTTAGCATGTTCAAGATTATGGAGGTCCTGTAAAGCAATTAGTAGACCCCTGGCACAGTTTAGTGGCTACACATACCATCAACAGATCTGTAATGAAGAGGCACATTCTTTTGCCTGTTGTAAGTTAATACTTCACTCCCATCATCAACTCTACTAAGGGCTAAAATAAATAAAAATAAAAATTAAGAAATGGAAAAGAAGGGTAAAGAGCCCTACCAACTGTGGTGAGTTGCGCAGGTTGGCCTGGAGAGATAGTTAGCAAATGCGTGTCAGCTGCTCTTGAAATGACACACCATGAGTGTATGCTAGGCAGGGAAGATCCTTATACTGCTTTGCAAACTCGGACAGCCTTGCAATAACAGTAGCCAACTTCTTGAGGAGTATATCCAGGCCGTCACGAAGGAAGATCCTAATCCTCTTTTAATGATACTATCAAGCTGACGGCCATAATGGGGTCCTTACAAGTCCGCATTATCAGTGACATAGCACGATGTCGCGCCAAGGTGAATGATAGGAGCGGCGGCGGGGCAAGTTTGTCCGTAGACCTGAGAGCAGAATTAGCATTTGGATCTCATATCAGATCGTGGATTCACCGGGTTCACTAGGATTCATACGTGGACATGTGCCATCACATCGTGTCGTCTGCGCTTTTCTTCCACTGCAGCATCGGCAAGCTCTTGATCTGTAATGGTCTGATGGGCACGCATCTGCTCCAACGCCTCATCAGTTATATTTATTCCCAATTGCTGTTCTGCCTCCGCCAGCCATGTCCATAACTGGCGCCATGTGGAGAATCGTTTCCGGGCAGAGAAGAGATGCTTCATCTCCGCGCTACAATAGCGAGTATTGAGCGGGGATTGATAGACATCGAACTCGGAGGAAGCCATGATAGTCGAAATTAACTGTGTCAACTTTAGTGTAGAGGCTCGGTTTATCGCTGAAAGGTCGATTGTCAAGGGTACGTTATTTTTCTTCCATAGGAAAAATAAACTTCACACTCGAAGTACGGAGTACTTAAGGACACTTCTTTCGAGCTTAACTACATGGAGGGGCAGGGAAAAACACAACCTTCAAGCCCACCGCCTGCACCTCCAAGTGTATCACGTGGTATGACGCAATTGCCCTGGTGTCAGCAAATGCTCTGGCCGACAGGAGCATGCATCACAGGCAGGTTTTCATTCAGATCCCCAGGGAACAGATAGGGAGTTTCTGAGTTATTGGCTGATTCCCAAGGCTCAATTTTTAATGTAGCATTTTTGGAAGCTGCTGAAGTAAACAGATCAGTGGAGCTTTGAACATTTAGATTGATGTACTAACTAGTTATGTACTCTGTAGGTAGGGCCTGTTAAATTTTCAAAAAGATCTTTGTGCCACGCAACGGCTGGTCAGTGTGTGTCAACCTGTATATCCACATCTCAGGAACAACAGTCATATGTTCAGAATGCAGGAAATAGGTAGCAACAATGGAAAACAATCAGGTTATATAAAATAGGACTGGAGTCGAAGGCAGGAAGAATGGCCCTCGAAATGTACCCAAAGCGGCCAAACTCCTTACACACAAGCAATACTGCTCCGGGGTATCTCGTTATTCCGAAAACATCGTAAAGGCAACACTACATAAGGATTCCACATAATAGATATTTTAGGTACCAGAATCAGGGGGTGGGAAGACTAGTACGAAGCTGATCAAGCATCATTTCGCGTAACCTGGCCTCCTCTAGTATGATCATAGGTTTATTATGTCGCCAGCGTCTCCGAGCGCTCAGTTCTACCGGGCCAACGGAGTCGTCGCCGATCCCACATTCCTGATGTATAGTCAGGAACCCCAAGAGCGTTGAGCGGAGACAATCCCACATATCTCTAGGTCCTGTACGCTTGTATCGTTTGGCAACTCGTAACATTCGAGATACGAGCCAATTTCGCTCACCATGATCCGATATTTCCCCGCCTGGGAAGCCACCGTTATCCAAGAATATCCAAAGTATAGATGCGATGCTAGCACCGCCGTTGGGATTGAGCTTTCTAACTTCAAAATTGATCCACGCCAAATAATCGTTAAAATTTCGGGAGGTCAAATAGTAGTCGTAAAGCGCAAGATTAAGATATAGCAAGCATGCCATGCAGCAATGCTCATCAATATAGCGAATATCACGTATGCCGTGATCGTAATCTGGAAGGGACGACAGAATATTATATAGTGGCGAGAGGCTGTCAAAAGGTGCCCTGTTTTTGGGTAGACTGTCTTGCTCCAAATCCCCGATTTTCGATAAAGAAGAAGGGCCAAGGAGGAATTGCTGCAGCTTATTAAGTGAATGGAAGAACGAAAAGAAATCCTCACAAGATTGAAGAATGCTAGTGATTTCTTGATCATCGGAAAGGGCTGATGTGTCCAAACAAAGTCTTGGGACCATAAACGGAAGCGTAGGGGCTATGTCTGGGGTATTTCCTGTCCATGGAAGGGAGGTACCAACAATGGCACTTGGCGCACAGCTAAAATCCACCCTGTAGCCTGTTTGTTAAAAGGTGATGGTTGTAAAACCGAACTGGAAGTGAAATGCATACCAATAAAGGATCTTTTCCATGAATTGACTTGTTGGGCCTGCTATACGCATCCCTCGCATTCCACCACGTCTCTTTAGTAGTTGTATAAGCCCACGAATGTGCAAGCTTTCAACGCTATCAGCTTTAGACCATTTCTGAGAAAGTTATATATCAGCAATTTCAGAGATTTTCAGGTCGAAAATTTAATATGACAAAGAGAGCGCGTACTTCAATTACAGCCATGCTCGCTGCTGTATATATGGTACCTTCGTGCTTTCCCCAAGGATCATTCTTTAAACGTTCATTTAGCAGTCTCAACGCACGCATTTTGTGGGTTAGGGACAGCACTGTGTCAGTTTGACCATGAACGCCAGCCATATGTTTCGACGCGACAGCTAGCATGGCCTGAAAAGGAACGGGGTCGTGAATCGCAACCCGATGGAATATCGCTCTAATCGGATTAAGTTGGTGCGCATGGCCCATCTTGTACATCATAAGGGGGTATCTCGTAATAACTTCTAACGCTGTGAGTACAAAGTTTATAATAGCTAATACCACTCTGGAATTATACATAAATCCGAAGAGGACCATACAGGCGATCAGCGAATACGTGGCAACTTACAGTGAGGTATAAGATTATGGTCACCCTTTCTCAACGCCAGCGGATAACTATCAAAAGGGTCTATAACTCCAGAGCTTGGACCGGCTTGTGGATCTAAACCCGGCAATCCACGAAATGGTTCCCGTTCCCTGATCTCCTCATCGGTTCGCGGAGCGAACAAAGCGAGTGCGTCTAATTCCCCGAAGTCGATAGAGCTCCCGCTGGACTCGGAATTGGAAATATTTTTCGAGTCGCAGGAGCTTTCGTGGTCCTCTTGTTTAATCGCTGGCGAAGAGATGCCATCGCTGCCAGCTCCTGTGGTCGTCCATCCACGGACCCTTGCCTTGTTCGACTCTAGCCGGGCAATACCGTCCAGGCGGCGCTGATGAACATATTGTCGCATTGCATAGCGGCGAACCTGCCTACGGGATTCGGAATCTGTGACCAGGACGAATTCAAACTTCCTAGGACCCTCTCTGCCCTTGGAGGGCGGAGTTGGCTCTCGAGCTTGATTGGCGCGAGTAGGAGCTAGATCGGTGCTCGTCTGCAGGACACTCGACATCCTAAAGTCATTCCCATCATTGTTATCTGGGCCGCTTAAATCGGGTGCTCTACCACGAGCAGAAGTACTCCTGGCAGCCTTTCCCATAATTCCATCTTCCGTTGGGATTTTTCTGCCAGAAGATCGGCAACCGTCGGGATCACAGGATTAGGGAAGGGCCATTGATTGCGGCATCTAGCATCTGCTCATTCAGAGCGTCTGAAGCGGAATTCAATTGTAGCAATACTCACCGTTCAATGACTTCTGCCATCCAAGTTCCAAGGCGGGTCAGGAATGAGGTTCAGAGACACATTTCCAAATCTGACAAAGTGGAGAACGTATCTCCACGTGATCATGCTATTTTTAGACACCCGATCCGCAAAAATTACATCTAGAACAAATGATCGAACCCGAAATAATACAGAGTTGGGGCATCGAAAATTACGAGTCCGCAATTATCATCCTTATTGTTCCAGCAATTCAACTGATGAAAGATGCAAATCCCCCAGCCTAAGAATGCAGGAATACCTGTGATAAAATCTGTCAAAATTAGTGCAAAAATGTTCTTCACATTATTCTGTGAGGTAATTATGGTGTATGTCACCATACACAACCCAGGGGTTGAACTGTGGGATATGTGAACAATTGCAGGATGAATCCCCTTACAATCCATGTTGGGGTCAATCAGGCCTCTATATATCTATAGAGTTAATGGTGTAGCTCCTTTAAATGCCTTTGTCTGTGGAGCAAAAGCACATCATCTTCATGGATTTCCACCCGAGCCATCATTCTTTGAGCTACACATTAGGCGACCTCCACTTGGGTATCAAAAACAATTCCTTCTCTGTGTTGTTCGATGTATTCTCAGCAAATTTCATTTTCCCTTCCTTAACCTTGCCAGCGCGGCCATGATGCCATCGTTAATTTCCTCTTGTCCATTTTCAATTTCTTTTGTGCATCGATTGCTAGTATCAGTTGTACAGGCGACACTCTCGCCCGATCCTATCACAAGTGATGGCTCACGTATATCTTTTCTGGTGTTTGAATGGGCATTGATCCGTTCTTGCTCGACTGCTTTGTTGAAAAGCTCACTCATGTACCCTGGTTCGGCACCAGCTCGAGTTTGCGTTTTGGCGTCTTCCGCGCCAACACTTATTCTGGAAGCAGCCGTTTTCGTTGTCACCGCTCGTGTTCTAAAGTCTTCCTTCACGGCATTTGTCCACTGACTAACCTTTTTCTCTCCCCAGCCAGGGACCGAGTTTATCTGTTCTGGCTGGGCATTGATCGCTGCTCGCAAGCTTCCAAATGTAGAAATCAAACTAGCAGCATCCGACTTATTGATGCGCTTTGGGGTGGTAATAAATTCCACCAAGCTATCTTTGTACGAATGTGGCTGTTGAGATCGTATTGCAGTTGGTGGTGCATTCTCCGACGATTTAAATAGCTCCAGGTAGTGGCCAGCTTCCGCTGCAGACCAGCATAAAATGAGAGTCAGGTTATTCACAACGGAGGCTTTAGATAGCTCTTTCAAACTATCCTCATGGTTTGGTACGTCCACCATAATCAATAAAATACGTAAATCATATTTTCCACCTAATAGCTTTATCCGGGAATAGACATATTCAGGGTGTAGACGGTGATATTTTAGCGAGAGGAAAAGCGCACAAGTCGTCGCCCCAAGGACGTAATCCGCCGGGATATCGGCATATTCCCAAGGTAGAAGGCGCACATGATTCAGAATTGGATTTCCTTTCTGCCGTGCGGAAACAAGGATGGCGGAACGAGCGCTGCGATTAGCTATAACTTGTGGCTTTGGCTGTTGGATTCTGTTCGACTGGACGGGAGGCTTTGCGGGAGGCACTTGGGGTGCGGGCGCCGGTATTGTACCGTCAGTCGCGGCCAAAGAATCGAAATCCGGAATTTCACCAAAGTCTTCTTCCATCGTGCTCAAGCTGTAACAGTGGCCCCTTTGTGTTGCATCTTTGTTGAAGCCGAGATGGAGCTCGGGAACAGCGGAGATAAGCGCCGATTGACTATTTCTTACAGGCAATTGTACCGTATTGTAACTGATAATTCTCCATACAGCAGAGAACTTTAATATTTTCTTTGAAAGCTTCAGCCCACGACACGAGCGGAAATCAAGTTTATCAGCAGGCGAACAATGATGGAAACACGCAAAAGAAGACGCCTGTCTGACAGCACCAATTTGGAATCGGAGCCACAAACTCCACAGGATGGTCAGAAGAGCGAATCTCCCAAGGGAGAAGCTCATTCATCCTCAAAGAAAGCCCATCGCAGAACGCTTTTCGTGCGATCATTACCCCCGTCCGCAACCACAGAGTCGTTAACGGAATACTTTTCACAATCCTATCCTATAAAACATGCCACAGCTGTTGCCGATCCGCAAACAAAGCAATGCAAGGGTTATGGATTTGTGACTTTTGCAGATGTTGAAGATGCCCAGCGAGCTCTAGGGGAATTGAATGGTTCCGTGTTTGACGGTCGGAAACTGAAAATCGAAGTCGCTGAGCCGCGCCACAGAGAGATTGATGAAAAAATTGGGAAAAGTGTGCCTTCTGCTGAGGCGACAAAGCTGAAGGAAGAAAGGGAGCAACGGAGAAAAGAAGCCCAACCGCCAAAGCTTATTGTTCGAAACCTGCCATGGAGCGTGGGGGAACCCGAACAATTAGCTGTGCTCTTTAGAAGCTATGGCAAAGTGAAACATGCTGTTATTCCAAAGAAGGGATCCCGCCATGCCGGCTTTGGTTTCGTTGTAATGAGAGGGAAGAAGAATGCCGAGAAAGCGCTTGAGGGAGTTAACGGAAAAGAAGTAGACGGAAGGACGTTAGCGGTGGATTGGGCCGTTGATAAAGAGGTTTGGGATACTTTGCAACAGCCTACAGACAATACGGCAGGGAAACTAGAAGATGGACAGACGGCTGTGGAAAACGGAGTTGATGGACATTCTGGAGTAGAGAACGACTCTGCCAAATCAGATGATGCCATTGAACCAGGCACGGATGTTGACGCTGAAATGGAAGACGTTGACTTCCATGGCTCAGGAGACGAAGAAGGTGAAGAAGACGAGGAGCAAGAGGATGACGATGACGAGGAAGAAGACGGTGATGATGATCGAAATGCGTCCACCGTGTTCATTCGAAACCTCCCTTTCAGCGCCACGGACGAGACCCTTTATGAACATTTTACCCGGTTCGGCGCCGTTCGTTACGCAAGAATAGTCGTTGATCCTGAAACCGACCGTCCTAGGGGAACTGGTTTTGTCTGTTTCTGGAAGGAAGACGAAGCTAAAGCATGCATCCGTGAATCACCGAAGCGGACAGAAGAAGTACTATCTAAGGATTCGAAGCAAAAATCTGCCTTTGCAATCAAGAAGTCTGTCCTTGAAAATGAGCAAGCGGATCCTTCAGGCAAATACACCATAGATGGTCGTGTGTTACAAGTATCCCAGGCAGTAAGTCGGAAGGAAGCGAGTAGGCTTGAAGCTGAAGGATCCTCGCGTCGTGATGCCCGAGATAAAGATAAACGGAGACTCTACCTATTATCTGAAGGAACGATTCCTACAAATTCACCCTTATATTCCAAGTTATCTCCATCCGAAGTTAAAATGAGAGAAGCCAGTGCCAAACAGCGACAGAAGCTCATAAAAAGCAACCCAATGTTGCATATTAGCCTTACTCGACTTTCGGTTCGAAATATTCCAAGGCATGTTGATTCCAAGGTTCTAAAGCAGCTAGCACGGGAGGCCGTCGTCGGTTTCGCAAAGGATGTCAAGAGTGGTCACCGCCAGCCATTATCAAAAGAAGAGCTCTCCAGGAGTGCTGAACTCATGAAAGAGCAGGAAAAACTACGGAAAATTAAGGGAAAGGGAATTGTGAAACAAGCCAAAGTAATATTTGAAGGAAGAGAAGGTAGCAAGATCTCAGACACAAGCGGAGCAGGACGCAGCAGAGGATACGGATTTATCGAGTATACTTCTCATAGATCCGCATTGATGGGTTTACGATGGTTGAATGGCTACGCTGTGGGTGTATCACCTGGGTCTTCGAAAATCGACCCGGACGAGAAAAAGAAGCGCCTTATTGTGGAATTTGCCATTGAAAATGCGCAGGTAGTGAAGCGAAGGCAAGAAGCGGAAATGAAAGATCGCACTCAAAATGAAAAGAAAACGTCGACTAGGGAAGGCTCGGATGCTGTTAACAGCTCTGGAGGAGCAAAACGTGAATTGAAGAGGAAACGAGGTGATCGATCAGCAGATGCACGCAACGCGAAGAAGGCCAAATCCTCAACGCAGGCGTCCAATGGTGCGGATAAATCGGATGATCAGAATCATATCGCGAAAAGGAACCGTATAATTGCGAAAAAACGCATGCTGAGGAAAACGAGAAAAGGGAAATAAGGGCATTGGTCTTACATGGTCCCAAGACACCCAACTTGTCAATTAGCAAACAGGCTTTCATCTCAAGAAAAGAAGGATTTCCTTTCTGTGACGATGTCTGTTCTGTATATACTCGCTGTAGTTATTACGGGCTATCTACAGCCTCCAATCCTCACAATGCTTACGGAGTAGCTCTGGGCGTATTTAACATGCGGCATCCCCACCAATGATGTATACCCAAAATACACGATAGGAGCAAATCGTATCTCTTAAGGGGTCAGTCTTACGCTCCACCTATATACGTCGATTCAAGAACCAGCTGAACCTGCCATGCCTGCCTTGAATCATTCAAAGGCATCACGCCCGCTTCAATTACTTGGGTTCCACCATACCATCCATCGCATTCATGTTTGTTAAATATTCGATGCCCCTTCCACCTTTCCAACAATATTATATCTCTTACTGAAAAATGAAAACCATTCTTCAAGAACGCCCTTTTCCTTATCCTCCAAATCCTGCCATTCCGGTCGGCAATCTTCCGGCTTCAGGGACGAGCGTGCTAGAGCGCGCGAGGCATCTTTTCCGGCAAAGACTGTGTTGTCCACAAGTCAGCGTATATGCGATACAAAGCCCGGGTGGGATCTTTCGCGTTAGTTTACCATTGTAGTTTCCACCAGGTTTATAGGCGGGGTTTCCAGAGACATCAAAGACGATTCCTTTGATCGCGACGAGGGTCGGGCGGCTGGGATCTTTACCTGTTTGTTGGATAGGGCCATTTGCCCCGCTAGGTTAGGATAATGCTAACCATAAATATCAAATCCGTGCTTTGAAAACGACAAGGACGGACGCTCGACGTACCATCGGATCGGCTGAGCTCGTCAAGAGAGATGGGATCATACTTTGGAGGATTAAGGTTCTTCACCTCGGGCGACATGATACCCTTTCGGGCAGCCATTTTTCACAGTCGCTTTGCTTTGTACGGGCGATGGCTATGACAGTGAAATCGACCAGAGTCGAGTCGAGGATGCTATTTTCCCGGTGTAAGATAGGATGTGCGGGACCTCAAGCATCGCACTACCGGAGTTGGTTATGTTAAATCCGACGTCTCCATCTTTTACCACCGAATCCCATCGCTTTCAGATCCCAATTTCTCAACGCAATCATACATACTCCGTAATCGTAAAGAGAGATTGCTTCTTCATTATACATTCATCTGGCAATCAAGAGGCCGAATCCGATCCGTTTTGGCGGCCAAATCCGGCACCTTTGTCGCTAACGCTGTCTCCACGCACAACGCTCCGTACTGCCCACGCACCGCAGCGACCAGTCCGCCGAGGTTGTGAAGCTCGCCAAGCGATGGTGCCAATCAGTTTCTCCTCCTCCATCGCAGCGTCATGCTCCCCATCTTTTTGTCCCTCTGCACTTGCAGGCGCTTCTCCATTTCTTCCTAGAATGTTGGCAGCCATTCGCAAATGACCGAAGGGCCTGTTTATAATGAAGGCTTCGAAGGCAATGTACTTGCAAGAAACTGGCATACTAAGGTAGTTCACCACTAAACGAGCCACACCACTAAATGAGCCAAATTTCACCAAATGCTCCACGCAACGAATTTATTAAATATCTCAACAACCAGATCTTTATTATTAAATAGCTATTAAATATTAAATGAATGTGTTCTTTGAAGCATAGAAATTAGTGTAGTTAGGAAAATAAACAGGTGGACAGCCTAATATTGTGGCCAGAGCAAGAGATCTGGGGGGTAGATAGGAAAGAATTCAAAGGAATGTCAACAGTAGATTTCTTGGCTAGAGAGCCTAATGTCTTGCTAGAGAGGCTTGTAGAGCTCTTACTTTCTCTTTTAGAAGATTGTATAGGCTCTCTGTGATGAGAATCTTTAGTAGGGGAGTCCTTCTGATGATGCTTTGAAGCTGGCACTTGAAGCTCTGACTACTAGTATTTAGTAGCATGTTCAACTGTCTGTTTTTCCTTCTCTGCTAGTTGTAAAGTCTTCTTCTTCTCACAAGTAACATGTTGTGTCTCTCTTTCTCTAGCATGTTTGATTTTTTCAGTCTCTTGTTGCTTACAGATCTTTTTATAAGTATTCTCCTGTTTAATCTATCTTTCTTCAGCATCTCTAGCAGTCTGCTTCTTTTAAAGCTCCTGTTAAAGCTTTGTCTGTTGTGTTTGAGTAATTTTATCAGTTTTTTCAGTCTTTATTTCATTCAGATGCTTGTGTGCCTTAAGAACTTTTATTGAAGATCAGAACTGTGCTTGGCTAGAATTATCTCTATTAAGTAGATCTAGAGGCTTGTCTCACTTGCAGTGTTGCTTCTCTGTTACTAGAGTTGATCTTAGATACTGATTCTCATATTTCAGTAGTTTATTATAAAGAGCAAACTGCTCACTGGCTTGAATAATCTATTCAATACTCTGTGAATTTAGGCTGTGCTGAAGACATATACTCTTGATCTCTTGTTGAAGCTGGTGCATATTGCTAGAAATAGAAGATTTAACTGACAGTATAGGGGCTTGAGCAGTTTTAAATTAGTATAGTTAATATTGAGAATCCAGAGAATTAATTCCAGTCTTTGCAAAGCCAGCAAGTATATTTTCAACTGTCAAAGCCTTCTTTCAAGCTATATTGAATAGTCTCCAGAAATTTCTTTTTATTATTTAAATATAGTTCATTCTGTAATGTAGTAGTGCTTCCAGCTTATTTAAATATGCCTTGTCCAGCAGCCCAAAGATTCCAACATCAAGAGATTGCAAATGATGAGTTGAATGCAGCAGAAGAATTATAAGAAGAATCTTTTTACAGTCAGTATGTTTGATAAATTTCATATTTATATGGGAGGAATGCCCATTTAATAGAAGCAGATATCTTTCTTAATCAGCTTGTTTCTCAGTATGCTTATTGAAAACTCATTTCAACCACTCCAGTTCATATTCATCATTGCTTCAACCATTTGTTGAAGCTACAAAATAGGCCCATTCACTTTCATCATAATTATCTAGCCATATATTCTGGAGATCTCATAATTTACCCTGATAAATAAGAGCTGAAGATAGTGTAATTTCTTCAGCAGAGACTGAGCAGAGTAATGAGAGAAATTTCTGACTATTATTCTGAGTGGCAGCATTCTTTCCAGCTTATAGGGCTTCAATAGAGACTAATCACTTTGAGACATGGCAGAAGTCTAGAAGAAATTCTTTTTTATTAAAGTTGTAGATGTTTGAGAGCTCAAGATTATATTAATTAATTTTCTGCTCCAACTACTCTATAAGTATCAAATAATTAGCCAGCATTAATAACTGCAATCACAATTAATCAAATAAATCATTAAATTACAAGCATATAGAAGTGCTTAAAGTACTGATAGTTATCTGCTACCTGTCTGTTTTAATTAATTGCTTTGAGATAAATGCATTTAATCTTGTCATTATGCTGCTTGTAAAACTAATTAATCTAGTTGATTTCAACATTCTCTCCTGTCATCTCTTGTATGATATTTTATAGGATCTGAGATGTAATGGCAAGGCCATGACTAGAGAGCTTGTTTATATAATTCAGAAGCTCTGTCTTCTGTATATCAGAGAGCTTTTTCTTATATCAGGAGGCTGCTTCATTCTGAGCAAGTTGCAAGTCTTTGTACTGTCAGTACAGGGTCTCTCAGTTAACTGAGTACTTTCTTACAGTTGCAGCATAATTTGGGGTCTCTTGCAATTCAAGATCTTTAATTGCAAGCCTAATTGAGGTATTGTTGACCATGTTGTTGCATATTGAATGTTGAATGTTGGAGGAATTTGGTGGTGGAAAATTTGGCTTGTTTAGTGGTGTGGCTTGTTTAGTGGTGAACTACCTTAACCTGCTGAGCCAAAAGAGTGAACACTCTGGCTAGTGTCGTGGGCTCAACAGTTGAGCTGAATTCCTGACAACTTGGTGTACGGAGACAGGAAGATTATGATGTATGTATAGGGTCTTATCACGCGGGCTTTCCGCCTTGACTATGCACAAGCAGGCACCATTTATCAAGCGTTTTTTTGAGTCGCTTATTTCAGAGCCCTACAAACGGTGCAATTGCGGCCAGACGCTGATCAATGTTGAAGCTGCGTATAGCCTCACTACATTTGAAATCATTGATGAGTTATAATTCTGTGCATGCACTCCAGGCCCTCGTTCTCCGATATAGTGTGACTTTAAAATGAAGGTCAAGACTATCTAACCTTTGGAGAGTCGTGTGATATTAAAGCGCTTCGTCAACAGATTCATAGGAGATTAGAGTATATATATTCAATATATATTCGAAATTCTCAAAAGAATCTTCAATTCTTTGCTTCAGATGTCACCGCCTTGACATAGCTAGCATGTTTTTCCTTTTGATTTAGGCCTTCACATCTGACATAGTTAAGAAGACTGGCTTGTGTTTGAAGAGAATCAGCAGAGATTCCTTACCAGTCTTGCTGCTTACCAGCAAGCTTGGTTGTGATCATTTTCTATGAGCGACCTGTGTGATTACCCCGTAAGCTGCCAAAAGCCAGCAAATGTGCATATAGTCTTATGTCTTGGGAGCTAGGGCTCTTGTCACTTTCTAATTCACAGGACCTTTCTATATTAATTTATTGAACTGTTCCTAAGGCGCTCAGCAGGAGGCTTCAGTACAACAAGCATCACTGATGTGAAGACTGCCAAAGGCCGTGCCCTTGGTACTATCTCTGCTGATGGTATGTCAGCTATGCTCGGCAACGATGAAAAAGCCCAGGTCTTTTCGGACGTTGAGATCACATCGAATTGCACTGCTCTTATCCTTGGCATCGCTGGTACCATCTCAAGTGCTCGTGGCGGTAAAACCTATTATCTATCAACAAATGCTTGCACATCAGCCAAGGCTATCGCAAAGACTGTTTAATTGTTATTTGGGTAGGAGGGAATACCACATTAACTGGGACTGGACATCTCAAAAATTTTAATGCTGGTATTATGGAAGCCTTGCGTATGTGTTTGCTAACTTCACGCTGGGCTAGGGATTCTATCCCTGAAAATATATATTTGTACTATCGTTTCCATGTACCTTTTGAATCCATTTTAATAGCTCATGCTTTTATGAAGACTGCTATTGGTAGGTGAGGGATCGGCCACCCGGATTTTAATATCCCAATCGCCTCAAGAATCTCTAGTTAACTAATAGCTAACTCCCTAGACTCTCACGCACCCGGCATTAGAGCGAGTCGAGATGTGCAGACTTCTTTGTGTGTCCGGATGAATTCGAACCTGAGCGCGGGCTCGACGATTCTCTTTTCAAAAATCATACGGAAGCTGCCCAACCTTTCGCCGTCGGTCACTGCACTATTGTTGTCATTGATACTTTCAACCCACACTATCTGCTGCTAGATCCTTTCTTCTCACTACATTCCAGCCAGCCATCAAGCATCCTGAGGTAACGATTTCGAATCATCCAAGTACAAGTACACAGTCATCAATTGCAAAAGTACATGCCTTCGTTGCTGTGTTCAATGGAGAAGCGATCAACCCCTTGCTATGAAGTCTCGCTTCATTGTCATCCAGAAAATGCTGGGGCAGGTTCATTGCAACTGGCTGCTAACCAATATGGTGCCGTTGGCATAGGTATTTAGCCTACACATTAACTGCTAGTTATAACACTGCCAAAATCATCCCCCAAAAGTCAACCAGCAGTAACTCCATAGGTTGACAGAGTCTAAAATTTTGTCAAGGTTAAGTTAGTTATGAGCTTAAAATCAAGCTTAATTCAACATCGATGTGCTGAGCACTCCATATCTGTGTGCGTAACGCGTAGTTTTCTCATAGCTAACTAACCAGTAGGTCAAGGTTGGTGGAGAAAATTTTCTTTGATCCCAGCATGGAAGATTGGATGGAAATTTACCCTAGTCGTGCAAGGAAAGCTATCAATTGGGTTGCTTCGCCTCTGTATGTGCGATTCTCCACAGGGGCTGCCGAAGCACCATCGCCCACAATAGTTAGTAAGACCCTCGCAGGTTAGGTACTATGTATCCGGTACTATTTACCTCAATGTCAGCCTACTACTGCACCATTGCTCATCCTGGGAACCCAATTAGTTGCTATTAAAACTAGTGGACTTGTTGGTAATGATATCTCTGGCTATTGTTAGCAGGGGTCAGAGGGTTCAGTGCCAACGCCAAAGCGGTTTGCTAAGCCCTTCAAGGGTTTTTCGGCGCATGTGGGATCCCCCTTTTCATTCCTCCCTTCCAAAGCTGCATTTTCCAACTCCGCAGCTAAACAAGCTCCGCTTTAGCCGCAACATCTGTGCTCTCTTTGATGGTGCCCGCTTAAGTTATTCTAACAGCTATAGCCTTATTCCCTTTGCCCTTCCTGGTGTTGTTTACCAAGCGCCTTTTTTCTCTGAAATATAAACAATTTTTGAAGGTGAAACAAACAGCCGTTCCAGGGCGAAGAAACACCTGTAGGAAGGCCAGGAGAAGCTCACCCTCATTGAATTCATCTTTGTAGCTAATGTTGGACTACACCTCAAGCAACTAAGGTCAGTCTACAGGTTTAAGTGCTCCAACATACATCAGAGGTCCCCACTAGCCCTCGCAGACATGCAGCATTGACAGGAGAATCAAAAGTGTATGCCATCTCCTTCTCAAAGGTTGAGAAAGAGGACCCTGACAGCGAAAGGACTCTGAGCAAGGAAAAGAGGTGTCTCTTATGGTGCTGAAAGAGGATGAATCCTTGAACATCGGGGTTCGCCCTCCAGTTCGGTTGATGCTCTTTAGCTAAGCTCTATATACGTTCGAAAAATATGGAAGTAACTGCAGCGAGGAGAAAAAAGATACGTATATTTGCGCTTCATAATAAGCCAAGCAATGGATCTTAGCTAGGAAGTGGACCAGCGACTTTCAAGATGTTCTGCTACAGGAACGATCCGAGCATGACGGAGAGTGGAGTTTGTCTTTACCGACAAAGAGCCGATGGATATATGGAATATTTACACGTCGCGCTCAGCATAACTCTGAATCATGCCCTCCAGGGTTGGCTCGTACTCCTTGAGAATCACCCTGTCCCCTTCCAGCACGGTGTTTGCCTGCACGAACACTTTGCGCGGAATCTTCTTCTGCAGCACAACGGGTCGCACTTTTTGGCTCCACCATTCATCCACGTGTGTGATACCGTCATATAATCTCTTCCCTTCTTCAACGTCTGCAGTAGCCTTGTAGACGTGTAACTTCTGCAGGTATTTTTCAACAGCCGGGCGTCCATAGGTCAAAATCTTAGATCTATCTAGGTGGATTTCAAGGTCCGACAGATCATCCTGGCTGTGCTTCAGTTGGACAAAATCGCCCCCAGCGTCGAGGAACGTGCGAAGGATGCTATATCGGGCTTGCATGTGTGCTTGCCCCCATTTTTGACTCTTCGGATCCCAGAATTCCAAGGCGGTGATACCAGCACGGGCCATCGTTAAATAGCTTGCATAGAGCACGTTTCCTGCCTCGCCTTCAAGGTCCTCATCGCCATTTCCGAACCCAAACAGTTCCAGAATACCAAAATCGCATCCGAGGGCCATGGCAACACATTCTGCACGGCACTCCTCATATGACGAAGCAATGGACCCAAAAACTGAGCTCCATGTCTGTCCAGGCTTGTACCAAGTAGTGATGGGTTTGTTTGTAATTGGACTGACAGGTGGTTTGGAAACGTCAAAGTTGAATTCACCCGGGGCAGTCTCTTGCAATAGTTTCCCGGTGCCGTGTCCCAACAGTTCGTGAATACCGACCTGGACTTCAAAGGCAGGGTCTCTATATTTCCGGAAAAGTTCCAAGTCTTGCTCACGAATAAATGGAATAGGTTCATTCGGAGCCTTTGCACTCAAAACGTTGCCAAGGGAAACATTTTTAAATCCTAAGTTCTGCCGAATGTCATCATAATTCGGAATATTGATTCCAGCAGGAATGCCACTTCCAGCGAATGTCAAAACTTCCAATGAAGTGAAATCAGGGCTGTGAAATTTGTCTTTCTCGAAGTCTTTGCTCCATGGTAGCTTTGGAATAAAAGACTCAGCTTTTGAAACCAGTTTGCCAAACGCTTTTGTGCGTTCTTGATTTACCTACAGAAAATCATTAGAAAGTTATCAGCTTCGGGATAGGGTCTGAAACAAACCATAGCAGCAAATCCTTCCCACTCCCCGCGAACACCATGAGGATCACGATAAGTTTCAACAAATCCTAGGTCTGACTCTACCATTGGCCCTTTATCTTTGATCCAGTATCGCTGGCTCTCCTTGTAGGCTTCAAGCGATCCCGTTTCAAACGATTTAACGTATTCATCGTACATGTTCTTTTGAATTTCATTTGCTGCATTCAAACAAGCTTGCCTGGCATTTTCTGAAATTCTAGCCATTTGTTCCGAGTAGTCCCCATAGACGAGAGTAAGTTGTTTCCCCTGAAGTTTCCCTTCCAGAGACCATCCATTTATATCACCCACATCTCTATCATTTCCCGCGGGATTCTTTTGTGCCGAAGCGATGAGAAGCTCGAAGTCACCATTTTTCGTCTTTCTCAGTCTAGTATTTTCAAGCAGAAGTTTCTTCTTCTCCAAGAAATCGCCCACCAACGTTATTTCTTCTTTCGTAATCGTGGGAGAATCTGGATAATACGTCGTCATATGCCCGTCCTCCGGGTATCCCAGGTGCATTAGCGGAGGAGACGAAGTTTCGTATATGCCACCGCCGGTCTGCGACGCCGCCTCAAACGCGGTCTTTGATTCTTCCGTGGCGGATGCCAGCTGTCTGAGTACGTTCTCCGGTACTCTAGGGATAAATTTTGAATCTCCAAAGCCCTTATAATTGCCGCAGTTTCCCAAGAACTGAGCTGCATACTCTAGAAAGCGCTGTATCTCGTCCTGGCTGACGCCGGTTTTCTCGCCAAGGGATTTCCAGTCGCCATTGCAGGCGCGGTAGAGAGACATAATAAGATCGTAGATTGGCTCAGATTCTGGAGAAACTTGACGAAGGGTAATCCTGGTTCCTAAGAACGCAGCTCTATTATATGATTAAATATCGTTAGCACAATTCTCAACCCAAAACAAATTCACTCCGTATAACAGTAGGGCAGGCTAACAGGCTTCATAAGGGTTTGACAGCAGGAATAATATCAGTTAAGCCAGGAGTATGCACGGGACATCTTCTGGATCCCTGGGAGGAAATGATGTCGATACTCCTAGACTTACCTGCTGACGAAATGGGCATATCGTTTCAATTTCTCATCTTTCAATGCATCGAAGTGTTGCTTGATTTCTAGCCTGACCACCGTCGGGGGAGAATCCGCGAGATACTGCTCCTTCGCCTTGGCATCCATAGTGGGAAAGCAATTGGGTATTCCGCTAGCTGTTGATGAGTTTGAATTGATAGAAGAGGCAGCGCTGGAAGATGATCTGGTGAGGGGTGACTGTATGTGCGGAAGACGCGTGTAGGGTTGAGTTGGAAGACGAGGGAAAGTCAAGGAGCGACGGGCGACCCTTTTGATAGTCGTGCAGGAGATTCGAAGAGGGGTCATTCCCGCCAACCCCAGCCTGGGACGACGTGCACGCGCGGGGAGAAGAATGAACTTAGGCTTCTCGGTTCCAGCCTAAGATCCAAAACAGCGACTAGTTAAAAGGGAAACTATTTCAGTTTGTTAAGTTTAACTAACTAGTTGGTTAGTTACAAGAGCAGTGGCTGAGCTTTAGAATGTCTGCCCATTAATTTTCTACGTCTCAAAGTTAACCCCGAAATACCATCACAGCATTGCATAGCAGCTATGGTTTTTGACTGTCCTCCCAGCCTGGATTATTTCCAGATTACAGAACAAATTTTAGCCATGAAGATTGAAATCAACAATTCCCTTTCTTAAACTATGCAATGCTTCAAGGGCTTTACAAACTTAAAGTAGGCTCTCGTATTTATCAAGGCCCTGAACCTGGGAATTCCCAGGCCTCAATGGTAAGCGATTATCTGAGGATAGCCCTGTAGATGCCTGACGGGAATTCAAGGATCCAAGAGGAGTGGGGGGAGGTAGCGACATTGGGTTCATTTTCGGGGGCGCATAATTAGACGGAGGAGGTGGAGGTATCGTGAACACTGAACTTGTCTGTTGTAACGAATGGTGCATAGGAGGCTTCATTGCTGATTGGTATAAAGGCCAATTCATAGAGAGGTTTGAGGCGCCCGGTTGGGGACCGGGGGTAGACCTTGTTCCTGCAGAATTCAAGGATAGGGAAGTGGCTGGGAATTGATATGTGGACGCAAGGCTTTGTCCGCTCGTAGGCTGCAGCGCGGGAAAAGAAGAGACTTTGGAATCTGGTGTGATTGATCGTGGATCAGAACCTGGACCGAGAGTACTCGCAGCTGGGCGACTTGAAGACCAAGAAAACTTAGGCCCAGCATCGGCCGTCGTCGGCTGTGCAGAAGATGAAAGCGTTGCGCCCCATGTGTCCAGGGAATTATCAGCCTTCGCAGCACGATCCTTCCCCAGTACGAGCCGCTCAAAATCCGACTCCTCACTTCCAGCAACACCAACATTGATATTAGTCGACATTCCAAACGGGCTAGAGGTATTATTCCGCGACTTATCCCCATTACTTGACGACAGCTCTTGAAGCTTCTTCTTCTGCTCAGTTTCAATGCGTGTTGAAAGCGACTTGATAAGATCCACATAGCTGCTGAATTGTTGCACGTTGAGTAGTGGCCCCAAACTGAATGCCCACATAATAGGGAGGACGTCCAAGGCGAGAAACTCCATATCCACAATTTGACCAATTTGCTTAAAAACATTCAAAGCTGCCATCATGACAGCTGGTTCTTTGGTTTTAATCGCCTTCAAGAGAGGAACTACCTTCTCCTGGATGGTAAATTTGTCGAGGATGGACGTGTGACTGGAGCTTAGAGACCGGGAATTGCTTATTACCCCAGATAACTCGTCCGTCGAACCCATAGCGTCAACGGTGCCGCCACAGAGAATAACAAAAGCTTCCAGCCCGCGGATTTTAATGGTTAAGCTGCTTGTTTTGCTAAAAACCAGAGCGATAGGTGGGAACACTTCGTCCTTTACAGTTGAGAAATCCAGGACTGGCAGCATAACCGGAAGACATCTTAAGGATGCATCCACTAGGCTATGGATAGGCGAATCCAATCCCAGGTGAATCAGTGGCCAAACATCTATGAACCTTTTGTTAATTGATGGCGCTGTGTTTGTGCGTATCTCGGATACTCACCATCCTTAAAATCTTTCCCAGAGCAATTATCAGCGAGAAGCCTCATATTTTCCAAGACAACCATCAGACCAGCATCTTTACTAGTGTCCCGTTCTACTGCAACCCCCTTGTTGTTTGAAGGAGTAAATAATTCCTTTAATTGGGGAATTACTTTCTCTGGTACAACGTGACGTCCAGTCGGAAGCCTACCGATGATTTTGAATGCATTCTGCAAAATAAGTGGCAAAAGCTCTCGGTCTTTAGCCTCCTCTAGCAAAGCGGGAAGGACCTTCTTCTCCAGAACCGAGCTTGGAAATTCTGGCAAGACGCGTTCAAGTCCCCGCATAAACTGAGACTTCTCATTTGGTGTTTTCGCGGGGAAAGATTCCAAGAATCGGATGGTAGATACTAGAACATTATCGAAATATTGAGCTTGTTGAAACTCACGAGCATTCATCCGCTGCGCTGGCCTTCTCGTTATAAGTCTCGGGAGAACTTCAGTCTGAAGGCTTCTCGGGATTGGTCGCGAACACTGGAATGAATTGCCTTGCGAAGGAACAGTGGAGGGAGACGATATAAGCCTTTTATATGTGTTGATGCTATGGTGTGCTTGGATTGGTGAGGTATGTGGTGAATTGTAGAGGGCAACTATTATTAGTCCGAGAGAGAATAGATCTGCTGCAACGGACACGTTGGAGTCGAGAACAAAATCCGGGGAGGTATAGTCCAAATCAAGCTGAACAGAGTGTGGAAGCTGGGTATCATGATATAAAACTTCGGAAAGCGCTAATGGAGGCAATTGGGAGGCTGTTTGTGAATCAGCAGGTCCCGCGAACGCAAGGCCGGATATCTTCCAGTCCGATTTGGAATTGATGTAGATTGCATTTGGGGTCAGATTGCCGTGAACCAGCCCGGCCGATTCGTGGAGGAATTCAAGACCTTTGCCAATTTGAAGCAAACCTTTCTGTATTTCGAGTTCGTCTATTTCAAGGTCCCGTCTCTGTCTCGAGCCATCAGGACTCTCAACCACGAACCGGCTGGCACGACCTCCGACGCCACCGGTACGCTCCTGTTCATCTTTCTCCTGCAGCAAACCAGCTAGCGACGCAGTGAGAGGTTCAGTAACAAACATCAAGCCCCCATTTCTTGTGTCTTCAACCGGCTCAAGAACCTGGAGGATCGAGGGGTGTCTCAGCCTGGCGAGATTTGATGCCTCTCGCCTCAAACGCTCAATGACTCCATCATGTAACTTCTTCAGGTAGGAAGAGCTGGAGCGAGATCCAAAGCCACTAGACCGATATTCTAAGGACTTCCTTTCAAAAATGAAAACAGAGGCCGGAGCGCCGGTGCTTTTCTTCTTCCCGTCGTGTACCTTCCAGGGCCCAGAGATAAAAGAGGGGCTTGGGGAAACCTGATAATTCGCAGAGATATTCGAGCTAAAGGATTTCAAGGAAGAGAACATGATCGCTCGGGACAAAAGATATTCATTTAATAAAAGGTATGTAGGGAGCTAACCGAAGGAGAGTCGTATATCAAAGCAATCCAAACGCAGGGCAGTTGACTGGTGCCAAGAAACTGCGATATCACTCCATTGAATACATTTATTCTGAGGAGGAGAAGAGCCAGGGGCAAATACGAACAGCAAGCTGCTCCAATGCAAGCAAATTGCAAAAACAGACCATGCTATGATGCGCTATGGAGAAACGAAGCGGCCCGAACACAATCGTTCTCAGACCGCGATGCCAGGCTCGACGGTCCTGCGTCGCCAAGAAAGGCAAGCTGGGCGCCGTTCTACCACGTGATATCATCTATTAGATAAGCATTTGCCGAGACTTACCATTCCCAGACTCCGATTTTGCTCCGAGCCGAGTTCCGTGGGGTGGCCGCTGATTGGCCCGCTGGTTGTCGGGGCCCGCGCGGGCAGTCAAAGGGCGGAAAGTTGAACCCCCAAGCTCCGCCGTTAAGCGCTGAGTCAAGCTCTCAGTCGAGGCTGTGGGCATTCTTACTTTAACATTTCTCGAGATACCGGCCATCCTGTGTCGCCAATTGCGACCCCTCTCCGCTCCAAAATCCTCTCTGCTCTTTTTCTCACTGTGTGCGGCCCTCGCTTTTTCTTTTCCGTTCGCTTCTCCCGCTTCACAATGAAGAACATCCTTAGACTCAGCCGCGCAGGTGCCCGCTCCCTTTCCGGCAGCCCCTCTCACTCTCCTTTCCTCCGGTATGCGGTCAATGCCGCATGGCAAAGGGGCTACAGTGCCTGGCAATCGCCAAGCAGAAGCGATGGCCTACCCGGCATCGATGCTTCGAAGCTCTCCGTTACAAAAACTACCAGCCCAAAGAATCTTCTCCCGCCAAAAGAGCTCGTTTTTGGATCGACTTTCACAGGTTTGGGCTCCATTGCACCCTGGGAGTGAGAGAGACACGCCGCTGATCCGGATGGAATAGACCACATGCTCCGGGTCAATTGGAACACCAAAGATGGATGGTTGGCCCCAGAAATCGTACCATACCAGAATCTTAGCCTTGATCCGGCCACTTGCGTTTTCCACTATGCCTTCGAGTGTTTTGAGGGAATGAAAGCCTATAAAGGCAAGGATGGCTCTATCAGATTATTCAGGCCCGATAAAAATATGGCCCGACTCAACAAGTCCTCGAAACGCATTGCGTTGCCCACCTTCGACGGTGAAACGATGATAAAGCTAATTGGGGAACTTGTGAAGCTGGACAGCAGATTTATTCCACAGTGAACCTCCTCGTCCATCGGTTAATTTGTTCTGGCCCTCACCCGCTTACCAATTTCTTTCACAGGGAACGAGGCTACTCCCTATATCTCAGACCTACCATGATCGGTACTCAAAGCACGCTTGGTGTGTCTCCCCCGGGCTCGGCAATGCTCTTCGTGATTGCTAGCCCCGTTGGGCCGTATTATCCTACCGGTTTCAAAGCTGTCTCCCTGGAGGCGACGGACTATGCTGTTCGCGCTTGGCCAGGAGGCGTTGGAGACAAGAAGCTTGGAGCAAACTATGCGCCATGCATCGTCCCACAACTAGAAGCCTCTACCCGTGGATTCCAGCAGAACCTTTGGCTTTTTGGCGAAGAGCAATACTTGACTGAAGTCGGTACCATGAATCTCTTCATTGCCATGAAAAACAAGGAGACCGGCCAAAATGAGCTCATCACACCCCCGTTGGATGGCACCATTTTGGAAGGTGTCACCCGGGATTCTGTGTTGACGCTCGCTCGTGAGAGACTAACACCCAAAGGCTGGAAGGTCAGCGAGCGCAAGCTCACCATGCCCGAGCTTGCAGAGGCAGCAGACGAAGGCCGATTGATTGAAGTCTTCGGTGCCGGCACCGCTGCAATCGTGAGTCCCGTTCGTAATATCAGCTGGAAGGGACGACTCGTCGATTGTGGATTGAAGAAGGACGAGGAGGCTGGCAAGATTGCGCTCGAGATGAAGAACTGGATTGAAGGCATCCAGTATGGTGAAGAGAAGCACCCATGGAGGTAAGCCGGACCCTAGGAAGGTTATACGATTTGAATTGAGATTAACAATCTTACAGTGTTGAGCTTTGACGCGACTATTGCTTCTCGGGTTAAAATAAAATAACGGTTGCTCGGCTACCTCCTTTTTTTACCTTTTTTTTTTTTTTTTTTTTTTTTTTTTGTTTTTGAAATTTACTCTGGATCTTGAAGGCTTTTCGGTAGCATGGCTTTTAACTCTTTTTTTTTAGACTTCTGATCCCGCATCTACTTACCTGTCCTGAGCATTTGGACGATAATTACAGAGTCACATAAGCCTTGATTTTCATACATTCAAATCCGTACACACCTAGACGGGAATCCTGATGTTATCGTGACTATCCTAGGTCTCCAGCTTCAGTCCACGATTCATGTCCACGACTTTGCCAGATAATCTTATGACTTACTGTCAAGTTCTTTGCAACACACCCTTTATTTCATATTCTCGTTCGCTGTACCGAGGCTCGTACTAACGCTCTTAAGGTCCACCGGACTAGGCCGCACACTGGTGCCTTGCGCATCCTTCCCTCCCGAGGAGGCTGAACAAAGTGCCAATAACCCGGGACTCAACACACCACTAATATTATATGCCATGCTTATTACGCAAGGACATTTATTTCAAAATGCCATTTTCTTTTATTAACTCCGTGCTCCGTACTTCGTACACACAGCTCATGCACACCCAAGATTTTTCATCGTCCACTCCACTGGCGGCAAGGCCGGAGAAACAAGTATTCCTGCTGATTGAAATCTCAAACAACGAACCCATTTAAGCGTCAACAGGGAGCAACTGACTCTGTATGACTACGTTCTTGTTACCAGTCGTAGATCATCTTTCTCTTAACAATACGGTTTCCTTATCAGGCCGAGGCAATTTGTCACTAACATTAGAATCCGAGCCAGAAAACGCTGAGTCCTCGGGTCCGAGCAGCAGCAACAAAACCAATCGAGATATTGTGGATATTTGTGTATTTACATATAGTATGTACAAATATATGCAGTTGGTTGAAAGGTGGATCGGTAAATGACTTCTCATAAAAAGTAGAGAAATACATTAAATGCCAACTGGTGGATCTGAGCTTGCCTCCGTTCTACTGTCGATATTTCACTAATGGCTTATCAAAAGGCTGGAGGCTGAGACCGTATTCGATTTCTCCGTCGTAGAAGTAGCCTTTCCTTGCTCAATACACAGCCGACGAGCACGGTCCAGAATGCGGCTCATCCTAGGGGGTTTTATTGAAGTGGGTAGCCCTTGTTTCCCAGGAGTCAATTTGAATATCGATAAAATGTGGGCTGCTCATGCTTTTGCGGGGGCATCGGAGGCTTGGACTGGACTGTCTCTCGGGCGAAACTGATGAACACGCCCTATACAAACCGTTTTAAATGCACTTGCCTTCGGCTCCTCACCTCACAGTGGCAATCGCGGATATTGGCAATCCTAAGATGCAGATGCCAGGTTGGAATATCCACTCCGTGCCCTCATGAGAACACTCCCTGGTGTGCATGATGATTCGACCTGGGGAATAGTCCAATAAATATCTTTTGATCATGCAGGTATAATTTAAGAAAACATGACAATCCAGCGCAACTGTCGCATAGCCATCCCTGTCCCACTCTCAGGGTGTTACGTCGCTGCTATGGTTCACTGGGATTGTTTTGTCAATGTAGTGGTTTCACGGGGGTTGTATGACCTCCCTTTACTCCGTACACTGGAGGGAAATTGGCTTTTGACCCGGCCAAAAAGAAAAAGAAAAGAAACCCAAAGTTCGTGTCGGAGCCAGTATTCCATTCCTGCGGAAGATCAACTTCCAAGTTGAGAGAATATTATCGTGGAAATTGGCCCCCATAGATGCGAGAATTTGCTGCTCTGCATGGTCCATGGACGAGCAAGATCTGTACGAGAAGAAATCTCTGGGAGCGAGTGCATTTGGTACGGACTAAAGCTCCAGAAACCCCCGTGAATGTCTGCATTCGCAGGTTCCCCTGGGATATTGTATTTACAGGGAAGGCCGCCGGGCGGGGGGTATGACAGGGAGAGTACAGCCAACCATGAGGCTGCATTGACGTTTGCATGGGTGCACACCATGATGATGATGTGGATAAATATAGAAATTGCAGTACCGACTCCTAGGTGGGTGGCGGCTCACTGGTTATATTAACTCAAAATTCTCCTAATCTAACCTGCACCCTGGCTTTCTACTATGTAAATCTTAAAAACAGAAAATCCCTTCCTATCCTCTTAAAACACAAACTAGTGACAACACCGGTGGAGATGCAACAATGGGAAGCAGAAACATAGGAAATTCGTAATCCCTTTTTTTTTTTTTTTTTTTTTTTTTTTTTTAATCATTAGACATCCCAGTGACAAAGCAAAGGGTAAACTGAGGAGACCGTTGTAATATTGAACTTCAGAAGGATGTTGAGGCCTAGTGCGGGCGGTATTTTCTCTGGCTGTATGGCGTCATAGCATCTGAGACCGGGAAGCCATTTGGATCGTAAAGATGATAGTCGCGAGGCTCCGCTAACGAGGGCTGCAAGAACTGCTTAGTCAAGCTGCACTGAAATTGGACAAGGAATATACATACTTCGAGAGCAGATTGCTGATATAAGGCTGTGTTTTCTAGGACACCCGTTCCTGTGAAGCTCGTATTGTACTCTAGAAAACTCTCGGCGTGGGCAACGAAAGCTCGATCTCCACCAGAACCTGTTCGATGGGATGGAGTCGGGGCTTGGACATAGCTGTCTGAGGAAAAACCGGACCCATATGGGCTCGTCGCTGAATAATACGAACTCTGTACTGGATATTGGACATAAGCGTAACTCTCCGTATATGGCAAGGTTGAAGAAGCCAACTCCGATAGAGCGTAATGCTGTTGGTAGGGGTAAGATTGGGCCTCAGTGTGGTGGCTGTTGGTGATCATAGTCTCTCTGGGAGCCAAATCTGTTGGACTTGTCTGATTGAAACCATATGGAGTTTGACAAGCTGGCGACTGAAGACGTGACGAGCGGTCTTCGTGAGATATTCCGCCCGAAGGGCTCGTTGTATCACGCTGGGCTGCACATCGCTCTTCCTTCTCCAGGTTCTCCATGCGTTGTTTGAGTTTCTTACCTAGCATGAGTTAGTTCAATCTGAGACCTTGGAACGGACGCTAGGAATAGTTGCCGTACGATAGTTCCGCTGAGCAATGCGGTTCTGGATGCGACGTCTCTCCGTAAGATCTGAGACCTGGGTCCAATCTTCATCTGGGAGCGCGTTCTCGCTAAACGCGCTACTTCCTGTCGTCCTCGAGAACGAGTTCGACTGTGGCGACGCAGGATAATCGCCACGGCGTTGCATGGCGGTGTGATATGCGTCCTGAGACCTGAAAATGTCCTTGCCAGCAGTAGCCAAGTAATACGATTGTTGGCAGCAGAGCTGAGCAAGAGAAAGGCTCGGGTTGACAATTGGTAGAGGGGAGGCCATGCTCGAAACGTGGGTAAATGAAAATTCAGACGCCTTATATGCGAACCTACAGATGCATCAAATATCAAAGATTGCCTAAAAGGCTGCAGGCAAAACGTGCGTTACGAGTAATAAATTTGCAGAAAAAGAAAAGAGATTTATAGACAGATACTCCATCTAACTGGCAGGGGATATTGGCCAGCAAATAGCCGGCATTAACACGAGCGATCGTGGATTCTACGGCACGACGAGATCTTCGCTTGATGGCGTTGAAGCATGGTTAAGTCAAGGCACCCAGGTGAAGGGGACGAATGTCGAGGAAACCGAGGGGGTTTAGCGGCCGCAGACTGGGGAATGAACGAACGGTGCTAGCGACATGCCCAGGCCGCCGTGATTTGCATCGAGAAACTTCCCTGCTGCAAGGTCTGTAATGACTCAGGGCGTGGACCACTGGCGGGATGAAAGATTAGTGTTCAATTTTAATTTGTGTTTCAAAAGCGAGCGATCCATTCTGATTTGCCCTTCGGGCGTGAATCCCCAGACAGCGGTGCTTGGAACGGAAAAAGAAACTTCTGCCCGTTTTTAGGCGGCAAGCGCTTGTCCTGCGCGATTTTGATGATAACTCGGCAAGGCTGGATGAGAAGACCCAGGAAAGGAAATCGCTTGAATTCTTCTTGACCAGAGCGGAGTCTGCCTTGCGGTCTTTTGCACAAGAATGCCAGCAGGGCTGGCGCAACGACACACCGCAGGAGGGTGAAAGCGATGCCAATTCGGAATTGTGGTTGAGCTAGTCGCAAAGTGCGATAGTTCCAGTCTAAGCACGCTCGAAGCTAAGAAACTCGTACTCAAGGCCAGACAGATCCGAGTTTGCTGCAGAGCGGCCGTTTGATGTGATCGTCGAGCAGGTCTTGGAAGCTGGCACGCGATTGAGGCTCAGAAAGAACGCGAGCACGAGCCACAACCGGCCTGCGGCCAATCATAGCTCGTAGCTATACGATGCGCCAAGCCACTGCCGGCTGTCCGTTCAGCTGAGCCTGCCACACTGTATCAGGGGTTGATCTGGAATTTTGGATTCTCCCCAGTAGGCTCACGACGCGCAGGCGGTCTCTGTCGTGCACCGCCTCAAACCCCTTTCCCATCGGCCCGTCGGCCACCGTGGATATTCCATTGGGGGCGCCCCCTTGACCCGCCGCAAACGCCCACATCAAACTTCCGCTCCTCATGGTTTTGAGATCTAGCGAATTGACAGAGAATCCGTCCTGCAAAGCGTGGCTCAACGAGGGAGAATTCCGCTTTTTTTTCAGCCATTTCGTCAATGCACCTGTCCACCAATGGCCCGTCTCGGTTAGTTATATTGACCTCCTCTCGCACTCTTGCCCAAGCTGGGCTGGGACAGGCGATCATTTGAATGTCACCACCTCTGCTATTTTTGGAGTGCGTGTAACCATGTTGGAGTACATGCAATTAGCTGCTTCCTTCAACTCTCCTTCGATGCCACTGTGGAAAGAATGCATGTGATCTCTGCAGAAGAAAAGGTCAGGTTCTGAGCTGCCTGGCGCTCGAGCCTTTGGTGGTGCTCTCTGTCTGCCTGTCTTCAAGAATTTTGGCAGCAACAGCCAGATATGACGTTTGCCCCGTCCAAACTTCACCTCAGTCCTCAAGTTACACCTACCGAAAAGCGACACCAGTGACCAATTTTGATACCAGCTTGATGCCCTCAGGGAAGAGGCACCGGCCGTGCAATTTATTGACAAAAAAAAATGAAAATTCTTCCATTAGGCCTGGCGAAAGTTTGGACAAAATCTTCAAGCACCGTCTAAAACCAACAGAATGGAGAGATCCTTCTTCGGAATATTCTGATCAGAGCCGCGATGAATCATCAAAAGAAAGCAGAATACGTCATAGTAATAGAAAATTGCTTTAAACAGTCCTATGGTTCATGATGACATGTATTTTTTCCCTCTTCCCAAGAATGCTCAATCAACGCAACACCAAAAAAAGAAAAAAAAAAAAGGTAAAGAAGAGCGGGTGGAAATGCAGAAGAGCGTATAGATGCTTCGTTCGGCGGGATGCCGATTAGAGGTGACACATTTCTTCAGCCTAAACCAATAACTTATCAAAACCCAGGTGTTCGGAAACGGTGGATAATATCGTGAGTGGGTAGATATAAACCGAACACTCCTTGCTATCCCGCTTCGCCAGCCCCATTTTTATTCATCGATCCAGCAGCCGCAGAAGTGCCAACTCTTCGTTTCCGGATTGGCGCCTTCTTCCGTCGGTTAATCGCAGCCTGCTGAGGGTCCACAGCTCCCATTTCCGTATCACCATCAGCGTCGCCCGAGTCACGACGGGCTGCGTGGTAAATAGCACTTTCATCGAGTTCATGTATATCTTCCGGCTTCATTCTCAACCATTTCATTCGCGGGCCTGATTTGGCACGTTCTGAGACTTTAAATCCATATATTTTTGGTTCATATATTTTGCCTTGTCCTAGTCCGGGGGCCAAATTATCTGTCATCACGCCGTTGATCTGGATTGGCTGTCCCGCCGCACCCTGTGGCGTTTTACCGCTGCCTGCCGCCGGCAGACTGGTCACGGGTCCGTCCGCTGGGCCTGAAACGTCAAGTTCGGGGAACGTCATAAAGAAAAGACATCCAAATGTTGTGCCAAAAAATGCGCCATCAACAGTTTGAAATCGGCTGTTTGGAGGTGTGTATAGATCCTGGCAGCTCGGACAATATAATTTGACAGTGTCAAGTCCAGGGGTGTCTGTTCGTCCAACCGGTAGAACCCTGCATCCATTGCAAAAAACTCGTGGGCAAACTCCAAAATCTTGACGTTCATATTTTTCCAACATTTGTTGAATACCCTGGCGTGATGTGATGTAACGTTGGTGGATCAGCCCGTATAGAAGTTCTGCTGAGGTTTCGATAGCGCTGAGGTCACTCGCAACTCTTACATGCCTTCGCTCACTTGATCTTATATAGTCACGGTCGTCGCCTAGTATAGCATCTTCATCCTCATCATATTCGTCATCGTCTTCATCTTCGTCATCCTCCGGCTCCACATCTAATATCATCTCCAGAGCTTCCTTAAACTTTGGAACCTGCGATTGCAGTCCCGTTAAATTGAAATCATCCTCGATGAATTCTTCGGAAACCTCCGCAAAATACTCATGTCCCATGAGGGAGCAAAACGCAGTTATCCATGACTCCGTGACTCCTGAAGAGATCGACATGGTGGAGAATCAGCGATAGGTTCGCTAAGGCGCAAAGCGCAAGGCGCTGTGCTGGCGTGGGCGAAGCCGAAACGGGCTCTGAGTGACGAAGCCGTCGTCCTCAAAAGGATTTTTCAACGTTGAGGCACTTAGGGAACGACAAGAGCAACAGAATCAGGAGGATTTGCGAATGCGCCCTATACGTAAAATCGGGCAGCAGTGAGTGCAGGAGGTACAGTTCAATGCGCGTCCCGGCGCTGAAGGGAGGGAATAAGAGTAGGAAGCAAACAATCACAAGAGCGGGGGTCCCGGCGCGATTATGATTTGCAAAGCTCTGGCTGAATTATATGGCAGGATACTGATAATAGGAAGTGGAGCGATAGAGCGAACAAGAGGTGTTAGTCAGGTAAGGGTCCTGCACTGCATCCAGATTTGGATGGATATAAGTGCTATAAAGGTCTTAGAAGAAGTGACCTGATACAGAAGATACCAATGGGCTCAAGCAGCAACATGGGGGTGAATTGCAAGACAATCAACACACAGTGCCCAACAGCGAAAATAAGCATAACGGTGAACCCTCAAGATGTCCCTCTTTCCTCATCCAGTGGGACATCAGGTCGCATCACGTGATCAATCCAGCCACCGATGCCAAGCCACTAGCACGGCCGTGCGAGAAATTCGGACATGGCGACAGGATGAAGCAATGCACCATCCGGCCAATGATGAATGGAAAGTATTGATGGAGAAGGAGATGATATCCTTTAGTTGTACGGAGCTGTGGATAACAATATCTAAACCGAAATGGCTTTAAACAAATAAAAGAAAAACAACCAGGCGAGAAGCAATGTTGTTCCTCGAGACAGACTATGCTGCTCCTACCAATACACCGAAGCATCCCAAAGCCATGAACAAGCAGATATACTTCGCTACCTCAAATACAGTTGGTTGTATGACAAATTTGATCGGCAAGGATGTTAAAACAAGTCTCGTACAATCCGTGAGAATTCTCCTTCGTTAGCAAGCCCGGCTGGGAGCCCTTCGGTAATATGATGCAATTCACCTTCGGGGTGCACGAATTCCCCGTTCAGTCCCTCCCCACCCCCAGCGTGGAGATAACCTCCGTATGCGCCCATCGCTTCGAAGAGATTTGTCAACTCATTGCTCATCTGAAGTCCATTCACAGGGCTGTTGCCCAATTCATTATTGGCGTTGACTCCAGCATAAGTCGCAGACAAAACTTCCATCGGATGACCTGCTAGTCCGGCCATCGCTACAGCGGCGGTAGAGTGTGGGTCATTAGGTTCCGATCCAATACTTCGCGGGAATAGGCCTAGCTTTTCTCCAATCTCCCGAAGGCCTTTGATTGTCTTCCACAACCTCTTAGACACATAGGACTTCGTGCTGATGCCCTTGACCAAATCCAACGCCATATAAAATTCATCTCGCACCTGCCGGTTGAACTCGACAGGAGCATGAGATACCGCCAAAAATAGGACGGCAAGAGCAGCAACAAGGAAATAATTAAACAGCATCTGTTGCGATCGGTAAATATCTGTCGTTTGGTTGAGTCTGGTCAAGACACGAATCGTGTCCTTGGCAATGTCCACGACAGTTTGTGCATATGGCATATTTTCCATGATACTCGTAGCTGAGTGCAAAACTGGGCGATATATGAGAATCCTTAAATGGTTGCCACGGATGTGTAACAGCAGGCGTAGACGCTGTACTGCCCTACTGACGGGCTCCGAATTCGGGGAGGGCTCAACAGAGTAGAATCTAAGGCCTTCAGGGACGTGTTTCATCCATTGCAAGACTTGATAATCCAAAAACTCGATCTTATCTCGCTTTATTGCTGCCGCTCCCTCGGAACCAACTCCAGAGTACCAGATCTTCGAGCTAAGTCGGCAATATGCAACCATCGACCTTAAGTATGGAGCAGAGTCATCCTTTGTTTTACGACAATTAGGAACCAACACATTCAATACAAAGTATTTCAAAGAAGCGACTCACCGGCTCCGGCAAATATGGATCGATATCTTCATCTTGAATTGTAAAAGGCAGCCCGGTTCCAATACTCCATCGCCGGTCTAAACAATAAATAGACCAGAAAAGTTTGTTCACAGATATCAACTCTTCCTCGTTGTTGAATGCCCTCAAGACAGCATCTCGACGATGCAGCCCTATTTCAACGCACATTCGTGCTGCTATCCCGATCAAACGATACGCCAAGGCATCATTGTCCGTGTGGAAGTGGTAGGTTGCCTAAGGTTCTATGAGCCTTCGCCGGACGAAAACCATCGTAAAACATAACCATGCTTACCACGAGAGCAAGAAGCTTTATGGTCTTTACATCACCAGGCTCCCAGAGGTTGGCCTCCACGTTATGTTTTACACTGTTGTAAAACCTTGCGCCCAATGGGCTTTCCCCGTTGCCTTCGACAATAAGAGCAACCGCCAGCACCATCTTCAGATTACTTGTGTCATCGTCGCTCAGGCAGTCGGCACCCGGCTTAAAACGCTTAGCAAAGCCTGTCCGATCAGCAGCCTCGAGGAACGTAAACAGAAGATTGGTTTGTGTGATAAGCTTCTCGATATCGAATATTGGATACATGAGACCTATTTCTTCCTCATAATTTCGACATAATCGAATGGCCTCTTCTCGCTTGATGACCCAGAGTGGATCTTTGTTCGGGTGAGCAAGCAGCTGTGGGTAGGCTAACGCTTGTTGTGGAGGGGTTTGGGCAGGAGTCGCATCCTGCGCTGTGAAAAGCTCGTGTGTTCCATCATCAACAGGCGCGATGCCCATGGTTTGGAGGCTTGATTTAGCGACATCGAAATTGAATGCCGTGCTCGTCGGTCCATGGAATCGTGGATGCTTCGAGCGGGGCTTTGTCGGTGGCACATTATGCCCATCGTAAACGGGAGGCTGCCCGGATATCGATCGTGATGCTTCCCGACTGAACTGGCTGGGGTCAATAGGGGTAGACTCCGATTTACGATAAAGCTCGGTGATATTGGAGAACAATGTATTCACTTGTTCCTGTAGCTGTTCGATATGTTTTTTCATAGACCGGAATTCTCTACATTACACAAAAAGGTGAAGTTAGACGACAGCTATAACAGTAGGGCAATTGCAGAGGAGGGTATGAGAGGCGTTCAACAAAAAAAAAACTTACTCGGACTCCTTGAAATTACTACTACAACAATTTGGCGCATAGAGGCCTGCGAAGCACTTTCATTAGCCATGCAAATGTGGAAGACAAAAATTCAACGAGCAAAACCATACATTCCAGGCCCAGGTGTCCACAGCGCTGGCAGGGCACCTGGCCATTGCATTTGATCTTCCGACGCTTGCATTCGTTGCTACACGTCCACAGTTAGTTGCAAGGCCACGAATAGCTTTTTTTGATAACTTTGACTTACCAAGCCAAGGAGATGTATCGATTCCGCTTTGTCCGCGTCTGAGTTCCGCTGTTTGGTTCCGCCTTTCGCTTTGTTTCACCGGTGCTGTTGGCGGGTGGGGGCTGAGTCTCATTGGGAGCTGGCGCGCTCGAGGCTGGAGATTTAGCAGACATTACGATTGCCTGATTTCCAAGATGGTAGATGCCGACCGTGAGTGACTGTTGGAGGCTTCTAGCCTGGTGGGCGACTCCGTGTTGAGGTTGAACTCTATCCATGAGGGGGTGGAGGGCTCATTTTCTGGGGAAAACGAAAAGCCGCTTGGCCTATTTTAGTTTCCGAGCGACCGGCAGTCAGGCAGTCAGAACCAGTATCCGAGAACGCAGCACACGAGCCACGGAGAGTGTCGAAAGCAGCAACAATTGATGGTGCACAGCTTCTCAAAGGGATGAAGAGAGCCCTTCAATCGCCCCCAAAAATACGCCGATTTGTTGCGTTGAACACCTTGACCGAAAATAACAGCATTGCAGCGTTCCGGGAATCCTACTTCAGGCCACAGGTTCCAGTTGTTTTACCACGAGGCCAGTTTCGAGACTTACCTGCCATATCCCGGTGGTTCACTGCTCCGTCTTCAATCAGTGGTGACAATTCTTCCGTCCAGTCATTCAATTATGACTACCTCGAGCAGTACGGCGACTGTCATGTCCCCCTCGAACTGACGACCACAGCTTTCAATGGCAATTCTCAGCCGGAGGAATCATTTAAGCGATTTCACGCGCCGTTGAGTTTGTTCCTCGACTGGGCTCGATCCGTTCAAAGCTCCGGTCTGGAGGGAACTTCTCAAGTCACCGACAAATCCGCAGGACCAAATGCCCATTTGTACCTTGCCCAATGCCAACTCCTCGACCTAGCAGCACCGCTGCGTGACGATTTCGCAGCCCCGTCGTATGTTACGGATGCAGGAAAGGGGGATATTTATGACACCAATGTTTGGATCGGAATAGCACCTACCTACACACCCTTGCACAGGGATCCAAACCCGAACGTATTCGTGCAGTTGGCGGGCACGAAACACGTGAGATTGCTCCCTGCAAACGTTGGACTAGGCGTATTTGACCGTGTGAGAGAGCGAATGGGAAGGAGTGGTGGCTCTCGAAGCGCAGCGCTCCGTGGTGAGGATATGATGTACGGTCTGGAAAAACAGTTGCTGGATCAGGAAATATGGGGAGATCGCCAAAATGATGATAACATACGGTTGGAGCAGGGAAAAAATGGAGAAGAATATGGATATGAAGCTGTGGTCAATGCAGGTGATGGAATCTTTATCCCAATGGGTTGGTGGCATAGCATCAAAGGCGTCGGCCAAGGCATTACTGCATCGGTGAGTTTGACACTATTTTCGATATTATCTTCTGGGTGGCATTCACCCCGCCATCCTTTGCCTTATCAACCACCTCTTGCTAATCTTGTTATCTTCTTTCAGGTCAATTGGTGGTTTCGGTAGCGGGCTGTTCGTAGGTACTCTTCACGGCAAACGATTGCTCCCGACTACAAACAGATGGCCCAGAGCTCGATTTTATGTTGCTCTAGCTTGGGAGGCCTTTGACTGGCTATTTCAAAGCGGAATTAGATTTCCTTAACTGGAAAATGAGTCTTGAGGCCCTGAGTTTCCTAGGGGCCTAACACGTGGGTACATGTCAGGCCACTGGTCGTGACCACGGATGTTGATCCTCCTGGGTGCAACCAACATCCCCACTTTAAACATCATGTAATCAGAGGAAATATGTAGTTATATCATGTTAGCGGAATAATACTTATAGTTATCTTGAATTTTACCCTGGAGTCCGCCATGCTCATTAATAATCAAATTCAACCAGAATCCTGTACGCGTTTGACATTGCGAACAGAAAATGACGAAGGATCGATGCAATGAATCTCTATTCTGTAGTTCCCAGCGTATCCTTGGCGACTAGTTGCGCCCCGCATCGAGTCGTTCCCAACTGCAGAACCAAATTGCTTCCTAAATCTACCCTATAATCGTTGAAAACTGGTCAAAATTATGCCGTCCGCCCATTCTCGCCATTCCATAAAAAGTTCGCCGCGTACGGTGGGTTTTGATGCGCCGTTCAGGATGTCGTCTAGAAATCAAAACATCTTGTCGAGGATCTTTTCCACTGTGTTTCTGTACCATACCACAAATCAGTACTCTAATGGTGAACACAGATTGCTTCGAGTAGGAAGCGGTATGGACAACTGCAGGCCGGTGAACGGGTACGAAGAGATTCTTACCTCGGTGGCTGCGGGACAAAATTTCGCGTATATTCTTCAATCTCATCTAGATCTTGCATCAGGTCTACTTCCGTTGGCTTGAGAAACCTGGTACGTTTGAAGACTTTCCAGCCAATAAACAGGAATGGAACAACAGCGATCATCGTATACGAGAACAGAAAAGTCGGTACGTCCCATTTACCAGGCAAGAAGACGGTATAACCACCCACAACTGCCATAACAGCACAGCCCACGAAGGCGTACCACGCTAGGAACGGTTGCCAAGGGGACTTGAATGGCAGGGAATTGCGAGACAGGCCCTGCGCATCGCATGCCTTCTTAAATCGAATGTAGGTGAACGCCATTATTGAGAAGTTGATCAGCTGAGACGCCGTGACTAGGCTGACAAACCACTGCAACACTACACCGGCGCTGTTGGAAACTTGAAGAAAGCTCAACAGGGCGATTAGAAGAACGAGCATCACACAATACGTCGGTACTCCGTTTTTGGTGCAACGAGTGAAGATTCGAGGTGCTTTGCCCTCGAGGGCAAGACCGTAGAGGCTCCGACTGGCGCAGTAAACGTAGCTATTACCTGCGCTGAATGCGGCCATGAGAACCATCGCGTTCACAATGTGCGGGAAAATCGGGATCTTCAGCCTGTTCATTGATATGACGTACGGGGATGCAGCAGCACCTGGGAGACCTTTGGTAAAAGCATCCTTCATAGTCGGGTCGTTGTAGGGTACATTGATGCCCACAGCCAAGCTTCCCAGAATGAAAAACGACGTTAATCGGTAAAAGACGGCATTGTACGCTCGGGGCATTGACTCCCGCGGATTTTCGGCCTCACCGGCAGCCATTGACACATAGTCCGGGCCGGCAATCGTGAAACTCGCCTGAATTAGGCACTGTAAGAATCCTAGAAACCTGCCAAGATCTCCCGTCTTATGTAACTCTGCAAAGCTCCCTGGGTCACGCCAGTACCGGAATCCAAAACGGTCCCCGATTGGGTTGCCCCCAAGCATGACAATGAAAGTATATATGATTAATGCGATGATGAGTAGGGCTTTACCTATAGCCAGCCAAAATTCTGACTCCCCGTACCAATGAACGGCGAAGAAATTGATTATCCTAACCATAGTCAGCAAGAATCCAAATTCTTCGCTCTTGCATAAAATCAAGTTGAACGGACGCAATAAAATATCCGGTCGAGCAGGGAATGGAGAGCACGCACGCATAGATCACAATTACGATCGAAATAATGACCGCAGCAGGAACGATATCGCTCCAGTAATGGATGATGAAGTTGCAAGCAACGATTTCAAAGGGCACCATGGCAGCTTCGAAGACGAAAAAATTGTATCCGGCGGCAACGCCAAACGCCTCGTCCACGTAACGACCAGCGAACCGGATGAAAGGTGAAGAGATTGGTAGATATGTGACCATTTCAGCCATGCCTATTCTCCGTGTCACGGGATCCATGTCTTAGCACATATATTTCCAGCGGGGTAGTGTTAAGGAGGAAAAAGGGCGAATAGTCCACCCAAAAAAAAAAAAGGGGTGTTTGGGCCACTGGAGAGACAAGTGCTCCGGGAAACCGCATTTGGGCCTGTATGGAATGGTGCTTATTGGAGCATCGTGAATACCGCGATGTCATCTTCGGGGTTGGGAAAGAAAACCGGGGTTCACTTGGAGTCAGAATGACGGAGGGAGTTGCCATACACATAGTAACAGCCAGAATAAAGGTACTCCTAGTTTTTCACGATCGGTATGAGATTCCAGTTGTTTCAAGTGATAGAAAAGAAATGCACAAGTTCATTGCAAGCTTCTATCGATAATCTCTGGTTTGGCGGATTCCAATCCAATGAAAGAAATAAGGTCGCTCTGCATTCAGTAGCCTGGCCTTTCTTACCTTGACTCTTAAATGGTTGAACATAAGAGCCTTTTCGACCTAGACATTTGCAAATGGAGCATACGATAAAGATCATGAGATAAACTTGTTGTCTCTGTATAAACAACAATAAATCATAGCTTGCCAAAGCTAATCATAAGAGAAATTACATAAAATAGACAAGGGGAACAAAGAAAAAGAAGAATGGTGATTTTCCTCAGCCAACTGAGGTCGATCTTAGGAGTAGACGTACCATAAGGTGAAGGCCATGAACAAATTCGCGGGCCCACCACTCATCAAGCCGGTGCCTATCTGGACGAACAGAGCCGTTCCAATTGTTCCTCCGATTCCGATTAGCTGGATATGCCTGGGCTTAAGCTTGCGATGGGTATGGTCCGCGGACGGCTTGAAATTCGCATTGCTTACGGACTCACTACTCCCAACGGTGGCGCTCTTGGGATCAGAAGCCCGGCGGATGGTAAATGACGAATCCACGTGCTTCTCCAGGTCCGGGGATTCTGATGTCAGAGAAACAGATTTCACCGCGGTAGAGACGGCACTGTGGGGTATGGGAGCCCCGTCTCCCTCACGGCCCATATTGTCGATGGTTGTGGGGAGGTGCAAGAAGGAAGCAAGGGAGGTAAAATCCTAGGTCCAGACCAAGAAACGAGAGACACAGGGAAAAGAATTAACGAAGAGATCTTTGCAACAGTGAAGAGAAAAATTCTCTTCTTTTAAGAGATAGCACTGAGCAATTCATCGTGGGGGGCCCCACCTCTGCGATTGGTTCAATGACAAGAGGCAAAAGGCTTGTAAGGTGTGGTTGAAAGGTGTCAAGGATATATGCTATGCAGGCATGAGAGGCGTGGAAGATGGCAAAAGGAGATGGTAGCGACGATCAGGTACCTTTTGAAGGCGCGAATACCTTGAGACAAGTGCGCACCTCTCCGGACAATCATGACGTTGTATACTAGCGGCCATTCGACGGTTCAGAACGAGGCTGACCCAAGCATCAGCCGCAGCTGCCGCCAAGACGTAACCTCACGAGGTGCCAGTCTTAAAATAGACTAGCGTAAGTTCAGAGGCTGGTTCTGGTTAGCGCCACCCTGGCAAGTGTAGAGGTCTTGGGAGCCAATGCCCGACCTGGGAAAACGGTTTAGGAGTTACACGGAGCAACAGGCGCCGTGCCCTCCCTTGATTTCTTGATCTCGTGAATGGTGCAACGCTTCCAGAATGATATCCTGTTCTTTTGCTTAGATACCTTGAGACATACACTGCTGGTGCTCAAAGCATCATTCCAACTCCACGGCTTGAGGAATGGCAGGAAAGTTCAGTGACGAAAATATTGTGTACACTCTATTTGTAAAGCCCTTTTATACTCCGTCCGTACAGGAATCCTGAAAGGAATTGCATATGTGATCATCATGGGTCGTATTGCTTTTTGGTCACAGAGGAGAAAATAATAGGCACACACTACCCGGTCCAAACTTTGGTCTGTTCTTCTAACATTTTTTTTTTCACAGCCAAGAGTGTCTTTGGCACTGTTTTACAGGTGAATGAAACAAAGATGAGAGTCCCAATTCCACTCCTAGCTCGTAGAAGAGGCAGGAGGGAAACCAATATTTAGCAATGGGCATCGAGGCCATGGTCAAGAAATCGGACTATCGCTAAAAGTGGGAAGGAGACCAAGGGTGGTAGAACTGCGTCCGACGTTGATAGTAGCCGAGCAGTAACTCTCCATAAGAATTTGCTTCTTTTGGGTCATATATTAGGCCAGATTACGGCTCGTCTCACTCGTAACGGAAATTTCGGTCGCCGCTCGAACCTCGTTGTCGGTCATTAGCAAATAATAAAAAGAGTAAGTCATTTAGATACTGCGTTTTTTTGGATTTGGAAGCTCGATGGGCTCCTGGAATTAAGGCGTTAGAAAAGCTGAAGTTCGACGGCCCGACCAAGACAAACGCAAATACACGATGTTAGGAGACATACTGATTGAGCCCGTCTTTTTCTTCCTCCCTCTCGGGCCTCACATGGAGTTGTTGGCGGCGAATTTGCTTCCGTTCGACGTTTTAATCCCAGGCACACAACATTCTTGACCCCCTTGACATGTATCCCGGAATTTATATGGATCTCGATCGGACGGGACATTCCAGTCTCCCGATCATTCAAAATACCGGAGGCTTTCATTGCTGCCATGACTGACGAGGCAATCTGGGCAGATTTCACTTGTCTTTGTTGCTGGAGTTGCTGCATCGCGCCACTATTGGAAACTGTTGGCCGGAGCTCGGATGGAGCAGTGTTTCCATTTTCGAGGTTTGGCCCAAAGGATGCCGGAATTGCGATGGTGTTGGCTTGGCCATCAACGACGATTGAAGAGTCAATCTTCAACACAATCGGGGGGAGTGGATCTTCCTCCTCGTCGTCGAGGTCCAAGTCATCGTTGGTTTGAACGGCAGTATATGGGGGAGGTGGGGCGGGCAGCGCGGGTTGATTCTGAAGACTTGCCAAAAATTCCGCCAGTTTCAGATTCTGGTGGTTAATGGAGTCCGAAGGAGGAAGCATCTTGCTGAGTATGTCAGAAAGATAAGACGTGTGATAAAGATGTGGATCGGATTAGATTGCGAACCAGCGCTGCAGAACGTGCTTGGTAGGAAGTTGGTTATGGTTTGAAAGAGGATGACGATGAGAAGGGATCCTATGGTTTTAAAAAAAAAAAATAATAATAATAATCTAATAGCAGATGTAGATTTATATATCCGCAGGGCAAAGGATGGCGGCAGTGTGACAAACACTGCAATATGCAAATAAACCAGCCCAATCAAAAGGGACGGTGCAGCAATGGTTTCGGCAATCCACTTGAAATGGGCTCGGGCACCATCGATTGGTATAAAGGGTTCTCCGAAGATGAGAATGGGTCAGTCAATACGGAATAGATCTTAGAAAAGATCAAAGGCTGAGAGGGAATGAAGTTCTTTTTAAGTATTTAACTGGGTTGTGTAGAGAGGCTAGGTACTCTCTCAAAAGGAAAATGAGAGAAAAAGCAAAGGATAACAACAATAAATAGGAAAAAAGAAATGGGAAGGATGGCACATTGGGACGGGGCTGGAAAATGGGACGGTATTGCGTAAATAACGGCAATGAGAGCAGAGATTGCAGTGCATAATGGAGCCATAGCTCTCCTTCAATAGGACTCGGGACAATTATTGCACCTTGCGCCTCGATTGCTCACTCCATTAAGTTGCATACATAGAAACGATGGAACTCTTGTCTTTTTGATGGACCAAGAAGTCACTCATATGAACCCCCACAGTCACTGCTAGAATGAGCTCCAAAAGTAACTGAGGATGGGGATGACATTCCTGCTCCCACATCATGATTGGACGTCAGCAGTGCATGAATATGATCCACGCACTCGGAGCGCTCTATTATTGATTCCTTGGTGAGAATGAATAGGTTGTCCTCCTATTGTTCGCAATTGTTGCAGCTGTCAATAGGGATGACTGGTGATTGGCTTAATTAGTTAGTTAAACCTTAGCCCACCGCTCCCCTTCAAGCGTTCAAGAACAAATTGACAAACAACAACACAGAGTACATGCATGTATTTCCCCCGGGATATCCTGAAGGTAAACCCCTGCCCACTTCCGCTGCTCTGGTTTCTGGTTTGCTTGCTCGCTTTCGGTGTGTTGGTGTGACAAGAGGGTTACAAGACCCCAGGTTACAAGGTTCAGTGACATTCAACCATTCTTGTGACACTCGGTTGACCACAGTATCAGCACTTGGTGTCAGAACAGATAATAGTGGCTGCGTCAAATCAACTACAGTCCTGGTTTAGCAGTCTCTCAGTCAATCTCTGGAGCTGATTGTTACTCTGTCAAAGAATCAGGTATATTTGCTAGGCTATCGGGTCACAGACTACGTATGTAACACCTCATACAAAGGATGCTTTCGTCTACATAGCTGTAAGGTTGAAGCAGAACACTTCATAGAACAGGAACATTCAGTTCGGTCTACATACCTTGGGGCAATTCTCATGCTGAGACCCTGTTGGAAACATAAAAAGACTGGAAATCCTCCGACTGTCACCATAAACGCCCATCAAACAGCCCCGAATGCCCGAATACCATGCCAAGTAAAACAATCGTCCGGTGGCTAGCGCCGCGCCTGCTGAACGGAAAAAACCTTCTTTCTGGTTCAAACGCCAAACAAACCCATTTTGTGTACAGCAGACGGTAAAAAGGGTACCTGATAAACCGGTCTGAACCAACTTCGTCCAAAGGAGAAATAAGGTGCAGATGAGGATTTCTCGTAGCACACAGCTTAGATGCACATTATGCGAGAACTCGTCGAGGGGCAAAAAGGTTCTTCGACCACGTTGGTAACCGGCCGTCCCGTTCATATTCCACTCCGCAATTTTGGCAGAGAACCTGTGTAAAATAGTCATTAGAACGTGGAAAAGAAGAAGCCGTCAGGGCAATGACTATACCTTTGGCCCCTCAGGCCCATCTCTCGCGGCCCAAGTGGCGTGTCCTGGCCAGGAGCAATAGGCGCATCGCCAGCTTTGTCTCTCCCTGTCGTGGATGTTAGTAGCCACATTTTTTTTTTTTTCTTTTTTCTTTGCTATTTTAGGAATAAGCGCTTCTTACGCATCAGTGAGCGTGCCTCCTCCACCTCCATATCCCGCTACGCCACCAACGTCGGGAGTACCCCTACCTCCGGGCGTCCCACTTGCTGGACTATTACTTCGGGCACGACGCCGTCTCTTATTTCGTTCACCTCGACCTAGGGGGGTGTCTGGATCTGGGAGATCAAAGTAGCCGCCGGAGCTTTGACGCGTCATATCTAAGCTCATGTTGGCCGTCGACGAGAACCTGGCTGTTTCCCGTCGAAGTCTTCGAATTTGCCGTTCTCGATCTCCCTCACGCTTTTCTATATCTTCCTTGGACAGAATTTGAACCCTAGGCTCCCATTCGTCGCCCAAACCGTCGGGGTCGTACCGCCAGCCAGCCTCTCGGCCGTTCGCTGCTAGATTGTCGATTTCGGCTCCATCCCCGCCAATTCCCACTAAACCACCGCTTTCGCATGCTTCTTTCTTTAATTTAAGAACAGTCTCGCAGATGCCATGAGATATAACGTTTACCCATTCCGGTCCTAGACTGAGGTCTGCACATGTCATCCGGGCGAATTGATCCGCTAGACCTTGATCATGGAGGAGGGACCATTCGAATTTGTCAGTGTATAGCTTATTTTGCAGAGTGATATCCAAAATAACAATACAACGATACGCGTCATCCGTATTAAATGAATTGTCGTCGGAAGAAACACCCTGTGATATTGCTTGCTTCCCAGCAGCGTCAGCTTGGTTAGCTGGGGTGGTAGCGGATATCTGAGCAGGTGTGGGTGATTCTGGAATATATTGTGTACGGGATAGTGTGTTTTTTGAAGCGGGTATTTTCTGGAAAATTGGATGCATCGCCACGCCCGCATATTCCTCGAGCTGTTGGCGGATTTGATTACAGACAGCCGTTACCATCATCGGCAAATTTGGCAAATCCAATTCACGCACAAATGTAACCGCATATTCCTCAGGTGTAATGAATGGCTCATGGAGATTCCAAAGAATGAAATCTTTAATCCTGTAGGGTGGAGCTGCTTCAGGCTTTCGATACGCTGGTGCCGTAGGGTTTATACCTAACTCAAGGTAATTTCGAGGCAAGGGAAATGGTTCAAGTGGCTGATGGGCAGGAACTTCAAGATCGATGCGAATAGGAACCAAGTTGAGAGGTAACAGGCCATAGCCTGTTAACTGAACTTCCTTCCTGGTAATGCATAAAAACCTTGGTTAGCGCACCATACGTCTGGAAGAAGGGAGACTTCGCATTACATTGCTTTTGGCCGTCTTCGAAGTAGCCATTCTCGGAAATTTGGCTGTACATTCGCGGGCGCGAAGATCTCTGTTCCAAGTTTCTCCCCTGTTGGTCCTCGATCCGGATGGATGTCCTCCCTTTTGAGGCTTCTTAAGCCAGTTGGTCGGCGCGTACTATCGCTATCGTCGAAGTCTTCTTCATCGATGTCATTCTCCGCGTAGTTTATCGCGGCGGTCCCGCGCTTTGTGGTTCGAGAGGCCGGGGTCTGCGTCGCAGGAAGAACCGGGGTTAATAAGGCATTGGCATATTGGCGGAGGCGAGGGGAATAAGAAGTAACGGAAGCGAAGGGAAAAGACATTTCCTAAGGTTAGAGGTAATGAAGCATTTCCTGCGCAAGCTATCCCGTTGTGCCGGCGCAATGATGCGCAGAGCAGAAAACGAAAGCCAAAAAGATATGATGATTTTGAACAAAGACAAGATGTTCACACTTGAAAGCCCTTTCCTTTTAAAATTGTAGTAATTGGTTAGGTCAGCATATATCAACAGACAGCTGAGAAGAAAAATAAAATAAAAATAAAAGTAAAAGAGAAGATAGTAGAAGATTGCTGGCAGTGAAGGCTCTCTTCCATCCAAAGGTGATCATCGATGGACGCTAACCTCTGTAAGCTTCAATCCAACCCAAATTAGCCTTTAACTAACTAGTCAAGTACGCTAGTACACATCTAGCTTAATTAAGTGCAGTAGGGAGTACTCCGTACATAGTATATTATATATGTCCCCTGGTGCCAGGCCACCTCGCATTATTTGCTGAAAACTCTGCAATGAAATATATCGCAGAATAATGGGCTATCTTATGTACAGAGGCCCAGGAATAGAGAAGCTGCCAGCCATTTTATTGTTGCTTTCAGCAGATTCGCACAAATATACCCTGTATTCCTAGGTTTGTTCGCATGTATCCTCACAGTTCAACGTCTTTTTTCCATCGCACCTTAGTAAAAGGCAGAGAGACGCGCCTTCTCAAGACTAGACGTAGCAATGCTGTGCTGATAGACAGGCACTTGATCAAACAGACATTATTAGAAGTGTCCATAGATGAGACATCCACATCTTTAAGACTGTAAGTTATAAGACTTGTATATCCACATCTCAGAAGCTGGGGATAGAAAGCAATTCAAATGTGATATGACCCAAGGTCTAAATATAAGAATACAACATCTGTCTAAGTGTATTCATTAGTACCAAAAGAGGGGAAAAGAAAAGAAGAACCAAGTAGAAGCAACCACTTGGAGTGACAAAGTTGGCTTTAGGACAGATAAACCTAGCAAAGTGCAGTCAAAATGGCAAATATGAGCATCAAGGGATAGATCCATGCAGAACAAAACTTTCGAGGACGTCAAATAAAGGAAACAATACAATAATCTAGCTCTCACTGTTTGAAACAGGAAATACAATAACACTTGGGGGATATATTGAGCATGGAGGAATGAAATAGGAAACTGCCACTGTACCACATGCTGAGGATAGGAGGATTATCATCAACCTCATCGCCCAAAACAGGTGGGAAAATCAAGAATTAAATGCCTCTGTCAACGAAGTCCAATCACACTCTGCAACAGGTTAGTTTGGTAGGTTCAGGCAACTATAATAGGAGCAGGGAAATCCAACGTCCAGACACATACCATTTCAAGCGTCCAAACCCTACGGATCCAGACTTTAAGTGTGCCCTCTACCCCTTCTATCCCTTCTAGCTCCACACCCTCCCACCAACACCGTCGCGCGGGCTTCCTCCAAAAAAGGAGCAATTTCTGGGCCATGCCAACAGCATTGTTATTAGCTATATCGCTCCGGATATCAGTCCGCAATTTGGCTAATCCCAAGCTGCATATAACAGCCTTATTGGGCTCTCCAGAGCGGTGTCCCCACTGGTCGTTGTGATTGAATCCGCTAGGACACGTAGGCCGATTAATACTTGACCATACCTCTACATTGGAAATGTGACTCACCCAGCCGTTAACATCTCGATTAGGTGCTGTTCTGTCGTTCCGGCCTCGTCGCTTTTCTTGAGACCGGAAAAGATTCCATCCTGTTTGAGCAAAGCTCGGCCAGCAGCTCGCTTGATTTCCATCATCTCGTGATGGTCAATTTCCGCATGGGGTGGAATCACGTAGAAGTCAAGGTCCTCGCGAAGTACTATGATTCCCGCGCGATCCTGAAGCATATCTCTAGAGGCACTCTGCATAGGGTCGACTTGCTCCCCTTCTGGTGAAGTAGTCGGGGATGGAGATGGGGACGGGATCGACTGCGCCACGGTCCGGAAAAAATCTAGCATATACTGAAGGGATACAGGGTCATACTAGTCAAAAAGCGTAAGAATCTAGTCTAAAACAGGGCGAGGGCAAAAAAAAGGATGGCTTCGAAGCCAACCACATCCATCTACCCACTTACGTCGACTGAGTATACATCTCCCTCGTGGAATCCGCCCATATGGGTGTCAGGAAGCAATCCGTTGGGGAAAAGAGACAGTAATACAAACTCCGGTAGAGTGAGTAATTCATCGCGTGATAATGTGAATCGAGTGCCACTAAAATCGCTGAAAATCAGAACCCGATCATCGTCCAGACGGCCATAAGTTTCTTCGAAAGGGGAGATACAAACCGTAGATCCAAAGTAATATGCTCATCTCCTCCAATGTCTACGCAAATCAAAGTGAGATATGTATCAGTTTTCCAACCAACAAAATGGCATTTTTTATAAAAGGATTCATCGCCATCACGGCTGGCCACTCATCGAACAGGATTCCGACACATACCTCCAAGCGTATTGAGCGGCGGCCCTCCCGTTTGTTGCACTTGAGTAATGATACTCGCTGCCCCTCCCGCAGCCGCCATGACGTATGTAAATGACTGAAGAGGGCTGGATCCTTCGGTGTAAGGAGGAGGAGGCTCAGCGTCGTCCGAGCTTTTTCCTGTGGATTCCCCTTTCTTTTCTCTCGAAAAAGCAGCTTTGGTATCTGCAACAACGGAGGATGCGGCTGCGGGTGAAGAGAGGGCGGGACTTTCCTCAAAGGGCGGAGCAGGCGCGAAAGGAGGAATGAAGGGAGCGCTTGAACCTGTGATTATGTCTTTGACCCGCTCAAACTCAGGCTCGGGGTGAAGGTAGAGCGACGAAAAGGGAGGCGGGCGAGGGGACGGGGGACTCGAGGAGGAAGAACTGGGAGAAGGAGAAGGAGAATGGGGAGGTGGAGGTGGCGGAGGATATGCGTCGTCGTTCTCCACGATGAAGGTGTAGCGCTCACAATATGGCAGCGCCCTAGCAGGCGAGCCGAGTGAATCCTGTCGGTTCGACAAGGCGATGAAGTTATTAATTTGGAAGCAGTAAAATAATGGCCCTTGTGCTCCTTGGCCCCTGCAATAGCAAGGTCAGAATGGGTGCGCTTGAATCTCGACTGGGTTTGTCCTAACACCCAACTAGCTGGATTGGGGTGCTAACGTCTTGTACACGGCGCTTCAAACGGACAGGCAGGGCAATTTGGAGTCAATATTTAAACATTAAATTTTCAGGGATGGATCTGATGGACTTTCATTTGTCTAAAGATGCGCATTGTTGTGAATGAAAAGAGGGCGCTATTAGTGACATACAATTGGAGGTCAAAGTTTTGGCGGTCATCGTCTCCTATTCTAAGTGGCGGTTCTCCATCAAATAGGGCCTCTCCAACCACCTGGAGTGTTAACCTTCCCCGAAACTATCACAAGCAGTCATCTGTTTAGGTGTATTCTGTACGGAGTACAGAGTGCCTGATATGAGATAATCATTACATAGGGTAGAAAATGTAGATTCAAAAGGTATCCCTTGCTGGCATTATCATACAAACTAAACGTGTAAGATACATTTTCAGGGAACAGGCTCTCGAAAACAGTTGACAGCATCTCTCTGATCAGTTAGCAGAGCTAAATAATAATGTCGTGCGACTCTAAACAATGCGGAGAGAGGCAAGGCACGGGAAAGCCAACCCGGGGATTCACTAGTGATGGTGCCCAGACTCCTCTAAGTGGACTGTTGTCCGCTGCGCTGTTAAGCCTCCCTTGGAAAACGTTGGACGCCTCCCCGGCACTAACGGCGCACGTGGTTTCAGAAGAAATCTTCCTAGCACCTTTGATATTGGAGGAAAGTGGCCGAGTATCTGGGGTCCCAGAGTCAGGTCTCTATTGAGACGATAATTTGATCTTCATGCAACACCCGTCTGTGGCCTAGTCTCACCAAACTTACTAGTGTCGTCGTGATGAATGAAAGTATTTTGAGAATCCTCCGCATCGGATCTGCGCGACAACTTCCTCTGTTCCGGGTAATATGGTCCACCTGGATGTAGAGGTTGAGCCGCCTAAGAGGCACATTAGTAAAAACGAGCGTTACCTTCAAGGATTTTATCGAGTACCAGCGTCCGTGTGGGCAGCCGAAAAATTCATGGAAGGGTACTGACTTGGCGGAATTCGTCGCCTTCGACCGTGACCTCGCGATCTCGAAGCTGCCGCATCAATGCAAGAAAATTGCTCTCTTTGAACTTCTGGCTCTTATCGTGACTGACGCTCTCGAGTAGCTGGCCGGCCGTTCGGGCAAGTTCCTCGGCTTCATCTGTAACGGCTTGCTGTGCTGGTATTGTATCTGACCCTATCTTTATTGGTTCCAACGATATCTCCTCATTTAGCGTTTCATTTTCCAATTCCTGGAGCTTGTTCTCTTGTAGTTCAACCTCAGCGCGGGCCTCGGCGAATGCCGCTTCAAATGCTACCTCATCAAAAACCTCTACTGCCTGCGAGTTCTGCGATTCGAGTATATGGGACTGGTCTGAGTGGTTTGTCCCGAATGTGTTCATTGGTTGATATGGCATATGCGCCATGGGGCTATGCATCATTTGCTTCTGCGGTATCGGATTTTGCAAGTTTGGTTGGGCCTGGTTGATAAACTCATTATGCCAGCTAGACGAAACGGGGGCATGAACAGCCACCTGGGCTTGGAGTCGATGTTGAACAACTGAAGGAGATGGCGCTGAAATATGGAGGTTTTGGAAATCGGAAGCCCAGCTAGAATTTTGTGGGTGGTGGTTTAACGGGGAGAGAGCTGGCCCTCTTTCGTGAAAGACCGGTGGACTATGGATATCCGGTACAGCTGGGCCTGAAAGCCCGGACTCAAAAGCGTGAAACTCGGGATCTAGAGTGCCTTCATTGGGGTTACGAGACCGGAAGCCCTTGTAATTCTGGTCAGTAAACGCTGCGTGCTAGTGGTTGTGGACCAAGATGACAGGCCAGGCTTACCTGTGTGGGAGTATGACGTGATGATATTCGGTCTTGCTGAAGAGTTCTGTCTGTAGAAGCATGCTTCTGAAAATTCTGAAGCGCATTTGAAGGCCCGCAGAGTGCGTCTGCCATGACCGAACGTCGCCTTGGTAGATGTCAACTGATGAAAGACGGAATGGCGATCGAAAGGGCGAAGAGACTAGGACGGCGGGCAGGAGAAACTGAAACTGGCAATCCAAAAGGGTTCAGGCTTGACTAGAGCACCTCGCTCGTTATCATAATTATCGCATTATACTTAATGGAATATCCATGCATAGTGCATCCAAAATGGAATCCTTCAGATGCTTGGGGATTGTGTTTCACTTTCAACCGAGGCGATGATGAAAGCGGAGGGGCAACGGTGTCGGTTAGAATTTCCCGATTGGCTGGACTGGAATCCTGTACGGGGGAAAACTAACGGTAGCTCTCACCTACCACACAGATCAATCTATGGAGTACTCCGTACTCCGTACTGCGACGCCTCTACGGAGTACTTCGTATACATTTACAAAATGCAATAGATTTACAACATAATATTTTAACTGTCACAAAAGACATGACCTGAATATTTATTATTTCTATTTAGTAAGTTATTCATAGTATTCTTGTAAGTTCTCATTCTTTCAACACCTCTTCTTGTGGAGATTACAGAAATTACAAGATATTTTTGGTAATTTATAGCAAATCTTGATATTGTATGTGAGGATTATCAGCAATCAAGCTCAAACTTTATCTATAATCATAAAAGAGATGCATATCATCTATCCTCATAATTAAAAAGTCACAATAACATCTAGCCGCAGAGATATTATGTTGTAATTTATCGCATTTTGTATGTGTATACGGATAGTGGTGTCTTGGTGGGTGATTTGTTAAAACCAGCGCGACGGATTATATAAGCAGACCTTTCGGAAGCGGAATATAGTTTACCCAAAATTAGCTCTAGATTGATAAGATTAGATCAAAGCATTGGTGGCAGCAAGGGGCTGTGGTGGCTTGTTTGCGACTTTGGGCCAGCTATGAAGGTCCCATTATCACAAAACCTAGCTGGAGTGTCGCTCCATTACCCACCTCGATCAACAGCCTCACGTCCTTTTCCAATTGCATTAGATTTCCTTATAGCCTGACTCGGACGGCATAATCCGTTGCTGTCAAAATGGTATGCCTAACTCTTGCACCATTTCCCTCTCGAGCCGCCCTCTCACTAATCAACTTGGTAGGCACAAGTGATAACCAACTCCGGTCACGATGACATGATTGTACGTTCCCTTCAGTCCTCTAGGTACCATCTTACCAACGGACGGAGATGCTCTCCTCGAGGCTTGCTAGCTATTGCTAAGTAGTTGTAGCATGATGCTGGGATGGACTACTACGGCCGCAGATTGGCGACATGTTCCTCTGATAAAACAATAAAAATATTCGAGTTGGAGGGCGATTCACATCGGCTTATTGAGACGCTTAAAGGGTGAGAGAAGGCTCCGTATCCACTTCTGACTGTGTGGAGGTTAACGAGGGTTCCCTGAAGGCACGAAGGTGCGGTGTGGTGTGTCGCATGGGTATGTACATCCAGTGACCCTCTGCATCTCCAATATGCAAAGGACTACTTAACCTCATATTGACGAGTGACTTATTCTCCAGGCGCACCCTAAATTCGGCACCATTCTCGCATCCTCCTCTTACGATGGCAAGGTTCTAATATGGCGCGAGCAAAGCTCTGCCGCGTCAACCGGCAGCTCGTGGAGCAGAGTTTTCGATTTTTCTCTCCATACCGCATCTGTGAATATGGTCTCTTGGGCTCCACATGAACTTGGCTGTGTACTTGCATGTGCCTCTTCAGACGGGCACGTCAGCGTCCTAGAATTCCGGGATAATAGCTGGACACATCAAATATTCCATGCCCATGGTATGGGTGTCAACTCCGTTAGCTGGGCGCCAGCTGCAGCCCCAGGCTCCGTCATTAGCGCGACACCCAGTACAGGACAAATTCGCAGATTTGTAACTGGTGGAAGTGACAATTTAGTAAAGATCTGGGACTACAAGTAAGTCTTGCATTATAATTAACCCATGACTATCCTATCTAACTATCCGTAGCCCCGAAACAAAAACCTATGCCACGTCTCATGTTCTCGAAGGACACACTGGCTGGGTCCGGGACGTCTCCTGGTCACCGAGCATTCTTTCACGGTCCTACATTGCCTCCGCTTCTCAGGATAAGACTGTCCGAATCTGGACATCTGATCCATCAAATCCCAACGAATGGACAAGCCACCAACTTGAATTTGACGCGGTGGTCTGGCGTGTCTCTTGGAGCTTAAGTGGAAATATTCTTGCTGTCAGTGGTGGTGATAACAAAGTTAGCTTGTGGAAAGAGAACCTGAAAGGCCAGTGGGAGAAAGTGAAAGATATCGAGGAGTGAGGTGTTGATGTAATGACTGAAAGTATTCTCCTTGTTTTGCATTTTTATAAAGCTTCATAATTCTTTGACAAACAATCGGTGCGTCGATCTCGTGGCATACTGCAGGATAAACTGGGAGAAGTCCCAGAAGCAAACAAGCCACCTTAGCGTAACCGGTTTAGCTGCAGGTTTTCGAGAGCCCAATGCAACCACAGGCAAGAAGAACCGAAAAATGCTCTGTGCTGCCTCCGCAAGCACTAATTTTCCTGCTCGCCTGCCAAGCCATATTCCTCACAGCGGTTCCCAGAATATAAATGGGCCCCCATCCCATTCCTGGGACATCATCTTCCTCCATCTTCCCATCATAATTCTACCACCTTGTAGAACTGCGCCTTCATAACCATATGCCCATGCAAAATTCTCTACCCAGTTGCCGGGCTCCCAGTTTCCTAGAGCACCCGCACCTAGACAGGTTTCGTAGCCTTGGTCTGTGTATTCATAGATCATGAAACAGACGCGTTTCCAACCAGGGAAGCCCCCTTGCTTCCCGGGCAAACATTCGGAGAATCCCAAGACTTTATAGGTATCGCCATCCCCAAACTGTTCACCGCTATACCATTCTCGGTGAATGTCATCGGCGGCAGAATATGGGAACTCCTCCCGTTCGAATAACTCCGGCCAGGCCACGGGCCCTACAACCACGTCAAGCAGCTACAAGTTGAAGAATTAGCCTCAGAGACAATTGGTAAAGGATCTCTTTGTTTATCTACCACACCAAATGAGGGAGTTTGTTCCAATGCGTCGAGAAATCAGCACACGTCTGACGATCGATAAGGTCGTCTACCCCCCTAAAGGGATGGATGCACGCTATTAACAGGTTAACCAAGCGCCATAAGATATATACGAAGGTAAATTAACACCTACAATAGTAACCGATCCATTTGGAGCCAAAAGTAAGCCTCCCGAAATTTACATGCCAGCCAAGAGGCGGGTCCGTCAGCTTGTAAGACGAATGCAAAGTATACTCCTCTCTGCTTGTCAAATGTCTCTTCCAAAAATTTCTGATATGCAGAAGCTGCTCCAAATCCATTTCCCCCCCTTCAAAATCGAAAATCTTGGTTCTATCCCGACTCCATACGCAATGGCAATATCGTAATCTTCACGCAAAGAGCGAAACGGCCGGTCCTGGCGAAGAGCTAAATGCGTTACGCATACCTGTATCGCGAGAAAGGAATCTGTCGGCTTGAGAGATCCCGATAGTCTTTGATGCACGCTGTCACAGTTTCCTTCTGTATACTTAATCTGCGCGGCCAAAAGCCCACCAGGCCGCTTCGCATTTTCAGGATCAGAAGAGTTTCGCATACGCTTTGGATATAAATAAGGTTTGTTTGGATGCTTTTTGGGCATCAGCGTCCCCTGCTCGAAATCGATTGCCATAAACTGCTGCATCTCTTCATTCCACGGCATATTTGGCTGATAAAGGTCACCATGAACCACACCCATTTGACGCAGTTGTTTTGTGAGCTTGTGCTGGGCTTTGCAGAAAGCCTTGTATTTCTCTCCATCCTTCTCATCGAATCCTTCTATCTGATGCAGGGGCTTTCCAGCTCAAGAAAGCAGTGCACGATTTCATCCAGGCTGTCCATGATGAAAGCATGCTCCAAGTCGACGCCTCCAAAGCAAACAGTGATCTGATTTCCTTGCAGATTCTCCAAAAATGCATACACTTGTGCTTCGTGCCGAAGTAAATCAACTGCTTCAGTAACCGTCCCTTTGCCGCCAAAAGTGTAACCATAAGGAAAAAGAGTCATCTTGAAAAGGGCACCGATTCTTCTACGAATTCACCATAATAAAATGCACCCATCGTCCCGGTCATTGTTCACTTGATTCCGAACAAGCTCTGCAACCTTGGACTTTGGGATTGTGTGGTTGCCATCAGACGCTTCGCTTTCGTGGACCGGAACGTTCGGGCGGTTTCGATCAAGGGGGATTGATTTGCCAAACCGGAAAGGCACCTTTGAGTGCAATATTGAGCTAATGACCGTCGATGTCGCGAGGGAAGGGTGGATCGTTTGGTAGGACGATGGGACGATGGGGAGGATGGAGAAGAGGAAAAGTGTAGTTGTACGCTTCCGTACCATTCCAGAGTCTCTCTTGATTATTATGGGTAGGTAACGAGATGGTTAGCCTATCAGGGAAACTATAGAGTGCCCTCGTATAATGTTTCATCAAACACTAGGTCTGCTTGCTTCAACATTTATCTTTCTTCGTGGCATGCTTCATGTTAGAATTCAAAACAAAGCTAGAAGTACATCAATCAACTGAACTTGGCCCCAATGCGGATGTCCATGGCCGACTTTTCTTCCTATGAGATGACAGTGAAGCTTTTGACTAGAATCAAGGAGGGAAGAAAAAAAAAAAAAAAAAGGAAATTGAAGAAAGAGACCCATCAGGAAGCAGGATAATGACACAAAAAAGGCCTCATTGGTTTACATCAGAAACCTTGAAAAGTCCGCTACTATCAGAATGTCGGGTATCTGAAAACAGTTCCAGACAGCGCTAATGAGCAGTGTTGAATCGAAGAAGGGATAATAATCAGACAAAAGGCTGAGACCAAAGAAAAAAAAAGGGGGAAAGGAAAAAAGGGCCACCTCCCAACCCACTGTACCCAGAAACATAAGGAATTGCTCTCAAGCTGAATAGCAGAAATTACAAGTCAGAAGGGAAATCAGTAGAAGTAGAAACTAATTGCCAAACAAAAGAGAAAGAGCGCCAAAGGAACAGATTCGTGAAGGCCTCCGATCAGAATTTGACAACAGAGTAGTCCTTTTTTGTGAGAGACCAAAAAAAAAAAAAAAAAAAAAAAGAAAAAAGAAAAAGAAAAAGAAAAAAGGCCATGAAGAACACCATAAAGATTGTGTGATCATTGACATCATTTTCATTAATCAACCAAGCGAGGGAATCGCAAACAATCATCGCGGGTCATTTATGAAGACTCAATTGTGGGAATTGACAACAGACGAATCGGCTTGGGGTCGACAAAAGATTTTGCTAAACGGAGGGTCTGAGGTTCGCGTGTCGACCTCTGGCAGCAAACAGACTCCTTCTGCCTTTCGAACCACGTCTTTCAGTGCCCTCGTAACAACACCTGCACGTACGACAAGGTCCCGGAGAGATTGGGTGTCAAAGGCTAGTTTATGTTGTCCGTCGGAACCTTGTTTGGCAAAGGCGTTTTCGCGCAGCTTTCGATCTCGGTGTATCGTATCGAGAACATACTTGGCTTTTGTGGATGAGTCTGTTCGTGGGCGAAGGTGCTGCCTCCCATTGCACGAGACATGTTCTGCTTTGGGGAGTGCAAACTGGTCATCGGTAATCGCCACAGTATCAGATAGTCCTGACTGCTTAGCATACCCTAGTTCGGCATCAAACTCTTCGAGGCTAAATGTGAGAGACGAGGTTGAGCGCCTCATCCTGAGCTCGTGCTCATATTCTTCGTCTTCCTCGAAAGTGGCCAGACTAATGATGCCTTGTGCTTCTTTCCACAATTCACTCGAAGGACCGTCAATTATATGCATCGCCCTAGCCCTAGCCCTGAGGAGTTTGAGCTCCTCTACTAGCACAGTCAGCTCTTGGACGTGACTAAATTGTCCATAAACACTCTCCTGTCGTTCCATGATTGCCTGAGGAACTTTCACAGTTTGCGTCATGCTCGGCGGGTCCTGGCGTTTCTCGGAAGGATTGGTTTGGCATTGGCGCTCGCTATCCCCAAAATCAAAATCACCATCCCAATCTTCGCTTGCTCCCTTATTTCCTAAACCCCAAGTTGCGAACTTTTTGGCGCTGGGCTCCTTTGGTGCAACCGGCTCTCGCGAAAGTGGTACGCTTTGGCTTCGCAGATGAAGAGAGCTCGATGTACGGCGGATAGCAGTTCTACCCCCACGTAGGTCAAGGAACTGCTCTATATGAGAAGTTCTAGGTCGGGGATCGGACCCTTGCTCGTCCTTTTTAATCTTTTGTTGTTCGGACCAGTCATAAAGACAGAGGTGAGAATTCTTCTCAGAGTTTTCGTTAAATGCGACGGATGAAACTGGACTACATGTAGTGGTTCTGTGAAAGTCCGACGCGGAAACGGAGTTTGTAACGGTGACACTAAGATTGTTGTCATGCCGATTATTTGATAAAGGAAGGCCATTGGCATCACGGCGGGACTTTTCGATATTTTGGAGCTTAGCAGTTCGCCTAAGGCGCTGGGTTTGCGGACTACTTGAAGCAGACGATGAACTAGCATCTTTGTCTAATCCGGTATCCGAGAAACTTATCTGAGCGGGCGGTGAACTCTTCTCAGCATAAAGCAGATGCTGTTTATCGTCGGAGAAGCCCTCAAAAGAATGGGTAAGGGGCGTTGAGTGGTTTGATGCGAAATCAATATTGGGGGGATAATTTTCAGCAGGCAGAGAGACAAGTTTTGGGGCAGTAATCGAGGTTGACTGATCAAATATTGTTTCAATACGAGGACCACGACGGACCGATTTGTTGCTTCCGGCTGCACGGGTTGGCAATGAATCAAAGGCAATGTCGCTTTGGAAGTCGGTGTCATCTTCTTCCCCAGAACTAAACACCTTAATATCATTATCAGATCCAACCAACGTCGACGCTGGGTCTGATCCTGCAGCTGAGTGACGTTGATTTAGACAACAATCTACCGACGGTTGAGTGGAGTTCGCGGTCGGGGAACCTGGGGGGGAAGGGGCTCTAGGTGACGACTTAGAATCAAGGTTTGCATTGCCCGAATCAGCTGCAGCCAAATTAAGCGCCTCGCATCGAAGATTCGAAAAATTTGGAAGATGGCGTAAACGGGCCTTTGGAGTAAAATCCTCAGTCACGGTCGCAGTTCTCTCGAAGTGGGCTGCGGTCAGCTCTATTTGGGACGATGTACTCGGACGACGGAAGACGTCTGGGTCGGTGATGTTTCCTCTTCGTCGCGATTGCACAGAACCCCCATTAAGCCTCTCACTTTTGCATCTACGCGCGGAGTCTATAGATGGCAGATCCAGACAATCATTATCTTGTGAAAAAGAAGATCTATGTGGCGCGTTCCTCGGCATGGTCCATGGAGATATGAGGTCTTCACTGTCAACGTCTTGCATAGAAGAGCAAGGTTTCAAGGGTACGTGTCTAGTGACAGGTCGATGCGCGAAAGGATCACCTCCTAAGTCTGCTGAGTTCCATGACTGATGACCTTTGGCGATCCTTGGTTGGTCTGAATTGACGATGGAATTGCTGTGTCGGTTCGTAGGTGCGATAGAGGATGCAAGTAACAAAGTGGGAGGGACACTGGAGTGAGAAACAAGCCGACATGGAGACCGGGTTCGATGTTTTGACGTCGCAGTCCGTCGCCTGCCGTAGCTCTCTGAACACCTTGTTGGGCGGGTCCTGCTAAAGTATGGTCGCCATGGGCCGTCGTGATTTATGCCGAAGGCAGAGTTCCCACTCCGAATCGAAAAATTCGGAGTCAGCTTTGGGGGCGTAGACTCTACTCGGCTATCAGTTAATGAACGCTGGCGCATAGTTGCAGATCGTTGATGGCTTGTAGCCGGGCGGCGTAAGAGAGGCAAAGAAGTAGGCCCAGCAGTAAAAGGTGGGTGCGATTCTGGGAGCCCGTGCGAGGAGGTCGATCGTTTCACAAGCTTGTTGGGAGAGGTAACGGGATGCGATGAGAGGAAAAAGGGGGTCGTAGAACTGGTTATAGATGGAGATTGTGGTCGCGACCCAGAGACTGAGCTCCCATTCAAGGACGAGGTAATTGTCGAAAGCCGTCGTAGCCACGATGACGACGGTCGCCCGGTGATGGGAGATGGAAGTGCTTCATCTGTGACTTCTCCCTCACTGATTGTAATTCCGGGGCCTACATACGTCCGACGGCGGGGACGAAGGCCGGTTCTCTCCTCTGGCTTCCTTGCCGGCGTCCTAGGTTCTGTTTGCAGGCCTTTATTCACAGCTGGATGCGGAGCTTGAACCTGTGGGAATGGCTGCTGCTGCGAAAAGCTAGGAGAGGGAAAGCCGGGGTGGGCGGCGGTTGCAGGACGAGGCTCAGCAGCGCTGTTCGAGCGGGAGTGGCAGCGTCTCGCGAGGAGGCTTTGCCTCCTTCTCGCTGTTAATGGGCGTTGTTTTGGGGGAGACGGTCGACCTAGAGCAAAACCCGTGGCTGCAATGCCAATTGTGCCAGCCGCACAGAGCTAAGTGATAGGTTGCATGTTAGCATATATAAAAAGAACACCAGACTCAGATTCTAGTCTAGCTGGTGGGAACAGATAGCAGGGAGACGGGCCAGGCACTGAATTCTGCTCCAAAAAGGTCCGATGAGGGGGCGCAAAGCGCGCTTGGGACAGATTGGGCAGTGATTGGAGTTGAACAGTCAAGGTTTGGGAGGCACCTACGGTTGATACGTGCTCCATCTTTCCGTTACGTAGCCAGGGATGAGCTTCGACGCCACATCGATGGTTGACCTGTTCCAAGTTGTGGAAGACCTCACATGCCTTCGATCATGTTGTCGTCGATGCCTGTGGGCGCGTAACGAATTCCCAGAACATCAATTGGAGAGAGGCGATGGGGAGTCGCAGCGCTCTTGGTGGTGACGAGGAGGGATCGAGGTGCGACCGACGAAACTGGAAGTTTGACGCCAGCCTCCGAGAAGAGAAATGTTTCGGAGAGGAGGTAGTTGGCCGGCGAGATAATGAGGAGGTGTTTTGCACCAAGGTTTGTTGATGGGGGGATTCTATTTTGGGGGGAAGCGTGGTCGGGGGTCTGACCAACTCAACCGATGGTGGAGGGAATCGCCCTTCGGCAGGCTAACTACGTGCTTAGCCCCGAGATCTTCCAACTTTAGATCAACCCTAAATCAACAAGAGCGGTTTCACACCAGAACAAGAGAAAAAGAAACATGGGAATGGAAGAGGAGGGTGGTTCGGTTGTCTCAGGAGGTGTTCTCCTTCGCTGTGGTGGTTGTTATGATCGAATGAGGTTGATGACTGGGGGCCGGGCAATCTCTGGCTGCTGATTTGTTTTGGTATTCCAGACGCGGGAAAAAAGCAACAAACCAGAAGCAGGGAATGCAAACAATCCATGGATTCTTGGTTCAGCCAATAGTTCAGCCGGCTGCTGTCCTGGTGTAACTCTCTCGACCTTCCAAGTCATCATCATCATCACACACAACAGAGAAATCGCTCAATCCCAGGTTATTGCTTCATCTTGTCTGCTGATCTGTTGCCTAGTTAATTCTCCTCTCCTCCGGGTCTGAGGAGCTCAGAGTCTCGCCATGCAGACATCCACACAGACAACAAGGCTCGCTCAGGAGCTCCAAAACCCACCCGAGCCCACTTGTCGCTTTGGGGTTCCCTGCCTGCAAAAAGCTTGGCCCATCTTCATGTCACATGATCAAGCTTTTTCTGGGCAGTGCAAAGCGGTTCATTTCGAGTCCTTCGCACGAACGGACAAGAAGCTGGTAAAAGTGTGTTGAATGTCGCACTGTTGAGAGAATGCTTTGAGACGGAAGCCGTATCACCAGCTCGTTATATTTTCCTTAACCCCTTAACGAGGGTTATACCGGCCAGCTGTTTGATCAAAAGACTAAAACGGCAAGACTAAAACGGAAACTCTACTGGTGTCTGAACGTTCAGCACCCAGGATTAGACCAGAAGGACAGATCTATTCCTCACTTCTCTGGCTACCTGCTGCCCTTAGGCCGGGTAGTTCAGGTATTAAACCTCTACCTGCAGCCCTAGGTAGAAGACGGCTTCATAGCCTTGCTGAAAAATATAAAGAACTATTGCATTGTTACTCCGGTTTCCTGAGGCTGAAGCTTCCCGTCACAAGTCACAATTTGAGGGACCTCTTAGCTACCTCAGGAAGCCCCGATATGTGTTTTTACACTGTTTGTTGATTTCCTTCGGGGAGGGCAACTCTGTTTCGAGAACTCAAGTACCTACCTATATGAGTGCGGAAGAAGCACTTGTAGGCTACCAAGCTCAAAAAAGCATGTTCTCTTGTAAGTGGCTAGGGCACTAGAGATGCTGTGATACAGTCAAGCCGCCGCCGATCCTCCAATTTTGACAAACTACATCCGGGTCGTGGTGTTTCCCATGTTGACTTCTCCATGCTACTCTACACAGAGAGCGTGGGAAAAAGGCCCAGAAAATAGTTTTTCGACATGTAGTTTTCCTACTTCATGTAATCGGCCCCGGATAGAACGCCCATGATGGGGTAAACTCCGAGACACAGCACCCCCGCAACGCACAATTTTTTGCCTTATCTAACACTCTAGACGCAGCCTTCCATGTCCATCCGGACCAGTATCACGATGGATTTCCTCGTCTGCTAGGGGCTATTGGCTTTGTACGAAAAAGGCCATGTCGCGGATCCGGCCAGAGTTGCCGGGAGAATGGAGTCGCCTTGTGAGTTGATGGTTTTGAGGATCTTCATCACAGCTTATTGCGTGTTGCATCGGAATTGGATTTGCTAAAAATGACCAATTTTTCTCCAATTCAGCTGACTCAATCTAGTTTCTCATCAAATAACATTAAAGCTTGCCTTGTTAGCAGTTTTGGGGTGATCTAAGATTCGCATATCTTCGGTGCAACAAGAGAATTTGTGTTCATGAATATCACCAGCAGAAACTTCCCAGGACCAATGGTGAACACGCATCTGATTCTAATCAAGTGTATGCAGAACTGAATAAACTTTGGCATGTTGCCATATAACAGCTCTCTGCTTGACCTGTGAGGTATTATCAATTTAATTTGGAGATTCTGGCCCTAATCATATTCTGGAGCGCGGGTGAGGATTACAACATTCCTTTGGACAGGCCAAGGAGACTCTAGAACAGAGCCTTAGCGTTAAAATCAACCTTGAAAATATGGAACAACAAACAGTCAGCAAAATTTGATATCGCGGCTCCGGAAGATATGTTTTGCAATACTACATTCTGCTCGAATTCAACACGATTCTCTTAGCCATTTGGTACTTTGAGTCACCTGTGTAAAACCGAAAACCGTACATACAATGCCGCTCGCTATGTATGTGCATACATACTTGACCTTTTTGGCAGCCTGGGTGTGAGTAGCCTTAGGCTTCGAGCTATACTACCAACACAACACCACCGTCTTGATTAGATTGATATTTTCTGCTTCAATGATGGTTCCGAGCGTCCCATAGATAGATGGATCCACTTCTGGGAAAGGCTTCGGTTTTTAATTGTTTCAAAATAGTACCGGCTCCTGAGTTTCGAAAATATATCCTGTTACCCTGTACGCAGGTAAATTGACTTCATTCCTTGGGAGCATTTGGTCGTATGGACAAATTTCAACAGCGGAAGGCCCACCAGCTAACTAGTATAGATGCACACAGAAATTCGACCCGAATCTGGGCATGGCGACGTCGCATGTCAACCAAATCCTATTTCATCCCATTCTTTTTGTTATTTAACCTTCAGTTTCAACCTCAGCAGTATTAGATGGCAAATGGCATTCCGAGGCTCTGGACTGGGCCATTCGTCCATACGATTTCAGATGGCAAGCCGTAGTTACATGGATCAGCAACCGACACTTGCAGCGTTTTCGTCATATCGGCACGAGACTTCCGGTTATCGAAACATCCAATGATCGGTTCTAATGTGAATCCAACCGCACCCCGCCTTGTTCATCCTTCAAATTCGGAGTACTCCGTACTCTTTAGATTTGTTTATTTTTGTTTTTAATACCCTCATGGTAGTTCCGTTAAGCAAAATCCTCGAGCCTGTGTCAATTTCTCCACAGAGTTGATGTGATCAAGCACCTTTCCGTTATGCTACGAGACGAATGATGCTCTAATAAGAATGAAATTAGATGCCGCCGCTCCTTAAACCTAGACAACAGGCCCAAGCCTTATATAGTAAATGCGTTCAAGGGCAGCCGTGTGAGTTTTGGTTAACTACGGAGTACGGAGTAACTAGTTAACAAGGTTATTTAACGTTAGTTAGTTATCTCTTAGTCATCAAATTCAAGAGTTCAAACTCATTGGAAGTGAAGTCTCCATGCACCACAACATAAGCCATGTATGATTTAAACCCAAAATTTTTTCCCCATCTGTTCATATAAACTGTTAACTCTATTGACTGATATTTGTGCTGCAAGCCCAGAAGTTTACTTTCTACAATTTGTGCTACCCACCAGATACCCATCATGGAATCTGAAATCCAGGCACAAATTCCTGGTATTGATCATGTGATATCAGAATATTCAGTGGTAAGGTGTACCTCGCCTTGTTAAAATAGGGGAATAGACTGGTGAACGATAGACTCCCCATGGCTGTTCAAATATCTTACACTTGTTCATAGGGCTATCTCACCCATGCCTCCAAAGCCTATGTAGAGGACATGGATCCCACAGCTCCATCACCTTTGTCAGAAGCTGCGGAAACTGTAACTTCTTTATTACTATCTGCTTCTGGAGACTTCAGTTCCGAGAATGAAACCACAATCCGGAACTTGGTGGAGAAATTCATCTCCTCATTAAGCGCCGCAAATGGTGTTGATCCGGAACGTAGGCAAATGCCCTTTGCTGCTAAAAAGCTCGATCAAACGATCCATGTGGGATCTCAAAGGAATATCTCTTCGACCTTAGGTTTGACAGGTGTTTCTGTTGACCTTGAGGCAGCTGCATCCAGAAAGGTCGAGTCCCGTGTGGACAAAAAGAAGCTAGAAAAGGCAGAAAGGAAAATCCGAGCCAAACAAGATAAGAAGGCTATGAAAAATGTCGAGTATGAGGCTTCAAAACTCATCAATCAACCTGATGCTACGCAATCGTACGAAGAGTTTTTCATGGCTGTTAACCCTCTACAATTGGGGTCCGACTCACAGTCAAAGAGCAAAGACATTAAAGTGGATGGAATAGACATCTCTATCGCGGGAAATCGGATATTAACAGATACCTCTTTAACTTTAGCTTATGGGCGGCGCTATGGTCTAGTTGGCCAGAACGGAATTGGAAAAAGTACACTGTTGCGAGCCCTTAGTCGTAGAGAGGTTGCTATTCCAACACACATTTCCATCCTCCACGTGGAACAGGAGGTTAGTGAACACTTTCCATTTTCTATGCATGCACAATAATATATGACTGTATACTGATGTTTTTGACTAGATAAGGGGTGATGATACACCAGCCTTACAGGCGGTTCTCGATGCCGACGTTTGGCGAAAGCGTCTCCTAGAAGACCAAAACGTAGGCAAGTTTCTTCTTTTATAAGAGAAGCGAAACTGACCCATTCAATAGAAAATTACATCCCAACTCGCAAATATTGATGCGGAAAGATCGACTATGGCAGATACTTCCAAAGATGCATTAAGATTAGACCAAGAACGAGAGGCTCTTGATACCACCCTCGCCGATATCCACGCTAAATTAGCGGAAATGGAATCAGACAAGGCTGAACCACGGGCAGCAAGTATTCTGGCAGGACTGGGCTTCTCCCCAGAGCGACAGCAATACGCTACGAAAACATTTTCCGGAGGTTGGCGTATGCGATTAGCCTTGGCTCGTGCTCTGTTTTGCGAACCTGATCTTCTACTGCTTGACGGTAATCCTTCCCCAGTTGTATCCGTCGTTAAAACGTCGTAACTGATAATCCTAGAACCGTCAAACATGTTGGACGTCCCGTCTATCACATTCTTGTCGAACTATCTACAAACATATCCAAGCACCGTTCTGGTCGTTTCTCACGACCGAGCTTTTCTAAATGAGGTGGCTACCGATATTATCCACCAACATTCAGAAAGATTGGATTACTATAGAGGAGCAAATTTCGGTGAGCATAAAAATTCTATTCGAGGCGACTAGCACCAGACTAACTGCGATCAATCAGATTCGTTCTATGCTACCAAGGAAGAGCGGAAGAAAAATGCAAAGAGAGAGTATGAGAACCAAATGGCACAGAGAGCGCACTTGCAAGGTATACTCAATTCAAGGCACGTATCATGGTGAAACATTGGCTAATTTTGCTCCTTCCAGCTTTCATTGATAAATTCAGGTACAATGCTGCCAAAGCGGCTGAAGCTCAGTCGAGAATTAAGAAGCTTGAGCGGATGCCAGTTCTTACTCCCCCAGAGAACGAATACGTGGTTCACTTCAAATTCCCTGATGTCGAGAAGCTGTCACCTCCTATCGTCCAAATGTCCGAAGTCTCTTTTGGATACACGAAAGACAAGGTTTTGTTAAAAAATGTCGACCTTGACGTGCAGTTAGATTCGAGAATAGGTATTGTCGGGCCTAATGGGGCGGGAAAAACGACGGTTTTGAAACTTCTTACTGGTCAACTACAGCCCTCATCTGGACTTATATCTCAGCACCCCAGACTCCGGGTTGGGTTTTTTGCCCAGCATCATGTTGACGCCCTGGATATGAACACGAGCGCTGTAGGCTTCATGGCCAAGAATTATCCGGGAAAAACGGAGGAAGAGTATAGACGACATCTAGGAGCGTAGGTCCCTGCCATTCTCCTGCGAAGTTTCATCCAAAATACTTGAGGCTTACTGGCGATCGCAGTTTCGGCATTACTGGCATGACTGGCCTTCAAAAGCTGGAGCTCTTATCTGGAGGTCAAAAGTCCCGTGTGGCATTTGCATGCATATCGTTAACCAATCCTCACATTTTGGTCCTGGACGAACCGTCCAACCATCTCGATATCGAAGCGATGGATGCGCTTTCTGAGGCACTTCAAAACTTCCAGGGTGGCGTTCTAATTGTATCCCACGATGTCACCCTACTCCAAAACGTTTGTACAAGTTTGTGGGTGTGTGATGGAGGTACAGTGGAGAAATTCCCAGGGGACGTGAATGCTTATAAAAAGAGGATTTCAGAGCAGGCAAACGCAGCCGGTGTTGTTGCCGCTCATTGAGCCTTAGTCTAAGCCCCTAATACTGGCGAAATTACTGGAGAGCAAGTTCGCCTTCGCTTTTATAGTATATTTGCTAATAACCACCTTAAAAACAACCTAGTATTCTTTAAAAAGTATGACTATATGATCTCTAGACATTGTGCGTAGTTTAGGGAGTAGATAACTTTGTTCTCTCAGGGCCAAGAATTGATTTGTTCATCTACGGAGTACTAGCCGCTTGTATTCTACACCGTACATAGCAGAAAGCCGGAGACGGCACATACTGCTCCTCCAGCCAGCCAGTTGGGACCTGACGGGATGCTGGCTCCGTGGGTTGTTCCGAACCTGCTAGCTTGGAACCTGAGGCGGGTTAACCGCCAAGCGCATCCAGACTATCTGGCCCCTTCTACTCTGTACTCAACAGCTCTAACCGTGATGATGAACTTCATTCGCAAGCTATTCCCTTCCACCAAATAGCAAAGCCGGAAGACCGGAAGACCGGAATCTGCAGAAGAGGGAAGAAGGCCAGAAGCCCAAGAAATACAAGCTATGGACGACGATAACGCCAACAACCCCGACGCTCCTCTACTCTCCGAGAACCGAACAAGCCCTCGATCGTGGTACCAGTCGAGGACACTCTTAGGAGGAGAAGGCGCTCACGCAGGTGCTAAAGCTGCTACGGAGGACTTGATTCCTAATGGCTCGGGGACGTGGTTTATATGGGCACTTACACTATCCGCAGGCCTCAGTGGACTGCTGTTTGGATATGAGTACGACTCTAGCCGTTTGCCCCATTTCCCATATCTGGCATTGGGTTATGTCTGATTCAAAGATGGAAATATATATCACAAATTTATACCCTCCTTGCTTATCGTACGCTTGTTTCATCCACCTGTCCTGACTTTGTGCTTCCTGGTGATGTAGTACCGGCGTCATTTCATCGACCTTAGTATGCATCAAAACGGATCTGTCCCATCGAGAGCTGACAACCTTGGATAAGAGCTTAATCACATCATCCACAAGTCTATTCGCGCTTATCTCGAGCCCCATTGCGGGAGCTTTAGGTGACAGGCTTGGAAGAAAACCCGTCATCTTGATCGCAGACGCTCTATTCGTCGTCGGCGCACTGTGGCAAGCGGCCACCTCAGATGTCAGTGGCATGATTGTCGGTCGGAGTTTGGTGGGGTTGGCCGTTGGAGCGGCAAGTCTGATTACGCCCTTGTACGTAAAGATGCGCTCAAGTGCGAGCGAGCAACGTCTTGATTTCTCCTTTCTGCTGGTTCAAGCCGTTGCGGAAGAGTGCAGCACATCTACGACGTTATTGAATGGCGTGCTGATTCGATCCTGCACCTCTAAATCTAGGTACATTGCTGAACTCTCCCCGTCAGAAATTCGGGGCAGATTAGTGACTGTTCTCGCGCTTTTCATCACCGGTGGCCAGGTAACTGCCTATGTAACCGGGTGGCTACTATCTACAGCTCCATCAGGCTGGCGCTGGATGGTTGGGCTCGGCGCCCTCCCAGCTTTAATTCAACTTTTCATCCTTATATTCCTCCCAGAGACACCACGGTGGCTAGTGAAAGCCGGCAAGGATAATGAAGCCCGTCTGGTATTAGGCAAAGTCTACGGCAAGTCTGATATAATCAGACAGGCGGTCGACCGGATCATTCGAGATATCGAGAATGATATTAATGAAGAAAGCCAAAGATTGGCCCCACAGCAAGACGCGACGTCCGAGGCCTCACAATGCCTAAATTCTATGCTCCAATCCTGGAGCAGCTTATTCCGAATTCCCTCAAATCGCCGTGCCCTGATTATAGCTTGTATGCTACAGGGTTTTCAACAACTCTGTGGTTTCAATTCGCTGATGTATTTTTCGGCAACCATTTTCGATCTCCTTTCTTTTTCCTCGCCAACATTAACATCGCTGTCAGTGGCTGTGACGAATTTCATCTTTACCTTATTAGCTTTCTCCCTCATCGATCGTATCGGCCGAAGACGAATTCTTCTCTCATCTATTCCAATCATGGCCGTCTCCCTTCTCTTCTGTGCAGCCGTATTCCCTGCTATGGATATCTTTCCAACTCCGGGTAAAGGGATGGCTGCCGGAGTCGACAGCAACGACTACGCAGCTGCTCCCCAACCGGGCCTTAAACCCGTACTCATTCTTATATCCCTAACGATGTATACCGCTTCCTATGCCTCTGGTTTGGGGAACGTTCCCTGGCAACAATCCGAACTGTTTCCCCTTCAGGTCCGATCCCTCGGTTCTGCACTCGCAACCGCGACGAACTGGGGATCGAATTTCCTCGTTGGGCTTACATTCCTGCCACTAATGGAGTTCATTTCACCAGGTTGGACATTTTTGATTTATGCAGTTGTCTGCATTGTGGGCTGGCTTGCCGTGTGGGCTATTTATCCTGAAATGAGTGGGCTTGGATTGGAGGATGTTAAAAGTCTGTTAGTAGATGGATGGGGCGTTAGGGAAAGCCTAGAGAGGTTTGCGAAAAGGAGAGGAAATGTTGTTCAGACATAAATAAAGTATATATATATATATGAATTGAAGCATTTGCCAATAGATTAGCTAGCTATTTTTATTAGAAAGCTTAGGCATAACCAATATCAGTGGCAAGGTCTTGATGGTCGAGAAACGACAATCCATGGCTCCCTTCTCTCAAACATGGAATTTGAATATGAGATTCCTGGATTGTATGATGTTTATCTCAAGGATTAGCCGCTAATCACATATCCATGCTGTTCACATATGTGCATGCTGTATATGTTAGACCTTCTTACCTTGATTTGGGAGAATTTTGGGAACTAATGTGTACTTATGGTCCACTGGCTGCCTCATGTTCACCAAGAGCCTGAGGACATGGTCAATGCGTAGTTGTGAGAGCTGAATAGCATACACACTACACATCACCTTGGAACACAAGATAGAAAAGCTACCAGATAAACCCATCTCTCGTTGTTTACACTTATTTGCTTAATCTGGCGCGTCAGGATGGTCTCTCAACTCCAGCCGATGGTATCTTTTTAAAAAAGTTATCTTATAAAGGATCTATCCACCTTCAAACGTTTGGCTCCCCTACGAGTTTAGTGACATGATAAATTTTAAAACGAATTAACTTCAAAAACAGATCTCTTATTCCCTGGAGGCTATCAACCTTCCTGAAACGAAACTTTACTCAAATGGCATTCACTAGGAAATCACTTCTTTTCCATGCCATGTGAGATTGTCGCCCTGCAGCTGTTGCAACAAATCAAAACAGGATCCAATACATTTATAAAGAGCTAGCAGTAAAAACAAAACTTTCATCTCATTGCTGACTCAGTGCTAGTCAGCATTAACTAAGGGGTATCACAAGCAGCAGGTATTAAAGTAGTATATAGTGTAAGTTCCACGTCTATGTCCCTCATAATGGGCTCAACGCAGGGGGATTTTTCAAGAGAATAAAGGATGCGATGACAAGCGATGGCAGATAACGTCAAGTGGGCGAAAATAGACTAGTAAAGTTCAAAGCTCAGTGGGACCGTAAAACATCTCCGAGACTATTTAGTCATTTGTTGAAGGGATTTATTGTTGATAATCTACTTCTTGCTCTGGGGTAAATTGCAGAGTGAAACGGCTCTTCGCACGAATCCGATGGCCGTAGAGATAGAAGATAAGTGGGATTGGCGCCAAACTGGCCGCAACGCAACCAAGGAGTGTACCAGCCCAGTTCATTCCCAGTGCATTGAACTAAAAAGAATTTGTGAGTATTAGCTACCAAGAACTAGGAATTTGAAACGGGCAGCTTACCATAAACCGGGAGAAGAGCGGGAATCCTGCAGCGGCAAGTGACCGAAGAAGCGCGTTGGCAGCAATGGCAGAGGCAGCGCTGTGATATAGTCAGTAAGCGCGCATACTTGACGATAAGTGCCAGAATCAAACAAAATAGAAGGCCAACATGGAGACGTACAATAATATATATGCGTCGATAATATAGTTTATAGCTTGTAAGAAGATGACCAAGAGCCCGAATCCCGTCAGGATGCCGGACAGCGTCGGCACAATCCAGTGGATGCTCGCTTTATAGCCGGACCAACCAAACCAGAACAAACCAGCCGCGAATGCGATGCCTCCAACAATAACATGAGGGAGACGCCATTCGGGAACGCTGATATTATTATTTGCAGCAAGTTTTCGAGTGTACCATCCTTGTGAAAGGATAATGGACATGCCACCGATGAATTGACCAACAATCATGCCAAAATACGGGAGGCCACCGACGCCCCGACTGAATCCATGAATTTGTTGAAACACGATGGGATAGGCTGTCAAGAAAAGATACAGAAGACCATAAATAAAAGCGGTGTATATGCTGAGAAGAAGAACGATGGGCTCCGTAAACAGAATTTTGAGGGGTCGGCTGAAATTCTTCTGAACAAGCTCGGCAAAGTCGACTTCAATCTCCTCTTGTTTGGCGTGGATTCCCCAGTTCTTAGTACGACGGCGCAATTCGGCCGCTTTCTGAACAAGTACGACGGGCGGGTAGGTCTCTGAGAGAAAGAAATAGTTAAGAACGAATGCACTGACGCCCAGGATTCCAGGGAGATACGAGGTCCAGCGCCAGCCGAGGTGGCTTTCAGCCATAAAGCCACCAATGAATGGTGCCAAAAGCGGACCAGTGAACACAGTCATAGAGAACGGTGTGATGGCGAGGCCCCTGAGGCGGTTATCAAACATATCGGAGAAGACAGCCGCAACTACGGCTACAGGGGAGGCCCCAAAGAAACCTCCGAAGAACCGACAGAGCATGATGGTCTGGAGATCTTTAGCGGTTGCAACGCCGAATTGGAAAACCGTGAATCCGAACATGCTCAAAACGATCGGTAGTCGACGTCCTTTGAGCTCAGACAAAGGTGCCCAGATAATAGGGCCGGTCGCATAACCAAGGACAAAGAGTGACAATCCTAAAATGCCAACTTCAACGGACACCCCGAATATCCTGGCTACGTCACCGGTCACCGTAGAAAAGATGCTGCTGGTAAAAGATGAGATGATAGTCGTCCAGGCAAGTATTACGGCAGTTGCCACTCTAGTTTCCAGAAGAAAAAGTATCGTTAGCTCACCGGTCTCTCTGCAGAGCTTGGGGTATATAATATCGACCCCCGGGGGAGTGGAGGGGCCTTCACGTACTTTCGTTTCATACTCCAATTTTGAGGGTGTAAGGGATCGTCCGGACCGTCAAATTCGACCACATACTCTTCCTTTTCCGGTAGTGGTGGTGGATATGGCTTCCCTGCCCCAAAGGCCGGCAGAGGTCCCTTTGGGGTCCTCGACCGAAAGCTTGCCCCGACTGTCGCACTATGCTGACTTCGCTGGGTGGCGATGCGACTTAGGGCGGTAGGATGCCGCTCCAAGTCTCGGTATGTTGGGGCCCTAAAGATATCTGTGCCATCTATGCTAGAGATGGAACCACTAGCTCTCGAAGATGATATGGAGGAATCGGACAACCGTCGTGATTCTAGCTCAAATGGAGGAGGTAGATGGCCACGGTCGGCCTGCTGCTCGGCCTTCTCAAGGTCCCTAGAGACGGTATCCATCCTCACACGAAGTGCGGACGGCGCGAGAAGATTGCGCACTTGGTTTCACCACCCAGGATGACCTTTCGAGCAATGCTACGACTGGAAAATGGCAGTGATCAAGGATATCAAAGCGAGGATGCACTTGGGCAGATTGGAAATCACAGTAGTATATACTATTTCGGGGTAAACTTTTCGATAACGAATGTATGTATCTATATACACATTCAATAGAGAGTAGAGGGAATTTCAACGAGAAACGGATGTTCCCATCTATATTTATGTCTATAGGGAGGCGACAGTGAGGTCAAGAACACTTTTCACTGAATGAAAAAAAAAAAAATTGAGGATCACAAGCATCCCGTCACTTTACATATAAACTCCAGAACGGATGAGGGGGAAGGTGGCAAATATCCGTAAATCTTCGGTTGATATTTTAGAGTTAGGTCTTTAAAAGTTCATCGGTGGTTCTGGAATGTAACAGATGGGGATGATTAGTGGTTCTGCTAGAAGAATAGCCCACAAGTGGGCCCAAGCTCGTGAGGTAAGAAAAAAAGGGGAGGGATGGCCTGACTCTCACACGGCGCATCGTTCTACTCGAACGAATTGGTGCCAAAGCTGAGGAGTGACCAGCAGGACTTTTCTCTTCTCCTACCGACCATGTCACCGATGAACCCGGGTTTGTCAGTGCTTTGATGATGTCAGTAGGTTTTCGGTGTCTTGGAGTTCGGCACGGGCATTTGCCGAGACCAACGAGACAGCCGGGCCCGTGGCGGTGTCGAAATATCCGGGAGTAAAGTATGTACGGAGGCCTCCGCACTCCGCGTCCAACAAACCTCTCGCAATTAAGACATAATTTCAGGTGAAACGGAAAGTCAAAAACAACATCACACCAGACATTGGGAAATTAATTGTACCAAAAACATTGCTGGTACGGAATACTGAGTACTCCTTAAGGAATAACCAATAATTTTTTTTTTTTTTTTTTAAAAACAAAAAAAATAAGAATTAATAAAAATTCTTCCCTGCTCAACTAGTTGGTTATCGAGTGAGTTAGTTTGTCTTGGCATCTGTGGCTGGAGTGTTTTGTCGCTCAGCCCTACCGTCCTGGCCTCACAGAACGGGAACTGTGAGACACTACTGAGAATAGCAGCACTCCGTCCGCCACCAACCGGTTGCTGTTTCTGCCGGCTTGTTTTTGATTCCTAACTTCATATGTATATTGTGCAGAGTGTGTGTGTATGTATGTATGTACATACACAATGGGCTTCTGTGGCAGTTTTCACACTCGTCCGCTCAAGATGGACGCAAGAATCTGCTCCCACCGTGTAGCGCCATTATTTGAACACTATACAGAGTGCTCCATACAGTATATATTACGGAAGAAAGGCTCTCCGATGAGACTGAAGAATTATTAATTATCTAGCTCCTTAGACCATGTACCTGTACGGTTCCATGCCATTGTCGATGCCTCCTGTCGACTGGCACCGGGCCAGGGTCCGGAGTAATCTGGATCAGACCGGTCCTAGGTAAGCACTCGGCCAAATCTCTGAGTCTCTGCCTCTCTACGGAGTATGGCCAGCGAGCATCTCCGTGCAGATGCAGTCGTGGCCGTGAGTTGTCCGTCAGTGGGAAGGCGCCAAGGCTGCCCAAGCAAGGCGGGTCGCCGCTGCTGTCCTTTATTGCAAGTGGAGTCGCTGCTGCCGCACCACGAAGGCACCGCGCCCATGCCATTGGCTGGTATCCCTGCGCTAGACCGGTTCTGGCCCTGGCGCTCTGGCCCCTGTCCGCCCGCCAGCCAATCAGCAGCCACAGCGCCCTGGTGCCAAGCCTTTTCAAGCAATGTTGGCCAAGTTTGGAACGTGGACCTCCTCCCCTTTCACGGTTCCCCTTCCTGCGTGCCAGTTCAGCCAAACCTCTCACCTTCGCTTCTTCCCTTGTTTCAACAGGAGTTTATGTTCCTCATAATGTCGAAGCTCTCTCATTTCCTGTCGTTGCATCCTTCGCTCTGCTAGTCCCTTCTCTGCCGTCCCCTCCCCCAAGACGACCGTGCCAAGGGGCAAAAACAAAAGGCACTCCTTTTTTCTCATGGATTTCTGATCCTTACACTCTTTTCTCGCGAGCTCAATCCAACTTTTGTCCTTCTTTTGACATAGTACGGAGTAGTCAGGCCCTCACTACGGCCATTTCGCTCTTTTTTTTTTTTGGGCTCCCACAATCTTTGTATGTACCTTCAAGAAGAGAAGAGAGGTCGATCTGTTTACATGAAACTTGGGGCTCCCACTCAGCCACTGCTACCAGAGTCCCCTTTTTCCTTTCTATCTCGACTCATCAGTCCCTTCGATCGTTCCAACTAGGCATCACATAGAACATACGCTGAATCGACCTTTTTGACATAACTGGTCTTTTGTACCAAGGACCCTTTTGACGAGAGATGGCCCGTCACACCTATCGCGACCCCTCACGCTTGGTGTCTCGCGCGCTCGCCATACCCGTCGAACGGTCCATCATCCTCACCGCCCTGGAGCCCCCTTCGCTGGTCAAGAGAAACCCAGCAGATGCTGCATCGAGCTCTTCTGTACCGACCAAGACTTGTGGACCGGACGATACCACCGGAGTCTGTACCCGTCCTGTTAACAGCACCACTACTTTGACCCTACCAATCGTTCTTGGTGCAGTGTACGTCCTAACCCCGATACAATTTCCCCCTAGGAGGTAAAATAAAAAGCAATTAGAAGATTTGAGCTAACCTGATCTTTAGAATTCCCTTGACTTGCGCGTTCATCGCCTTCTTTTTCCTGCACCGCAGACATGTCAAGAAGCTACGCCTTGAGGATGCGAACGATAAACACAAGTCACTCGATTTTGGGCTAGATTTTGTGCCCTCGGGAAGTAATAACAATCGACGCGGGAATGGAGGCAACGGGCCATCCATGGCTGAAAAATCCACTCGTCGTGGCGGGCACGGTGTTTCCATGGATCTGACGCTGAATAGCCCTTATCTACTTCCCCCAGGCCTGCATGGATCCCATGAGTCCATCCATTCTTTGTCAAGGTCATTACATGGAGAGGATGACAAATATCGCCATGCGTCTGCCTTCCCTACCGGTGATAGCGGCTCCATACGATCATGCTCTCCCAGCTTCAAACGCGGAGGTGACGATGCGTCTAGCCATAATTCGCCCAGTTCTAAATATCCCTATGGGGATGATATGAATCAACATTTGCTGAAAAACGCCCAGCGCATGTCTCGATCCCCGCCAGCAATCGAATTGGATCCTATCGAAAGTGACCTTGGCCACCCTCCTCATCATGCGACAGCAGTTTCCGCATCGGAATCGGGAAATACAACCTTCCATGGTCGAAGTGAGCTTACCGTCCCAACAGCCGTCTCAAGTCACGGTGATCGGAGCTCGAGTAGTAGTTCTGAAAGAGACGATTCGGTGCTCAGGAAAAGTAATAATTACCTAGGCGCATTAATCCAGCGGGGTGACGATCGGTCTCCGGAAAATGATCTTGGGAGGGTGCCGGTAACAACAAAGGCGGATGTTCCGCTGGACGAGCCAAAGATACAAGAACCTGTCCCAGACAACACCTCGAAGTCACCTCCCCCAGCAGAGGTACCAGCTACTGGTTATCCTAGCCCTTCGCAGCCACCAAGAATTTCGCTTCCGATCGATGACGACAAGAGTGACTATGGAGATGAGTCGGAAGCTCCAAAAAAGCCTGTCCCGCAGTTGAATATCCAGGACGTCGAAACCGCACCACCTAGCAATGACAAAGCTGCCAGGGCGACACTTGATCCGCATGATCACTACTATGATGGAGGTTATCAAATTGATACGCGCCGGTTGACCGTGGGAATCCGGCCCTTGCCGCCGGAAGATCCGTCAGATAACCCAGAACAGCGAGCTAATCGTATCCGATCATTCTACAAAGAATATTTTGATGAATCGAAGCCCCAAGATGACCATGTCGAAGATCACGGTCCTGGAGGAGCTGATTACGGACCGTTTGACCCGTATGGCGACCCGGGACACTACGCACATCCACGTCCCTTTGCACAACCCGAAGGACGCAGAGCCATGACTCCGCCACCAAGAATGCCCCAAATACCTGTACAATATCGACGCCCTGGTCCAGGCTTTGGCCCGCCCAGTACTTCAAGCCGTTCCGGGACTCCCTCATTTTCGAGTGGACCGCGTGCTTTCTCATCCGCATCAGGTCGCATTCCTGTCAGAGGTCCCAGAAAACCGTTACCCCCGCCATCTCCTCTCCACATTCTTCCCACTCCTCATAAGCTAAAGGACGATTCCATTCTGCCAATCGACTTTGCTCCCGGCGCCAACTCGCGTGAACGTAGAGAAGGGCGTCCGGAAACACCCCAGGGTGGTGTGAGGCCGTATATGCTCACGGTTCCGGCACATGTTCCTCTCGCATCATCGTATGATGACCTTGCTATGCTCCCTAGCCCGTAAGTACAAGTCTGCTCCATACTTCTAGTATTAATCCAGCTAACCGGCAGCCTCAGGCATGCGTTGAGGAAATCTGGGACTTTTACTGCCTTAGACTTTGTGCCTCCTCCCCGCTTCAAGAATGCCGACTCCGGCAGCGACGCAGGCAGCATTCGCAGTAACAGAACAGGTCTCTCAGCAGCGCAATCTTATAGCATTCGCACCGGAGCTTATCGCATTAGCCGTCTCCCACCCCAGACAGTTGGTACCAAAGATGATATTATTTCGAACCTCCGCCCTACCTGGGACATGAAAACCTAAAGCTGCTTGGATCTCGGTTATTTTCCCCTTTATGTACAGCTTGAGTGTTCCGTCTAATGAGCATTGTATGTCTTCCTGCGGGTGTATGATGATTTCACCATAATCGCGATTGTTCATCTTCGGGAAAATTACCATAATTGCCTCGTTTTTTTCAACCTTTCTGTGACACTTGGTGTTAATAGACTTGGAGTAGTTGGTGATATGTTCCCTTTTCGTTTTTCCTTTTCCTTTTTTCTTTTTCTTTTACTTTTACTTCCCCTCCCCCCTTTCTTTTTTTTTTGAGATGATTGGACTCCTGTAGGCAACTCGGTTTTCAATTTTGGGGGGTGTGGGTATACATCGATCTGCTGCTTCGGCAGTCAATCATTTATGTACAGAGCGGACATCTTATATATGGTGAGAGCAATTTAAACATAGGCATGTCTATAGGAAGTGGCTCATGGTGAAGAAATAAATAAATAAACAGGTAAACTTAAAGAGGGTTTAGGTGTCTGTACGGAGGAGAGACAGGTCTTAAATAGTTCATGTACAGAGAGTATGCAGGCCTGAAACATGGAGGAAACACTAGTTTAGGGCGAAAGGTGTTGACACTTGCGGGTGAGGCCTTCGTATGGTAGCTGTGACACAGACCTCACAAAAGAGGGGTCGTTCAGCACCAATATCGCGTTTCCAAGAATTGAGCGACAAAAGGCGTCTGTTTCATCCCTGCGAGCCGAACCTAAGTGAGCTCTCAATGTTGAATCTGTTAGGCCAACTTTGCCCATGGTGGATGTTAGCGGCAATAGATAGCTTGAGATCGCCAGTCGAAGCATTTTTTTTTTTTTTTTTATTCAAGACCCGGATCCTTGTTATCCCAAGGTGAGTTGGGGCGCCTGAGTCAGGGCAACACAGGAAATATGAGCAAAAATGCGTCTTTGGGACTGGAGAGTCGGACAAGAACCCGCGCCCGTTGGAAGGTTGAGTTGGGAAGCCGACAAAGAGCGAGATTGGCCAAATGCGGCTCACCCAATGACACACCTCGGCACTACGTAAGTAATGTTCCAGAAAAGTACGTGTAATTAACGGTATTTGAGGTGTGAGACCGAGCGGTATGTATTTGCTTGTTCCCAATCCCAGGGTGGCCGATGATACTGAATACAAACACTATCGGAACCCTATCCAGCCAGGCATTTCTCGCTCTCATGTCCGTAGAATTAGAAAAAAAAAAAGTGATTTCCCATCATGTGTGGATTCGAGTGAGTGCGTGTTGTGTCAGAGGAGTAAGGAGTCCGTAGTAAAACAGCGGTTGCTTCCTCCATGCAAACTCCTTGCTGCTGGAACGTATGAGCACACGATCGTACTTAAAAAAAGAATTAGGCTTCGTTTTTTTTTTACGGAGTACAAGAGTTAAATGATAAGCCACCCTCGTTTTTCCTTTTTGTTTTTTTTGTTTTTTTGTTTTTTCTTCCGCTGTCACCTTGACAAACTAGCTCATGGGGATCTTTGTAAACTCACTAAATGAGCGGGTCTCTTGCTCGCTCCTTGTAACTAACGGCGTACGGAACGGCGACAAATACAGCCTCCCACAGGCGCAAATCCGAAAATCAGTACGTCGCGTTGGCTGCTGTTGTTTTTGAGGCGAAGCGATGGCAATACGTTGCAGCTCGGTTCGTCCAGTGAATGGAGGACCCTTGAGGTATCATCGTTGAAAGGAGGAGCCCAAGGGTCCGCAAAAGAAATTTTTACTTTAATTTATTTTTGTCAGACTCTCCTCCGAACTCCGTGTTCTGTACGAGCATGGATGGATTGCTGGTATGTACAGCCCCCATACCGTGACTTGTAAAGAATCGCACTTGAGAGACCCCGGCGTCTGGGATTCTCGCTCGTTTTTGCTTCCCTTCCGGAGATCTCCCTTTCGCTTTGCCTCCTCGACATCAACTTGGTTTGAAAATAATCAACACCCGTTCATCGATCCCGACAACGTTTCTGAGGCCGGTGCTGGGCAGCAAGCCCACTCACATTTTCACTCTTTCCAGTGCCCTTTCTTTATTTTTTATTTTTTTTATTTTAATTATTTTTCCTCTCCATTCGCTTCTCGCCTCCGACCGGTCCGTCATTGAGACATTGCTTTCCCGCTTCATCCTAGGCTGCCTTGTCACCATCCGCCGTTTGATGATCAAGATTTTGATCAATACAGTATCATTCAGGAACAGCACCGAGTTCGACAACAAAGCAGCGCTCCTCTTTGGCGTCATTGCTCCCATCCTAGCCATACGTAATTATTCCCAATACCAACAACAATAGAAAAGAAAGACAAGAAAGATCCAGAAACAAAATATATCAGCCTCTCAAACCCGGGCTGATGAAATCGTGCCTTGCCGCCCTGGACCCGTTTCGTGCCTAGATGATAGCGTGCTCCCCCGGTCGTCACCACACGCAATCGCGCGGCTGCTGAATAGACGAAGCTCCGAAGCTGGGATCGCGCCTCATCAATTATCTTCTGGTAGCCACTGCTGCGTCAAGACCACGATCGCAGATTGGAGATTGTGTGGAAGGGAGGATCAATTTCAGGCACAGTTGACTTCTTCGTGCCTGTGAACCTTCAACCAAGCTTTCTTTTGGTGCCATTGCTTCACTCTGTTGCGGAATCTTTTTGTGCTGAAAACGGTTACGCCGTTCAGAACCGCCCGCAATGTCCGATGCTCCTCCGCCACAGGGTATGCCTGGTCCATTCGTTTTGTCCCATTGTCTTCTGTGGTTGATTGTCCTGACAACCCCGTTGCACAGCTTCTCTCACCGAGCCAACACCTCCAGATCAACCTCCACGCGAGACCCCACCACCACCGCCGCCTGCAGAGACTCAACCTCCTCCGGAGTCGTCACCGCAATCGGAACCAGAGCAACCAACTTCACCTCCTCCACCGCCGCCGCCGCCAACCACCGATAATCCACCACCACCACCACCACCCACCCCGACCTCTTCTCAGGAGCCCTCCCCTTCTCGTCCCCCACCACCACCCTCATCGTCACCACGACCCCCGTCACCGTCGCCGCCGCCGCCGCCGCCGCAGCAATCCACCCCCAGGGTGAGTTCTGTCATAACGACAGTAACGTCGACTTTGCCACCCATTCCTGATCCCAATACGCCAACCCCACCACAAAATAATCCGGCCTCTCCGACTCTAGGCACAACTTCGACGTTACCAACTTCCACGTCGCACCCGAGTAATGGAGGGGGACTATCTGCGGGCGGTACGATCGCAGTCGCCGTTGTGGTCCCTGTTGTGTCTGTGGCCTTGATAATTATAGCACTGCTATTCTGGTGGAGAAAGCGGAAAGCGAGAAAGATTGCCGAAGAAGAGCGAAAACAGGAAATTGAAGAATATCGATTTAACCCGAACACCGATCCCACCCTTCCTGCGATCGGCCTTACCGGAAACTTCAACGACTCGTCCGGGCCGAAAGATGGCAACTCCGGCTATCGTGGTTGGGGCGCAACTTCAAGTTCGCGGAAATATTCCACTGGCCCAAGCATGCCGGTTTCTGATAATGGAAGCAGCCAGCCGTTTCGGCCCGTCTCCCCGATAGACGACGGTGGCCATTACGCTGACAATGGCCATCGACCGGATTCTGGTGACTCTGAGACCATCGGGGCGTTGCCTGCGAGGTCCGGCAACAGGGGAGATATACATAGGGGCCCTTCTAATGCTTCTTCCGGGTATTCAGTCGCAAATCACTCAGATATCTCCGATGATATTTCGCCTCCCGGTGCCCCTCCCGGGACTCATTATTATGAAGAAAACCCATACTATAGCGATGCGCTAGGGCAGCAAGGGCCGTATGGAGATAGTGCGTATAGCAATGTGCAACCTGTGATCCGGGATGTTCAAGCAAGACGGAACACGCGCATTGAAAACCCTTCGGTATTCCCACAACAGGGAAATGCGGGTATCTCGCAGAATTTCTGACAGTCGCCTGCTTAACTTGCTTTTATAAATGTATCTCTGTTGTTGCCGTTCCGAAACAGTTTTGAGTGCTTTCTGACACTGTGCTGGGCTTTGGCCTCGTCACTGACCTCCTTTGATATCCCGGAACTTGTCCCGAGTTAACTTTTTCCCCCCTTCCCCCTCCCTATCTTTCTTTCTTTTCGTCTCTTTTCTTTTTTTTTTGGTCCTGTCGTCCCCGTTCCTTTTTGGCCCATTCTCCTTTTTTTTTTTTTTTTTTTTTTTCTTTTCATATCTATCATATCTTTTAGAACCCTGGTTTTTGTATGAAAGCTCACGAAGTTTCTGACCCCATTGCTCCACTTTTGTGTTTATTATTACATGGTACATATGCCATCTAAATATCTCTTTTCTTTTTTATCCTTCAACTTTGAAATTTCTCCCTGTAAAGCCCTGATGGCAGCGGCTGATAATAACGGGGGGAATGTCTCATATTTTTAATATTCCCGGACAGCACTTGTCTGGGTGTGTTCTTCTCTATTTAAAACAATAGTTTGCATTTTAACAACTTGGCTCCTTGTATCTACGGTTCACCTGGCCCTATATATATTCAGGCAAAAGGGGGGTGATGTCATGCTAGATTAAGTTTTTGCTCTGGCCGGGCGTTGAAAAACGGGCTTCACCATGTAGCCGACTTTTACTCGCCGCAAGTTCGAAAAAGAAATTGGCTCCAGGGATAACAGCGACAGAACACCTGGCCGAGAACCTTCGCCCAAGCCAACCCTCAACGCCGGATACGGTAAGTCGAGGCTGTGGATACGCACCTCGCCGTCGTCGAATCGAATGTGTTGATGGTCCTGTAGATATTGAGTATTTCCAGGAACCGCCAAGATAGCTTTAACCCCGGGTAAGGAGACAGGGCCAGGTGATTTGATTGATCGATGGATGGACGACCGGAGGACACACGGCGCTGGCCGCGATACATGTAGATACGACGAAGCGTGCTCGTTGGTCCGCCCCGGGAGTGGCATGCTGCTCCGCGGTCGAGCTCCAATGGGAGGGGCCGTAGCGCGCGGATGGCGGATTGATAGGACGAGGAGGCGTGTGAGGGTCTTGGCGAACCGGCGTCATCGTCACCCGTCGGAGAGCTTCCATGCAGGCTAAAAAGCGTAGAGGGGAGAGAAAAAAAAAAAAAAAGAATAAAAATAAAAAGGAAAAGAAAAAAGTGAAGCTTCAACGTCAAGACCTGAGAGCCGAGAATTTTTGGGGAAAAAAAAAAACAAAAGGCTTCCCCCTACTAAGATGAAAACTCCATCCGATTCAATCCGCCGTTCCATTCTCTCTGTCTTCATCAAAACTGCAGCCAGATCCAGCCACACCCGCAGTGTATGCGTTACGACATCGTAGCACTCCGTTGACATCCATCCGATCTGGTGCTAGAATCGGACAAGAATAAACACATAAACCCCCATTGTCAACTGCTGCCCACTTCCCCCGTGGCACCCGTGGTAGATTGCTAGAAAGAACCGCTTCCTATAGGTTTTCCGGACACGAGAAGCTCCCGAGGGGGTGGATGTTTGGTTCCCATTTGAACGTAAACGATGCGGATCGATTTCCAACCCTGCACCAATGTATGGCCCTCTGCTACCTGTCTCCATCTAACCCTTTTAGCTAGACGTTCCATCAATGCTATCTCGTGCGCTGTTCACCTAGCTGCTTATCTTTTCGTTCTGCTATAATAATTCCTCCCTGCCCACCTCTCCCCGCCGCGCCTCTTTTCCCCCCCCGAGCTATCTTGCCATGGCCTTGACTGCTTTGGCTGACCCATCTTCTTCCACGCAGTATCTTTAGCTACATATCAGTCTGACTTTGGCACTTAGCCCTTGGCAAGGACCTGTCGACTCGCCCGGTTCTCTAAAAAAACGCGCTGTCCTCCGTCTCCCCCTGTTGCTGCGGCCGTCGCCTCCTACTCCAAGGGCCGTTCTCTCGGACCCGTCAACAAGAACCACCCCGACGCCCTGCCCATGATCAAGCTTGAGGGACATTATGTGAGCAAGCTATTCCAGCAGGTTGTTTCGGGGGAGAGCTGCTATGGCTTTCCCATGTTATCCCACATTCAACGGACACTAACCCAATGTTCAATGTCGCAGGAAGTTCGGAAAGCATATCCAGCGGCGCCAGCTCGACCTCCCCGAGTATGCGGCCAGCTTTTTCAATTATAAGGCCCTCAAGAAGGTGAGACCCTGCAGAAATTTTTTTATTTTTTTATTTTGGCTTTAAGTGTCTCCGGATGCCGACATATCTTGTCGTATTTGGGCGAACGTCGCTGATGAATTTGCGCCTATGTTCAGCTTATCAAGCAACTGAGCGCGACCCCAACGATCCCAGCCCAGGGAGCTAGTGCGTCTCCTGCGTCGGACACTCTTGATCCGCAGGCCGCTCTTCGGGCGAACAAGGAGGTGTTCTTCTTCCGGCTTGTATGTCCAATACTCCCTCCCGCCACTCTCGTGCGCAGTCCGCGAGCATGTTATTCATGATCTCAGAAGGCTCACGGTGCTGCTTTGTTCTTTTTTTTGACCCCCTTTTTTTTTTTTTTTAACTTAGGAGAGGGAGATTGAAAAAGTCAATGTGTTTTATTTACAAAAAGAGGCTGAGGTTCGTCCTTCCTTTGTGCCTGACTTCTTTTCTTTGGCGGCAGCCTCCTGACCGCAAAGCTGTTGCAGTTCTCCTTACGCTTAAAAACCCTACTTGATAAGCAACGAGTGGTTCAGTCCAAACGGTCGGTATCAAATTCGAAGACGCCTGCCAATTTTGTCACCTTATTTGAAGGTTTCCAGCAGTTCGATGGCGATCTGAATAAGCTCCAAGTAAGCTGGAACGCCCTGTCCTTTTGATATCATCACACTCATGAAGATAAATCTCGCCCAGCAATTTGTTGAAGTAAATGAAACTGCAGTCTCAAAGATTTTAAAGAAGGTTCGTTACACCTTCTCACATGCCGCGGAGCTCTCCCTGGTAGAAGGAAGCTAACTCAACTGTGTGTAAGTGGGATAAAACATCAAAGGTACATTTTTTTCTTAACTTGTCTCTTGTGTCCTGTTCTGTGGTTTTATTGCTGTGTCTAACCCTACCCAGTCTCGCACAAAGGAGGTCTACCTTCAGCGCGCAGTTGAAGTGCAACCGTGTTTTAACCGTGATGTCCTCAGGGATCTCTCGGATCGTGCTACTACGGCACGATTGGAGCTAGAAGCTTGGGCGGAAGGTGAAAATATACAATTTGATACTTCTTATACTGTTGAACGATCCAACATTGTTCCCGAAGAGGATGATGCTGATTTCCATGCTCTTCACGCCACATCCACCGGAAACCTTTCAGTATTGCGGGACTGGATCTCAAAATTGCAGTCTTCCCAGGATGCCGGCACCCGGGTTACGCGCATATTTCTAGCTGCGTTAAATGAATTCCCGGATGAGGTCCTTACACTACTTCTTGATACAGGCCTAGTGGATATGCATGCTGAAGATGACATCAACGAGAGAAATTGTTTGCATGAAGCAGCTATCTCAGGACGGGAATTTGTCCTACGAGCTGCGCTGGAGCGCGGAGTTGACGTTTCACACCCAGATGTTTACGGAAGGATACCGCTACATTATGCTTGCATGCACGGCCGGGTTGAAATGGTACGAGCTCTCGTTAATGCTGGGCCAACCACTGTCGATTTCATGGATCATGATAACTTCACTCCTTTGATTCACAGTATTATTCGAGACCAGCTCTCTTGCGTGGAACAGCTCCTCTCCCACCATGCACGTATCAATCCAGCATCAGACTCGGATCATATTCCTTTGAACTTGGCATGCCAACACGCATCTTTACCGATCATACGCATGCTTTTGGAACAAAATGCCAAACTACTTCCGGATGCCGAAGGCTTATACCCGCAACACTTGGTGGCACGGTCCTGTCGGGCTCCGGAAGTGATCCTCCTCCTGAAAAGTCACGGTGCGGACCTTGATCAAAAAGACAAGCTCTATCAATGGACTCCACTATTTCATGCCGCCAGTGAAGGATGCGTTAGCTGTCTGCGGACACTCCTAGATAGTGGTGTTGATGCCGACACTCTGGATGAAAAAGGTTTCCCCGCGATGTATTATGCCGTCTGGGAAGGTCATCTAGAATGTATGATCCTTCTATGGTCGAGACAGACCAGCTCGAAGCTCTCCCAACCAAGCCTCAATACCCTCAACGGACCCAATTTCCGCGACGCTGCCTCAATGACTTCTCCAGCTCTTGCAGAACCCGGGGGAATGGATGGCGATGGTATTCCGGACTTATCGTTGCCTCCCCCCATTATTCCACTACGCCGTTACGGGCATAATTTCCTGGATAACAAAACATTCCTCCAGATCTGCTTTGAGCCAGCCCCGTCGGAGCCAATTCTGTTCTACCAAGCGGGTCGTTACGCTGCTGCCAGACTGATCATATCATCCAAGATGTCAGACCTGATTCCGCGGAATATCATGTTGCCTTTGCAAGAGGATTCCAGGGCTATATCGTTCCAAATTGACCGGCTGGACAATTTTGCCCTTGAGTTTGAGATCTTCCCTACATTTGGCTCTAAGGTAATCGCGAAAACAGTCGCTCTGCCGGATCTCTTTACGGGAGGCATCCGAAGCTCGGGTTCCTACTGTCTGCCTCTTTTTGATCCAAGGTTACGGCCAATCGGCGAAATGAAGTTTAGCTTCCAGGTGATAAAGCCGTACTACGGAGAGCCTCTTGAAATAACGCATTTTGCGACCTATTGGAAGGCCACTAGCTCTCTAGATTCCGATCATAATGGGCAAGTCACTGGTTCGAGCTTATCGGGAGATTATGTTCAACTCTTTATTCAGTTGACAGCGGACAATGTTCCGGTTTTATACCCAGAATTTACTGTCAACCATCATGGCATCGAAATTCCAATCTGCCACTTAACCTACGAACAGTTCAAGCTTGTGGGGAACGAACGTCACGCTCAAATGCAGTCCAGTGAATCGGCTTTGCTTCATTCATTAGATGCAATGAGCATCGATGATCTAGCTCATGTCCATCGAGTCCTGGCGACATCATTTCTACCTTTGCGAGAAGTTCTTGGGCACCTTCCGACCAATATTCATGTCAACCTTTGCATCCTATACCCCTCTCTCGCTGATGCGAAAGAGTTTGGTTTTGGGCCACAAACTGATGTGAATGTTTTTGCCGACTCTATTCTCGCCGAAGTGTTCCATCACGCCAGAGCGTCCAAAGAAAATGACCCATATTTTATGCGCTCCATTGTGTTCACTTCGTACAATCCTGACATTTGTATTGCGTTGAATTGGAAGCAGCCGAATTGTATGTTTCTTAAAGGGATTTGTCTGTCTTGGATTGCTGCTGACCTTTTGATTAGTTCCTGTCGTCCTTTGCAATGACCTTGGGCAGATTCGCGACCTAACACGGGATTCAACCTCGCAGCCGTTGATTCGCTGTAGCGGACGCGCCTCGATGTCCATCAAAGAAGCGGCTCGAATTGCCCAGAGCAATAATTTCATGGGTTTAATGTGTCGCTCAAGTCTATTGGTGAGTCTCCGGAATGTGTACTAGGTCATTTTCTTATCTCCTGCTCACTGTGTTTTTAAAAGAATGTTATGCCTGCGCTCGTCGAATCCATCAAAGAACAAGGACTTGTTCTCGTGGCGGACACATCCGATGAAGCCGGCGAAAGAAGTCGACCCGGTGCTCCGGTTAGAACCGAGTGGGCATATCGCATGCCGACAGGCGTCAATGGCGTAATGAGAGGGACTGGTGTCTTGCGGTTTAACGACAGCATTGATATGTGATTTACGATTCTGGTTCTACTCGAGAATTTTTGACATCCCATTTTAATAATGGCTGAGTGTTGATTGGCTTTTCTGGGCTTACTTCCATTAGTACGAACTGTGCGTTCCTTTTTTTTTTTTTTTTTTTTTTTTTTTTTTTTTTTTCCCAGTTTATTTATAGGGGTTGTGGCAAGTTTTTTGCGGTTGATATGGCCTTTGATCTTCGATATGCCCTTTAGCCGGCCCCCTTACACCCCAACCTTCCCAACGGATCTTTGTGGTTCCTCATCGATCCAGTGTATGGAAGCTCCAAAGCTCGAAAGTGATGCCATGACCGCGGCGTTTATTGGTCGCTGGGTTAGCGAATATCGATCTTTGGTGTAGTTAGGCGGCCGCATGCACGAATCTAGCAGATGATTCCATGATCTCTTTTTATAAATATTATAGTACACATATGGATAAGTACAGGAGATGTGTGCAGGTATGACGAAAGGTCTAATGTGTATGTCAAAGTGTCGCTCAAAATGTCTGTGTAATGAGTGGGACAATAGGCGGTTCTATGGCGGTATATTTTGGTCTCTTGGGATGGGAGGACCAATGTCCCATGAGGAATTTTGACCTGGGATGCTTTTGCAAAACGTCATTGCTCAAGCCAATTCCTGGCTCTTTAAAAGCTGGACCTCTTTGAGCGGAATCTTATCTACCCACTTTTCGGTTTCCTCCTGCCAATATCCCAACCCCAGCGTCTTAGGGTTTTTACAACCTTCGGGGTGACAGCGGCAGTGAGTGGAACTCGAAGGAAAATTAGACTCTTATGCACTGCATAGGCTAATGCCAGCTGAGTCCAAATACCTGCAAAGAAGCGAATGAAAGCGTTAGTCATTGAGATTTGCTGTCGAGTACGGGGATAAAGAGCTAAAAAGAGACGCACTAGCTTCCTCGCCGGCGGGTTTGCCTCCAGCCTTCATTACTCCATGATCTAATGCAGCTCTTTCAACGCTTGTGGCCATTGCAACATCACCCCCATAAAGGTTTTCTGTTGTATCCTTTCTGGCGCCAAAAATTGGCCTGAGGATGTTCTTCATAGACTCAACAACAACATGTTCATAGTGTCCGATCCTCTCAACACCCAATAGCCTAACGGCCGCAAAGCAGAAGGGAAAGTCAAGTGCTGACAGAAGTAGATATATTCCCAATGCGGACCATCCGTATTCACGGGATAACTTGCGCATGCGCTCAGAAAAGCTGGGCGGTTTTGGAGGAGATGAGTTGGTGGAATTCCAGCGGCGGGTGGAACGGCCGGAGGATCTGAGGCTGGAGGGCCTGAAAAAGATGGATGCTGTCGCGCGTCTCGCGGAGGATTGTGTCAGGTGGGGGTAAAGGAGCGGTCTCGCGGAGGTGTGGACGGATCGAAGGCTCGAGCGGAGCACAGTAGGCAGTTGGATAGGCCGCCACGTCCGACTCGATGTGACGGACCAAAAGGACAGTGTCCCCCGGCTTTCACTGGATATATGGAACAATTGGCCTGTGCCAAAGGGAGCGAAAAGCCGGGAAGCGGACATCGCTCTTGCAAGACTGGAGAGCTTGAGGACGCTGCTCAAGCCAATTTTGGTGGGTGAGTTGCAAAGGCTTTTGGAGGAGGACAATCCGCTTGCAAAGCGACTGTCAAAGCCGCCTTTTCTAGAATGATTGATTACTTCGTCTCCGGTAATCGACAGGTATGTATGTACGTTTGAACGCTTCGAAATATTGCCTGATCGCGGGCAATCTTCCGGCGCTGGTCCTCGCGGGCGCTTCTTGGCATCGGATAATATATTTGTCCGTGGTTAGAAATTCGATTTCAGACACCATCGAAGCTCCGACTCGATGTACTGAGTGACAGCGGGAAATAAGGTCCCAGAAGGAATTGTCTCATTATACTAATTCAATAGCTGTCACCGTTAGCCATGCCTCCGCGGCTCAAGTCTAAAAGCTTCCAGCAACTACTCGCACCCGTTGTAATCCCTCAGCCGGCTGTCACCTACTATGTCCCTCAAAGATCATTCGGCATCAAAGCCTTATATCCTCCGAAAACGCATCGCTTCAATGTTGGCCCAGATATGCCCGTCCTCACATCCTCTCCGTCTTCAGCCTATGAACGCAAAATGAACACCCTCCCTCTTCGGACCGGCGCGCTTGCTATAAAGAAAGGAATGTCTGCGGTTATTGACCCGGAAACTGGAAAGCGAACAGTTTGCACTATTCTCCAGCTCGACAGAGTGGAGGTAATTTCACATAAAACCCGCCAGAAACATGGTTATTTTGCGGTGCAGGTCGGCGCTGGGTGGAAGCATGAGAGTAACGTCACAAAACCAATGCTAGGCCACTTCGCGGCGAATGGGGTTTCTCCAAAACGCTATGTTGAGGAGTTTCGGGTGAGGGACGAAGCAGGGTTGTTACCAGTTGGCCAAATGATCAATGCAGACTGGTTTCAGGAGGGTCAATTCGTCGACGTACGGTCGAAGAGTCGGGGTATGGGTTTCACCGGTGTCATGAAGCGGTGGGGATTTCACGGACAGGATCGCAGTCACGGCGTCAGTTTGACGCATCGTTCGTTGGGTACAACTGGTCCAAGCCAGGGTGGTGGTTCGAGAGTATATCCGGGAAAAAAGATGGCAGGGAATATGGGAAATACGCCGGTGACAATTCAAAACTTAAGAGTTCTCCAAGTCGACCCAGAAAAGGGGCTTGTCGTGGTAAAAGGTTCGTAAAAGGCCCATTCCACTCCTCTTTACGTTGACCTATACTTACTAAATCATCACTTTCTTTTTGTGTAGGTTCTGTGGGTGGACCAAAGGGCCGTTGTGTTAAGATACATGATGCTATTAAGAAACCATGGCCGGAGACTCCATCCTTAGCGGCCAAGTCAACGGAATAATTACGGACCCATATTTCCTTCTTGTATTGTACATTAGCAACTATTCAGTTACATTTTGAGTGTGGAATCAATCAGTCTAGAACACCAATGTATCCTATCCCCCCTAATCCAACATCACTTCGCCAAAACTCCAGCAAACATAAACAAAAATGTAAACGCCGGGCCAATCCTCGATGATAGGAGAGAAAGCCTTGATAATTCAGGATGTGAATGACTGTTCTATATCGAAGACGTAGCCTGTTGGTCGGCCTCCGTCCCAATTGAATGCTGGAATGGATCGCCATCGCTTGCATTTAACAACCGAACCATTGTCCCATCCTCCATCTCCAGGCTCCAGTCTTCAGTACGGAACTATTCGGACCAGCTGAGGTTAGTACAGGATATCTTGTACTTTGAAGAAAACAAAAGGTGAAAACAATAAACTTGAAATCAAGAACAGTATTTCAAAGAAACAAAAAAAAAAAAAAAAAAAAAAAAAAAAAAAAAAAGGAAAAGGAAAAGAAAAAACTTACAAAACCCATGCGATTTTCTCTAGTACTCTTAAACCGCATCTTCCCCTTCGCACGTGTTCCTTTGACCCAGAACGAAATATCTATCCGTCCATGAAGTTGATTGATTTCTCCGCCAATCCATGGTATCTTTTGCGCAAAGTAGATCTCATCCCCCAGAAACTCTCTCGCTTTGGGAGATGTTCTAAGGGCATACATGGTGCTGTTCACGACACTCGAAGATGACTTTTGGTAGTTGAATATCGCCAACATGGAGACACCAATGGCTGCAGCAAATAAAGGAAGAGTTCGAATCCACCGCCGATGGGAATCAATTGACGGAAGTTCGCGGTCGGCCCTTCGACTTAGGAGGGGCCCCGAGCGAGGGCCTGGCGCCGCAATTAGTGTGCGCCGGAAGGACCATGCACGGTAACGAATACGGTTGGCATTTGTTGGAAGTCTACCGGGTCGGAGGAACAATGTGCTGTTCATGATGGTGAAATTCCCACGTTGTTTGCAATCAACTATCCTGCCATCAAAGAGCTTGAAGGTGGTGAGATACAACTATTGCAATGAGTCGGCTTGTGAGCGAACCTTGTTTCCAAAGACTTGCTAGTTAGTTGTCGGGTTAACTACGGAGTAGCTGGATACTTAATCCGGTCACGTGGAGATAAGCAAGCTTAGGCAGCTACCCGCAACCGCTAAGTTAATATATTCACGACTAACCAACTCAGCAGTATCAACAGGCAGCTGGCACGCTCTCATGAGCTTGGTATGCTGTTGAGGTTCGAAATATGAAGCTCACAAATATTCATTACAAAAAGCCGTCAGTGAGCCTTTAATTATGGCAACCGCTCGTCTCCGAAAGACGTTCCGCTACCCCGATTTGGACAGTGATGACGGCCAGCGGGGGGAGCTTGATGAACAAGGTGTGTGGAACACTATGCCATGGGCCGCAGCCAGCTCTAATAGCCAAGTCAGGCTTTGGCTAACCAGGGTACATATATCTAGAGCAGGAAATTTTAATACAGGGTCTCCGCTGCCAAGATGAAAAGCAGAATGCTCAGTACAAGGTAAACGAAGGTGACGTCGGGCTTCTGACGTTTTTCCTATTAACAATTCTCATAGCTCATTTTTACGGCCATCCCTCTGATTTCCTCAATAACCTATCTTCCTTTCTTGCTTGTGCAGAGTCTAAGTGCGCCACAAAGGATTTTCTGTTTTCTGGGAATCGGATCCCTGTTATCCACGGCATACAGCATGTGGAAATTTATACCATCCTACCTAGATACAAAGGGAGATCGTCGAATAAGGGATAATAATCGAAAAGATGGATTATTAAAGAAATACTTAGGCTTGAGCAATGCCCTAGTTTCCGCGTTCCTTTTTCTAGCTGCTTATCTCCTTGGGGATTCATCCGTTTCCAAAGAAGTTCTACGAATATTATACGTTGTACCTGGTGGTAAGCTTAAAGATTAAGCAGGACCACTACGATATGAGAGCTAATAAGTTTCGCTAATATAGTGATCTATGTTATTATCTTCATGGTTCGAAGAGCCATGATATCTGTTGACATAGGAGAGTTAGAACGCCTGCGGTATGACTTTAAAGGTGCCTAATTTAGGATTGGTCCATTCCAGATTTCTCAGTATTCACCACTCTCTTACAGTGTTCTGGGCCTCGAGTAGAACTTGTTTCCCGCGATACTGTGTTGCTTTGCTGGTGCACCTTCCCCCCCTTTTATTGATACTTTATGAGAATGTACCATTTATCCCGCCCAACTTCTGTTTGCTGGGCTTATAACTTGTGCAGCCATAATTCTTCTTACAGACTTGATATGTGTGCTAATTGCTATCATGGCAGAGCTTCAATGCTTGGGGGATGGAATTCAAATATTTCAGGGACATGTGCAGGTATCTCGTACCTGAGTGAAGTCTCATGAGGTTGGCTTTTCGCTTTGGTACACTCTACGGTGATTAGGACTCTAACGGAGAAATCACGATCCCGGGATCCGAAGACCAGATTGATCAAGCACTTGAGTTCATTTCGTAAGCAAACTGCAAACGAGTCAAAGAGATACTCCAGGCATGCCGTATGTATGCGAAATCGTTCACAACGCAGGGACCTCTGAACTTCAGACAGCCACCCAAGTTTTCCTACCAGCTATCCACAGGCTGACAGAGTTCAAACACAAAGATCATAGCCGCCAGAATCCATCACAAGTGAAAGACGAGATAAAGCTATGCCGAGCTAAGTAAACTGGCGGGGGAAGGCGGTTGCCTCTGCCAGTCCAAACCGCAAACCCGATATCCCGAGCTACAACGTTGAAACTCAGGCCGTGAGCAAAACAACAACCCAGAAAGAAAAAGCGCCTGGCGAGAACGCACAGCAACCACTATAGACGGGGTCGAACATCCGGAAGAGAGTGCCACTGAATACGCCCGATTGTGCACGATAGAAAATCATGGCCTCGTTAGCAGACTAGATCCACTCCTCGCTATCAATATCATCAGTATTCCCTTCAGCCCATTGCATAGCCATCAGTTTTGCTCTTCGATTCTTTTCGACTTGGATCATCAGCTTTTCCGTATCAGCCGAAGCTGGCTCCTTCGATAAGGATTCGGACAATGATGGTGACCCGCTCAGTTCAAGTGCTTGTTGCGTAGAAAAGGAATTTGAATCCAGGCTTGAAGCGTTACCGGCATCGATGGCCCCATCACCACCTGGTATTTCGAGTTTGTCAAGTAGAGAGGATTTTCGTGAAGTTGGTTTCAGGTTAATCGGCTTAAATTGTGGACCTTCTACTCGCCTTGGTTCATCCTCGACGTCATCTTGATCGCTGAGAACAATTGGTTCCTCTGTATATCTAACACGGGCTTTATTTCGTCTCGTCACGGTTCTACCATTTCTACTTTGTATATTGTGAAGGGATCCTGGGTCAGGCATAAACTCATCATCTTCTTTTGATCGAAGGACGTCGGATCTCTTGAAGGGGTGTCGATTTGCATTCACACTGAGGTCATTAAGTAATATGTCAGACTGAATAATGGTCGTGCTTGACATGTCCCTTACACCGTCCAAACCAAATGTAGGCGTGGAATGCTCATTTGCACTGTGTTGCCCAGCCGTAGTGCGGGTTTCCCTTTCGTGAATTAAAGCACTTCCAGGAGGGTTCTGTAAAGTCGTGACCGAGGGCTCCAGGTCTGCGTACTCAAAAGTAATTGCTTCTGTGGCCTCGTAACGATTTGCCATCTCCTCTTTGAAAACTGCGTTGCTCGGCACGACTATCTCCCTTGGATCACCCGGTCTAGCGAAATCAGCAGTAAGTGTTGGGTCAATGGGAACGCCGTTTTCATCCCGTGTTTCTGAGGGGTTTCGACTATTTTCTATAACCAGCAATGGATCAATGGGGATAGCATTGTTAGCAGCGGGTACCAGGGTATCAGTCTCATCTTGGTCAAGGTCCTGGTCTTCCAAGACTGGATCATGTTGTTTGGCTTTTTCTGCTTCTTCCAATCTTCTCTTCAACCTGCGGGTCTCAGTGAGATTTTCTCCATGGTCTCCAGCTTTGATAATCCAAGTAATGTTTGAGTGGCTGAAGTCAACGAGATTTTCCACGCTTCTAGGGTCGGCTACCTTACTAGTATCGTGTCCAAGAAGCGTTCCAGTAGGTTCGTAGGGATTTATACTCGCATCACGCCGGCATGCCCCACAGGAGCAAATCTTACGACATTTTGGGCATCTCCAGCTCCGTTCTTCCAGGATCTCACGTGGAGAGGTATCGAACGCCCTATAAAGACTTCCATAACAATAATTTAGTCCGCAAGCATCACAGGTAGCGAGTTTCCACTTGGGCTCTGGAGTTTTGCAAATATGGCAGCTCGCATGTTGCTTCCGAAATTTTTCAGATCTTCGGATCTTGCGACGTTTTCTGATTGAGCCATCATCATTAGCTTCAATTATCGCGTCATTTTCTTCACGAAGTGCTGGCTTAGAAATATCATTCCAAGGCCTTCGTCTCAATTCCTCTTGGCAGATCTCTGCGAGTGTCTTTTTCCCAAGGCGCACTCTTTCCACCATCAGAGGTTCCGGAAGCTCACCAGCACCGGATGTTCGATTTCGAAACTGTAGGATCTGATTTCGCCAAATTTCGTGCTTCTTGACAAGATCCTTCCATTTGAATTGTTCGGCCCATTTGAGCTTGGAAATACACGCACAACTTCTGCCAATGGAATAACATTCCATACAGATATCATAATTATCATCGTCCCCATCCGGAAGCTTCCCAACACAAGAAGGACATGTTAGGAAGCGATTGAAAATATTGCATCTGCAATATGAGCAGATAATGTTGCTACTAAAGGGGATGTATTCCACGCTTTTGGGCTCAGGCAATTTCTGCGAAAAACTTTCGGAAAGAAGAATTTGGGTATACAGGGTAAAGAGGCGCCGGAAATCTTTCTGTATTTGTCGCATCTTTGGGTTACTGCGCGGGTCGACTCCGCGCAGAACGTCAGAATATTTCATAAGGGTATAGTAGACAATGGCCTTGTTTTTGTATTGCTCGTCTCGACAAACCATCCTCGCTTTTGGAAGGGCTTCATGAATCGCCATTTCCAGGGTTTCCACTGTAGTTCTGTTCCATGCTACTTTCATTGTCCTAGTGCCTCGATTCCAGACCTGATGAGGAGCAAGAGGAGGAATGAGAATAAAGTCGCCAGCTTTCTGTTCCACCACGTACGTTTTGAACGGGGCAAGTTTCCAGGCGTTGATCTGTGCGAAGTGGTCTTCAATCTCGATGTCATGTCCAAGTCGAGAGCGCCAATACTCCGAGACTAAGTGTCGGTCTTTGCTTTCTGTCATGAACCAAATAGAAGAGCCCGGTTTGGTTAGTTTTCCATCTTCCACGGCGCCCGTTGAAGTCTCAACCATGATATTATGGCCCAATGTAGCACACATTTCCCGGTGGGACGGTGTGTAGGTCCCCTCATGACCGATATAGCACATCAAGTTTTCAGCTCTCATTTCCGGAGGAAGACTGCTCATTAGATCTCCGGATCTTCCAGCTCCGCATTGAGCGTCGGCTTCGTTCAAATAGCATAAGAATGGAGGCAATATGTTTTTTAGCTTCTCATGCCAAATGGGGGGGCAGTCAATATCCTTGAGATAGATCCGTTGTCTCTCTGGATCTTTGTAATTTGTTACCGTCCATTGGTCCGTTAGCAAGGCCATATTATTTAGGTAATGGTGAATGGTTAATGGAAGGTTGGACTTGGTAGTGAGATTCCGTGCGTTTTCAGCTAACACCACCGTATCTTAGCAAATTTAAAGCAGGCAAATTCTAGTTAGAGATTGCTTACTCTTTTTCCCATGGTTATCCTTCAACCATTGCAAAGAAAATATCCATTTCTCTAGCCTTTGTTGATATCCCTCAACAACAAGAGGCTTCCCTCCCATGATGACGTGCAGCTGTACCAATCTTTCAAAGTCCTCGATGCCCTGTTCGTCAATGGCATCACAATGGATCCGAACCACATATTCAAAATTCGGCGTTGATTCAACTAACGCGGCAAGATCTAGATCGGGGGATATTGGCTCGAAGGACGCTCGGGGCTGTCTTCGGGAAGGCATTGTTTGGATGTCGGGAGCGACACTGGACTGTTTTATTAGAGCAACCTGATGCCAAACTTGACCTGAGATGGAGGATCAGCATGAGTGAGATAGCATTGAAAATGCGGTCCGGACGCCCGCTGTTGCTTCCAGCTAGAAAAAGCGCGCTCTGGAAACCAGCTACTTGGTTACCTTTTTAGGTGATGCTGCAGTTCGTTACCTGCCCTGCGCACATGAAATACAGAGTACCTGGTTACGTAATCTCACTACGGAGTAACTTCACTAGTTACCTGCCAGCCCTGTGCCTGCCTCGGCAACTACTCCGTAACCGGTTAGGCCAGAGTTAGCTACAGTGTCACGTGATTAAGAGCTCCCGTCTGCCCCAGCGCTCGGAGCACAATGAAAGAACTCGTAATAAGGCTCGCTGCGTCCCAGCAACTTGAGTCCGAAGAATGATGAGGATAAAGCCTCGAGCAACCCTTGGCTTCCCTACTTAGCTTGAAATCACGGAGTATGGCCCTCTACCTTAGTATTGTTGGAATCAAGAAACACTACCATGAATGCCGCTGAACAAAAGTTGGCTTGATGAAACTAATAGTCCGGCTTTCCGGTAGGTGCGACTGGGCGACTTTACACAGCAAATTTCTGAAAGCAGTGATGCGATCGCTCACCTTTGTCAGCCCTTTACTCCAACCCATTTCCGAAATCCGCTATGGATATGGGTTCCGAAGGAGCCTTAGATGCTTTTCGTCCGCGTCCAAGTTACGAGGGACCCACGGTATGAGGCGTAGCTTTGTCTTGCCAGTGTCGTCTCAACCGGTGTTGACATCCTCGGTCATTTTTCGCCGAGCCGTAACGTCCGCGAGCCCCGTTAATCCAGCTTCAGAACAACCAATCGTCAAATACACTCCTCCGACTCGCGGTCTGATCGCCTCGCTGCCCAAATCATGGATACCATATGCCGAATTGGTGCGCCTTGACAAACCGACCGGTACCTATTACCTGTTTTTCCCATGCCTATTCTCGACTCTTCTCGCCGCACCGCTCGCCACGCCCATGGCAACACCATTAGAAGTGGTTTCGTACTCAGGCCTATTCTTCCTCGGTGCCTTAATTATGAGGGGAGCCGGATGCGCTATCAACGATTTATGGGACCGTAATCTCGACCCCCATGTAGAAAGAACGAAATTCCGGCCCATTGCAAGAAAAGCCATTACACCTTTGAGTGCGATGATTTTTACCGGAACACAACTTCTTGTTGGTTTGGCAGTCCTCTTGCAGTTTCCCGCGACTTGCTTCTGGTACGCGACTCCTAGCCTACTTTTAGTGGCAACATACCCGCTAGCCAAAAGGGTCACAAACTACCCACAAGCGGTGCTGGGGCTGACATTTTCATGGGGCGCAATAATGGGATTTCCAACTTTGGGCATCGATCTTCTGGCAAATGGCGGAGCCGCCGTAGCCGCGGCTTCTCTATACGCGAGCTGTATTGCGTGGACTATATTGTATGACACAATATATGCGCACATGGACGTAAAGGATGATGCTGCTGCCGGTATCAAATCCATCGCGCTCAAACATCAGGGCGATACAAAGGCAATCCTTTCTGGTCTGGCGGTTGCTCAGGTTGGACTGCTTGCCGCCGCTGGCGTAGCAGTTGGCTCTGGTCCTATTTTCTTTGTAGGCAGTTGCGGAAGCGCAATTATAACTTTGGGAACTATGATATGGCGTGTCAAGTTGGATGATGTTAAAGATTGCTGGTGGTGGTTTAAATATGGCTGCTGGTTCACGGGTGCTGGTATAGCCACCGGATTGTTTGGAGAGTACGTTTCGCAAAGATCCAGTCTTCAGCAGATGGCTGATGATGGCGCGACAAACGTCACCAAAAATGAGATGCCCCTTCAGAAATAGATGCCGATCACTCAAGAACTCAAGCCCACGTGTTCTTCGATAAACCTCACAATTACCCTCCAATCCCGCATGGCGCCATCGCCAGTATCGCCACATGCAAGCTCTTTTTCCATCGGTCTTAGGACCGTAATCCAGCCCTTTCCCTCCGTAGAGTCCACGTCCCAACCCCGCTCCAACGTCTTGATCTGACTTTCGGTAAGCGGATGCTTCCACATCATCGTATTCATACTTGGGGCAACGTATATCTTCCTTGGGGGTTCAACTGTGCCTTGTACATCCCAAGCTCGAACTACCGAGAGCAGTAAATTATCCGCGAGTCCCAGTGCCATCTTAGCCAGCGTATTGGCTGATAATGGAGCTATAAGCATGAAATGCGCCCATCTTCGTAGTTCAATATGGAGGATAGTAGCTCCTCTCACCCACGGAATCTTCCACTCATCTAGATCCTGATATATGCCGTCGACATTCGGGAGGCAGCGTATCTGTTCCAGGGTCGGTTGTTCCGCACTCTGCCCGGCAAGGAATTTGCTGGAAGATTCCGTCAAAACAATGCGGATGGAAACATTAGCGTGGCGACCCAGAGCTTCAGCGATGTTGGGTAGCTTAATCGTAGCGACTGAGCCACTGGCCGCAAGTAGGATATGGAACTTTCCATCGTTGGCGTAATCGGCAGCCGAAAATGGAGGCCCGAGTTCTGGCACAATACCGTCCGCCATGTAGTTAAGGGGAAAAAAGTAAAGGAAGAAGGGCCCAAAATCTATAATGCCATAGAAATTGATCAGTTGTTAGAGGATGATGTTTGTAAGAACACTAATATACTCTGTACGGAGTACTAAGAGATGAAATTGGTTGCCCATGCCATATTCCGCTGTTGTTATGGAGTAGAGGGTTGACTAACTACCTCAGGAAATCACATTGAAAAATCAGACCAAGCTGGTTACATACAGAGTACGGGGTACATGTACTCCGTAAACTCGATTTTTAATAACAACTTCACACTCTCAGGTTCTGGGCTTCAAGATCTCCTTCATCCTCAATGTCCTCAGTACCTATCATCTCAATTTTGACTACCTTTTTCATCACAAAAAAGATGTTTAGGCATTAGGAAGATTAGAGTCAAGTGTTTTAGGGTTTATGGTGTAGCATGAGAGATATGGATCCAAGAGAGATTGGGGGGTTTAAGGAGCACACTGTAAGAGACATAAAAATGGCTAACTAGGCAGGTAAGTAACTAGAAAGGTTTTGTGACCGCAGCAGCACTGTTTCTTTGCGACAAAACACTTATAAGTTCATACCAGTCCATACTCTGTATACACAGTGCAATCCCCGGGCGGATTGCATGTACTCTGTACGGAGTACTCCGTAGGTGGCAGTCTAACTAAGCACACTAAACCTATTCCATTTTAGAGGCCGAGTCCCTGGCCAAACCTTGTCACACCGGGATGATCCTGACGTCGACAGTTTAAGATGATGTTTTAAACCATTTTTTAGTCCTAGCAACAATACTCCGTAATCAATTTCAAGCTCATTAACTTATTTAATGTGGGGGGAATAATCATCAATCTCTTTTGCAAACAATCCTTAAAATGGCTGCCCTTCCTGTAAGTGATCACATTATTTCACCAGCGGCAATCCTTCTGACTGATAGGAAATGTGCAGTTTTTTTGCCGAGCAGTTCGGCCGGCTTCTCATTCCCTTAGGCCTCTGTTCGCTTCAACATTATCGCCACTGCAAATTCGTTTGCTATCAACCGAGATGAAAGCTGCCATAGATAAAGCAGTTGCATCGGCACCTGTCGTTCTCTTCATGAAAGGAACTCCGGAGACGCCGCAATGCGGATATTCCAGGGCCAGCATTCAGATTCTGGGACTTCAAGGAGTGGACCCAGATAAATTTACAGCGTTTAATGTACTTGAGGATCTTGAACTAAGGCAGGGTATGTGTGCATCAGGCGCTATTCTGAAAGGCATAAAGTACTTACGGGGACTGATGTACTGAGCAGGGATTAAAGAATACTCTGACTGGCCGACCATTCCTCAGCTTTTTATCGACAAAGAATTTATTGGAGGATGTGACATTTTGATGTCCATGCATCAAAATGGGGACTTAGCGAAGCTGCTCGAAGAGAAAGGAGTTCTGGTTCCCAGAGAATCGGAAGCTGCGAAATAGACACTACGTTACTTTTGTCTTGTTATTGCACGTAAAAATAATCCGAAGCTCAATGGCTGCAGGCTGGCCGCTTTTACCTATTTGCCCAATGCCTAAAAGATCGGCGTCTCTTTATGTGTTTTCTTATTCGACATGTGTGTATGATATAATGGGCTTCGATATCGTCCCTAGGAATGGATATCGATTTGATTCATTGCGTCCGCGCCCGGCCATCAAACGAAGTTTGAATGAATCTCAAACCCCACCTTCGCCTGACCCGATTGGGAAGGTAAATTTCTTCCCAGATGAGAACCTTCGGAGTAGTTACCGTGTTTCATACTGTGACTTCATATCTTTAAGAACACTTGTCAAACCACAGTGAACTATCTCACACCATTCCATCAGCCCATCATGACAAAGCAAAAGTTTGCGCTGAGGTCTCTCTCAAGAAGCACCATGTTGGCGTCAGGAATCTTTAGGCGAAAGCAACAAATTCGCACCACCCATTCTGACCAAAGAAGTCCCTTTATTACACACATGGCCACGGCCACCTCCCCATTCAAGGTTGCACACAAAAGAACCAGAGCTGCACCAAAACATAACAGTGAAGGCTCATCGGGTGAACCAGTCGGTCACGCTATTGTGAATGAGTTTTCCCGTGGGTTTATCATGGTCCCATTCCTATGCACGCCCATTGATATATTTCAAATAAAGGTTCCCTCGACCGAACACAAGATGAAATCGTTGAAGATGCCTTCAATTCCCTTATTGATGCCGAGCAGCTTCTTACTGATAGACTTTACCACACAAGGGCTACTTCTATGGAAAAGATTGATGAACTAGGGTTAATTAATCATAGTGCTCTGGCTCCGTTTCGGATGATGGGCTTGGAGGGTTGGCCTTTGCCTGATCGGAAACAGGCACGACATGAGGACGGTTATGTGGCCCCGGTGGGCGAGCTCCGCCAGAAGCTGAGAACCATTGAAAGAACTCTTGAAAAGCTTTGGCAAGAATGGTCTAGGATTCAAAGCAAGATCCTTTGCCTTGGGGCCGAGGTCTTTGGGTCGCGCTCGCTAGATCTTTACAGTCCTAATCTGCCTAGATTGCTAAACAGAAAAATCAACCGGGCCGTTGGTAGACATGAGATACAATTTGTTAGGAGCGAAGGAATGCGCCGAATAGCCGAAGAACAACGTGGGAATGTTGCTTTGATAAGGAGAGACACGCTGAAGGAACTGGCAGTTCAAAAAAAGGTAGGATGCCCCCTCAGTTAATGGCTGACTACGTCACATCATTGAACACTGATTTCTATGTTGCATAGAAATGGAAGCATGATACTAAACAGCAAAATGAGGAAGTTTGCAGACTAGCCAGGGAAATGATTGTTGGGATCTGAAGTAGTATGGCGTTTCCGAGCGATTTACATATACTTCGGAGGATTTCTGGGCGTTTGACGCTAGGAAGGCCACCCCACGAAAGGTTCTGTATCCAGGACATCTTACACGGTGACTTTACGTATGATAAAGTCCATATTTCAGTTATAGCAAGAGATACGGTCTCGAGTACAATGATTATTAAATTACTTTCTATTAAATGTGCAGGGTTGTAAACCCATGACTATGGCCCCTACCGTATATCTTAGGCGTGCTGATTATATACAAGACTTAAATCCATTATTATTCCAACTGACGATATAGCTCAAGCCACATCCGATCCACGGAAGATATGGAGCCTCGGCTCTTGCCAAAATCTCAAGACATTTTTCCTGTATCTAATAGAAATCAACAAGAAACATATCAAAGTGCTGAAAACCGGATGCCCTCTGTAACTTGGTGGCTTTCCAGCACCTGTAAGACACGTGCAATCAAGATAAAGGAACCCATGCCTAGTTAGCGGGCCAAGTTACTTCTTGCTGCTCCTTCTGCTTAAGGTTTTCTTCACCAATCGCTTTGAGCAGCTTTGCTCGTTGTCGTGCCTCGAATGCCTCTCTGCTTCTTAAAATTCTTTGGACGATCTCGCCAGCATTTACGTGCTGAAAAGGGTGGGTTCCGATCTCCTTAAAGATGCCCAGCTTTTTTGGGTCAATGTAGGGATCGTACGTTAAAGGGATGAAGGTGGTGGGTCCATGATAGACAGCACCAGGCATACCCAATGGCAGTAATCGAAGAAATGGCTCTGATGGCGTAAAGGGAGCACCGAACACAACAGCGTTAATGTACTGCGAATAAATATTAGTTAAGTGGTATTTTTCGATAGGTAATTGAACGTAGTTAAGGGTACCCACGCGACATTGGAGAACGCAGAGACCACGTTCGAAAATGTTCATTATAGGATAGTTCAAACCTTTCCAACGGTTTATGACTTCGTCGTCATGGACCCCAGCTACAACGTACGCAGGTCCATAGTCTTCTCCACATTGTTCGACTCGGGCTTTCACTTGATCGGACGAATACCATCCGCGGCGGGAGCCCTCTTCGTTCTCCATTTCATGAACACGGCGTAGGAATTCAATATGACCCGATGAAAATAAATCGAAACCTCCATCGACGTATACGACTCGTTGCCCTGGCTTGGGGCCCTTTCCATGAACTAAGTGATCAAACGATCCAGTTGCTTGCGCATCGTGATCATCATTTGGCCGCTGAGAACTAGTCCAAGTCCAAACATCGGGTCCAGGTTTGTGACCAGTTTCATCCGTGGCATAGTCTTTAATTCTTTGAAGGGACTGCTTTGCAAGCTCCTTAAGCTCTTCCGGCGGTCCGGATCCTTCTTGGCCGGCTAGAAAGGCAGGTAAAGACTTGATGAAGTGCCCACGAGTACAGAGAAGCATACGCCCAACCAAATCCGTGGTTGATATCCCGGGAGTTCGCTTCACCACAAGGAAACGTCCTGCAGCTTTCACGAATCTATAGCAATCGTTTCCATCACTATCTGAAGTAATGTCGTCACCGTGAACAACGTAGTAGCAGCCGTAATGGGATATCCATGGCAATGATGTAACGTATGGAGCGTGGGGGATTGATTTAGATGCCCAGCGACAAGCATCCACCGCTGCCACCCTTTAGCCAGAGTATGTCAGCAAGGGCTTCCGCTCCAACCGGGAATACTGAACGGACCGTTCTGCCAGCGTCATAACAGTTGGACCCTTATTTTCTAGAATTTCCTCGTCGGAATGGACACCAACGAAAAGCTCTTGACCCAATCTTTTTGCTTGCAGCATCGCACCCGCATGGCCTACTCCGCCTGGATTAGACATGTGGACAACAGTAGATGTGAGAGTAACCGACCATGATGACTAAAATCAAAACAGCCATCTATCCAAATACGTTCTTTCCGGATGGGCACGTCCTGCTGGGGGTCAACAGGCCATTCCCCAAAGCGGGGAACCGACCCTTTGGGGGAAGGCTCTGCCGCCATGTCGATCAAGACAATCTTCACAGTTATGCGGGACTGAGTGTGTGGCTAAATGGAAATCGATAAGAGTTCTAAGAAAGAGCATTAAAATCAGCATTTTGTACACATATTTGTAAGGGCATGGTCGATACTCGTACTCCGTGTGAACTACGTATTTCTAATTTAAGTAGGCAGTCAAAGATCAGGCCGGGGCAAAGGAAACCGTCGGTGGGCCTAGGTTTGTATGTAAGTCAAGGGCTTGTCGGATTGTTGTTGAGCAGCTGGATTGTATACCAGGTATGGCGGGAAGAGCGGTTGATATTCAAAAATTGCAATCAAAAGTCCTTCCTGTCCCGCCTTGCTGCGTAACTAGTTATTTGACTGTGAAGTCGCGGGTGCGAAGGAACCCCACATTAATTAACTGCAACGTATTGCACTTCATACTCCGTAATTGGCGAGGATTTAGTTAAATGTTTACTTTACCCACAGACCGAAGATTCATGGTGTATGAAGTACGACGAAGTACGGAGTACGGAGTACAGAGTATGCCTCGGACAGTTTACTTTTTGTCAGAATAAAGGAAAGGCTATCCCTGGATCGGAAGCGTTAGTACGGAGTACAGAGTACTGTACCTTCCTGCCTTGTTAACCCTGCCATAGCTGTGGTGGTACATGCCTCAACACAGACAACTTCTCCACGCATCACTTTCTCTGAGAGACTGTTGGTTCCAACAGCTAGTTAACTACTACCCACTCAAGTCGTCATTAGTAAACGACACAAAAAATACTTCAGGACTCTGCTACTCCCGCCTACCATGTCCCGCAAAACTGCCAGTAGACAAAACATAGGATTTATGCTAAAGACAAACAGTCACACAGCCTCAACATCATCTACTTAGCTAAGCTACACCTCTACCAGCAGAGCTTTCGGGGAAAGCTCCACCAAATCTGTAGCTGCTTCCATTGCATGGAGAGATTGTTTGACAGCAGTTGAAATTGAGCAATGGCCCAAAGGAATTATTGCTCGTCTGGATGATTCTTAATGTAGGTTTAAGGAAGTGGTTCTCCTCTCGCCTTAACTTAACCTCGTTTACACAATATGTTCTTAATGCGAAAGCATCTACTCCGTACTTGGCTTTCAATTTGACGTCATGGCCATGCTGGGGAAGGCTCCAACGAACCGGTTGTCTCGAATTGAGAGTCAATTTTGATAGAAAGGCCTTTGTCAAATTGTTAGCCCTGAAACAAAAAATAAAGTATCAACTTGCCTTTGCGAAGCCTTCTCCAAAAGGGTGCTAAAGTGCTGATAGCTTGGTAGACAAAACCATCCATCACAACGCCATCAACAACAAGTGGTTGGATAGAACTTCATATAGACACACCAAAAAACTTCCTACACTTTCTTCAGGAAGACACTGTGGGCCAGTTTGGAAGATAGCAGCATGAAAGAGTTAAAGTTAAACTGCGAACTTGGAAGATTAGAAAATCAAAAATTTTGAAGGAGAAAGACAGTAAGAGCGAGAGGCTCCCGAGAGATGGGAATCAGAAATTACAACGTCCATACAACGATTTGAGCTCCAGAAATACCCAAAAAAAAATCGACCTGGGAGGGCCATATTGCACTTCTTCAGTATTCAGCACTCTCTAAAACAAGCTGGATTGAGATTCATAGAACCAGATCCAGGTCAACCACATAGGAGACACAATCCCTTCAATGACAAAATTTATATTATCTTGCTAGCGATTCTTGGCTAGGGTGAAATTAGTGCCCTCGCAAGAGAGAATCAATGATATCCAAGAACAACGGAAGAAAATCCAGATTCCCTCTTGATCACAGGGTAACTATTCGAGGTACGGAGTAGGAACAACATTAGCAAGGTAACTAGGTTGCTTCAGCAGGCTCAAGCCCTCCTTGCCTGCGAGTAAGTTAAAGTACCTTAACCAACTGCATAGACCCCTGCTGAGTCAGCTTGCAGCTCGATTTGTCCCAAAAATTTTCCTTGGGTTGCGATTTCGCCGCAATAATTCGGGATTCCGCCTCTCCGGCAAGAAATTAATTCTTTTTACTCCACAGATGCCTTGATGAGTCGATTCACTTTTGCTGTCACTTACCGCAGATTATTTATTTTTTTGATTCTGCCAGTTCGCCGCTCTCCTTTCTCCTTTCTACTTTAATATTATTCGCTGCGTATAAAGTAGGGAGGCAGCTTCAAGTTAATCGTTAATTTCTATTATCCCGCTGGGCTCGTTCGTTTCTTCCTCGTGCCGGTATTTGGCGGCCGTCGATCGCTATGAAAGTTTTCGCGTCGGAATGCACGTTCGATTACTCGTGGGAAGAGGTTTCCACTGCTAACTGGCGTAAATACTGCCCGTGGAATAACAAGTCCACGCATGTCGTTGCCGTCGATGTCCTTTCGCGAACATTCGATCCAGAATCTGGAATTGTAAGGCTTGAATTCTGTGTCTCAATGTTCCCGGAGGGCTAACACACGTGCGCATAGTTACGAACGGAGCGTTTAATCACATGCAACCAGTCTGCTCCGCAATGGATCCTTAACCTTTTTGGAGGTTCTTCGACATCGCATGTCTACGAAGTCTCCTATGTCGACCCGTCTTCGAAGAAAGTCACTATGTGTTCCACAAACTTAACCTGGTCAAACGTTCTTAGCGTCCGCGAAACTGTCATCTATCAACCATCTCAATCAATGCCGGCATCGAGGACGGACTTTAGACAAGACGCACAGATAACCGCTCTCTGTGGTGGATGGCACAAATTAAAGAACAAAATCGAGGAACTTAGCGTGGAAACATTTAGCCAGAACGCAAAGAAGGGGCGGGAAGGGTTTGAGGCTGTCCTTGAAATGAGTCGGAGGGTATTTAGAGAGCAGAAAGAGATGGAGGCGTTGCAGCAGGTGCCCCAATGACCAATCCTCATTACCACCTCTCAGACTGCTTCCTCGTCAAGCGATCCTTGCTATCATACTTTCCCTCGCAGCGAAAAAAAAAAGAAAAGTTCGGAGTTTGAGGGGTTTAGATCTTCCTTTTTCGATTTATGTACAGTCACAATGGCGCAAGTGGCTGGTCTCGGCGTTTTTGGTGGCATGGTAATTGAACGTGACATGACAGCATCGCATTGTTTATATTTTATGGAGCATATATTGTATCATTACGGAGTATGCTAGGTCTATATTTGAAGAGAAGACACAATTCGCCATTCATGGAACCTTCCTCTGTCCTTTCCCGTGTCCCTCAAATTAGAATAATTGAAACTTTGCGGCTGCCATATGCATTAGTTACCGGTATGCTACCGGTTTTTGTCCGGAATTGACTCCTGTAGGTTGAGGCGAAGATATTGCTCCCCCATTTTTAACTAGGCATATTCTCCAAAATTGGGCTTGCACCCGTCTGCTAATCTAGCCTAAGAGTCCCCCCAGGACCACTCGACTAACTCCTGCAACTTCACCCTTGACACTACTACGGCTTGCATCTTCGAATTCACGCACAACACTTGACATTATCACTTTCCGTAACCGTGAATCTGCCTTCGCAAACATTTCTCCCAATGCACCGGTGCAAAGCGAAGGGCTCGACACTAAACTCATCAATCTACTATAGCAGTCAATGAGGACGTCGCATAATGTCGCATATGTCTCGAAAAAGTCCGGGTCGAAGGGTAGTGTGGGGGTCAAGAGATAAGTATATTCTTCCCCCGGAAGTAGATCTGAAGATTCGGAAATGGATGGAAAGGTGGCCACTGCGGAGGCAGCATTCGTGGCAGACGCGATATTCCCCGTCATTGCTTTGAGCTCTGACTGATCGCTTGATTGCATGGGCAGTCCTATTTCGGTCGCTGAGCTTGCTCGCCGAGCTTTGGTGCCAGTGTGAGTTGATCGCTTGAACATTTGTGGAATTCGCGCCCGCGCGAGAGTCGATGCAGAACCGCCATCGGCCGGGTGAATTTGCTGGAATGCCTCGAATTCAATAAGGAGCGCGTTAAATGATCGGAGATATTCAAACGGGTTGGAGCTGACATCTAGGATTGGAGGTACGGACAACCCTAACAGCAGATAATTGATCGCTCGACGGGCAAGCTTTCGCTTCTCAAAATATGGGAGTCGGGAAACATCAGCCCGGGTAAAATGGATAGTGTTAAACCAATAAACTCGCCCTTCATGGCTACAAAGCTTTCCTATTAGTTTGTGTTCACTGTTATAAGAACGAGATAAATACTAACGCCTTTCGTAGATAATCAAGGGTCTGTATTCTCTTGGCTGAGGTTTCGTGAATATGGAGATATATCGCGCTTGCATTCTGGACGCCGTAGGCTGTAGCAGGGGTTTGTGGTGTGACGCCAGCCATCCCATTAACCGATTCAAATGCAGATGTTGCGGCGTACATATTTTTCATTCGGGTCGGTTCCATAAAGCATATTAGCAAAGTTGTTGAAGTGGATAAGGCGACGTTTTTTGCAGTCTATGATTCACGGATTCCGTCCATGACCTGATTAACTCTGTCCTAGCTCCTTCTTCAGCTATGATGACATAGAACCCTTTCTGATAGCCCGCTCTCTTCCTACAACACAAGAACAAAACCATTAGCAGGCTGGTGTGGAATTATGTATGAAATGCAGCTCCCAGTTGAAACCTGGATCTGTCACACCCTGAAGAGCTCTATGAAGAATATGAACCTTAAAATGTGGTCAATAATAATACCAAGAATAGTGACACTGGACCCTAGGGTTGAATCTAGAACATTGTCAAAATGCTTTGTGCACAGCAAGTCACTTTCACAAGGGTTTGGATACTTCCTAAATATATGAAGTTCTCGGTTCTTTTTTTTTTTTTTCTTTTTTTTTTTTTCATTGAGAGTGCTGGGGGCAACTACTCGAGTCCTGATGATCTTGGTAGGTTGTGACGACAGAGCTGATTTAGCAGTACCATATAACCAGTGACCCTATATTAACAGATTCTGCAACCACACAACTACGCCTGCTGAACACTTGCTACACCATTCAAAGCGCCCTGGGAACAATCATGCTGGGCCAGGCTCAGCCAGCCTCACACACGGAAATGGTGCCTTAATCTTGCGATCGCCATCTCTGTATATTCCGCCTCCAGTACCCGCATTTGCTACAATCTACATCTATGTATCTTCTCTAGAGCAAAGCGAGTTTCAACCTCAGCTGCTTCCTCGCATCCCTAAGAACTATTCTTCAACTCCTTTGTGACCAGCTAAGAGCACTGGAGCACTTCCAATTTAAACATAACTTTTTGGTCCGGTATCTGCTGGTGGTGTATGCAGTTATAATTCACTGGCCTGTGGGCAGGAGGGCTGCTAGGCGGATAGTAGATCGTCTGTACGGAGTAGATTCAAGTATATTCGTAGTTAGAGGCAGCAGGTTCCGCTGAATTGAGTCCATCCTTGTCTGGAGGTGAGGAAGCAAACAGTCCAAACGAATGCGGGATTGCATTGCCGGGTTGAACAAGGGATGGGGTTGTGCAGAGGAGATCAAGTGTGTAAAGGTAGAGGAGATCACTGGGTTCTCCCCGTGCAGGCTTGATAGAAAGGAAGGCCCGGGCTACTCCATACTGAGTCCAGGCCTGGGAATGGGTTTGAAGCTAGACACTCCTTGGTTACTCCGCACTTCCCCGTACTTAATTAGTTAATTACGGAGTACTCCGTACCTGGAAGGCTAACGCACTGGAGAGTTCCTCCGCTCGGACTAACTTACCCTTTTGGACCAAGAAATGAAACCTCCATAGACATTCTGACTCGATCCACATACTTTGGAAGACCCTTCCAGGTCTATTTTACTTTATTTAACCCTTCAATTCTGTATTCAAAACAATGTCTGGTGTTAATGTTTTCTTCAATTAAGTCCTCATAGCTTGGATGTGGTGGTTCTCTTCTCTACAGAAGGATTCCTGTGTGCTTCTTTCCGCGCAAATCCCATCCAACCAAACACCAGGTGCTGGTTGTGTGTTCCAGCATATGAGATCCTCTATTCTTCCTATCTCCATTGCGGGCTCAATGAATATTTGTACTTGAGATTTCATGTGCCATGGCACCCATTGACGGCCAGGATGCCCCTTTGAAAGCAACAGTACATGGATCGCAACAAAGTTTGAAAACAGAGGCACAACCTCCCACACTCACCAACCATATTCTCTCTCTCTTCTCACGTTGCAATTCAAGCTCTTTTGTTGCCATTATTGGAGGCTTATTTGCTTGCTTGTATGTTGTGTTTGGGCGATTGGCGTTGCTTTTCATTGGTGTGGTTGGCGGCGCAATATTACATGCTTGGTGGGAGGAATGGAATGATAGCCCTGGCGAGAACAAGGCCAATGAGGCGCTTCGAAGGCGCCGGGAGCTGGGCATCGAACTTGCCGAAAGGCTGATGCGATCGGAGGTAATATCAATGGAATCGACTCCGGCTGAGCATCCATCTGTTGCTAAGATACAGAATGGTGAGCCCGATCTTTCCACATTGCATCCTGCCCCAGCCGCAGCTTTGGAAGCGGTCGTGAATGCTGTAATCAAAGACTATATCCGGTGAGCTTGCTTGATCACACATAAATTCGCACCATGAGACTGAAGACCCTGCAGGTGGTGGTATGACCCAATTTTGCCTTCTGAAACAAATTTTCCGCGCGCATGTCGCGAGTCTCTGGTCAGCTTTATCCATTCTGTATCTGTCCACCTTTCACGCAAGAGGCCTGCGGAACTTTTTCTTCAATTCGTTATGAATTCTTCCTCGATCATGATTGTGTTTTTGAGCGAGATATCCATTGCTCTTGGCCCCGCAAATGCAAATGCTACCTCTGTAGCCGATGCTATAAATATATACCTAGAGGAGTTCCCGGAGAGTGGTCTAGCAAATATTGTCTCCATTGAAGAACAGCGAAAACGGCTGAGAGTTATGGCTAGTGAACTGCTGAAAAACTTCCTTGATTCGACTGCCTACGACTGTGCGCCGGTACAAATTTTTCTCCGCGAAATAGTCACGGGAGTGATATTCGAATCCATTATCAAAACGTGTTCGGCACCGGATTATATAAACGGCTGGATCATTCATCTACTTGAAGGAGGCGAGCCCGAATTTATCAATGCGATAGATGCTGGATTGGATGCCCTGGACAAAGCTAGTGACACGCAACTGAACCCTGGACCCACATACATTTCACCGGCGCACGGCGACCCAGATTCAATAATAACCGATCGAGAGTCACCAAACCCCAGGACCCGTCATAATTTGGCCACAACGGTGTTGACCGGATCTGATCCAATGGGGGTTCCGAGTACAGATGAAAGCGGAAAGGCACATTGCAGAAACCAAAGTATTAATGGCATGGTGAGTCCTGAAAACACGGTAATCCAACATGAAAATATGGGAAATCATAGCGAGGCTCTTTGCCAGGCAACTTCTGCTACATTGGATAGTGGTGAAGGGGTAAGTTCTGGGATCATCAGACTGCCTACTTTCACTACAAAAGAAGGTGCCTCCGTGTCTCCGGGCTCTATGGATGGCTGTCACGTTTCAAAAGCTTCCAGTGGAACGTCTCCTCTCATCCAAAATAGAGGTCATACTCCCTCAGCCGAAGCACTGGCTGCCACACCGTCCGCAGCAAAATTACTTCATGCGTCGATATCAATTCTTGAGGACTTTGCTACACACGTTGATGGAATCATGCGTTCCAGGCCTACCACCGAATATCTAGTACAAGTCGAGCCCAAATGCTCTCATCTCTCTGGCTGGATGATTGCGAGGCAATACACCGACTTTGAATCGCTTCATGAGACTTTACGGCGCATATCGGTAGTTTCCGGCGTCACTCAATTTTCAATGCGACATCCTAATCTGCCGGATTGGAAAAATCGCAATGCGGAGGACTTGCGTGGACTCCTTGAAAATTACTTACAAGACGCGTTACATCATGAAGCCCTTGCTGAATCTGAAGGTTTGAAAAGGTTTTTCGAGAAAGGGTTGGGGGCTGGTTTTCCATCCACTTCCGTTCCGACGAGGATGGGTTCTGTTTTCCGCAATCCTGCAGTACTGGAAAACATGGGCAAGGGGGTTTTGGGAGTTATAAGTACTGCCCCTAAGGGGGTCGCTGAAGGGGGCAAAGCGGTGCTTGGAGGTGTATCCGGCTTTTTTGGTTCTACAGCCTCCGGGGCGAAGAGAAGACGGGCCGAAAGCCCAACATCTCGAAGTCGGCCAGAATTCGAGGAAACGATAGCAGACCATGCCAAGTCCGCAATCACTGAATCTCATTGGGATCGGTCCAGCCGACCTGAGCTGGAAGAGCACGGAGATAGGCTTGTTATGTCTCATTCACAGTTAGCTAAGGTATCAGACGAACCCCCCACAACGTATTCCTCCTCTTTCACTCAGTCAGTCAGTGCTGGTCCTTGGAAAAATGGGGAAATTGAGCCTGTTTCAGACCATGGAGTTGCTTTCCCAAATGACTCAACACTACATTTGTCTTGTGAATCAGTTACGAGACAAGAGAGAATTGTACCTCATCGGGGTGAAACGCAAAGTACCATCATAACGACAATCCAAAGCGCACAAGGGAACGAAATTCTTAATCCCAACACCTGCGAAGCCGCCGAGATACATCGGGAAGGCAAGGCTGCCGACTCCAAATCCGATCCGCATGCAGCGCTTTCAGAAGAGGAGGCTATCATGGTCGTGGAATTGTTGTTTGCGGTTGTTAATGAGATTTATGGTCTATCTTCAGCCTGGAAATTTCGAAAGCGTTTGTTACATGCAGCCAAAGCCTTTCTTCTCCGCCCAGGGAACCCAAACCTCGAAGCTATTAGGCTGCTTATCCAGGATTCGATCATAAAGGACAATACAACGCATGAAACTTTGGCAGACTACATCAATATGTTGCGCGAATCATGTTTTTCTGCACAAGATAATGGTGAACCTGCCACCCCGCTCACACTAACTGAGAAGGATCGGAAGAAAATGCAGGAAAGGGCTCGAAGTTTATTGATTGAAAACGGCATGCCCTCCGCACTGATTAGTTGCATGGGCAGCAATGCAACAAGTGAGGCTCTTGGGCGGATTTTTGATAGTCTTCAAATAGAATCTGTCGCAAGAGGCTTTGTCTGTGCTGTCCTGCTGCAAGCGCTGAAAGTGATTGTGCAGTGACGGGCTCCAAATGAAAGTATGAGTTTTCAAATGTTTATATTACTCCAGAATCTTTGATCCACCAGAGATGCTAATACTATCAATATCTGCTGATTTCAGGGGCAGATTTTGTGAATAACTGTACTGCTTAGAATACACAATATAACCCCCAATGGTACAGTGGGCTTCAGAGGGGGCCTGATCCCCATCTAAAAGAGCTTCCAAATCCGCCGCAGCAAAACTCCTTTGTGCATAGTACATCTAAATTCTATGTCTGAATCTTTTTTCTCGAAACCAAATGGCCGGGTATAGTCCATGAATATGTGTTGTATCGTGGCGGCCTTGAACCCGAAGCAGCACTTTCATGAAAATTAAGCAAATCAAGCACCTTTATCGCCAAGGCTGATGAAAAGGTCGCGAGTCAATTCAAAGCTGAGCCAGCTACTGGCCATGCTTGGAGCCACTTTCAATAAATTTGGAACGATTCCCTTATACAGTCCTCTAATACCTTCCTGGGTTACAATAACCCTGATAGCGTCCCAAATCGACGTGTATCTGTAGCCCAGGCCCGACATGGTATTGATTTGGAAGCGTCGCCGAAGAACGTCACTGTTTTCAAGTCGCATTAACAATGAGGTTCTCTACATAAATGCGGAGCATACCCAACTTACAACGGATATGTACACGTCTGTGCCACTGCACCGGAGATAGCACCCGCCAACAACTTCCGGTACGGACTTGGATTGGCATCCCCTTCAGGCGTCAAGTACTTCCGGACTGACTCGTAAGTCATAAAGTTCAAACCGACCTATCCAAGAGCAAAATCAGCGGAAGATCAATTGCTTTGGCTGAACCAAAGGGAAAACGTACATAGGGTGCTACTCCAGCAACAGTTGGAACTATCCCTCGATAAAGCGCAATTATACCTCCTTCCGTCCGGTACATGACGCGCATGGTTTGGAACATGCCAGGAAGTTTTCGACCCGGATCATGTTTAAGTTCGGAAAATGACGCAGATTGAATGGATAGCCGGGTTCGAACAATGTCCAAAGGATAAGTGACACTGACGGAAGTAATTCCAGCGAGACCCCCGCATACCAGTCGACTCAAAGGGGTCATTTCACCTCCAGGATATGGTTCCGCAAACTAAGACGGAAGCACATCAGAGGACATTCAATATAGATAGTTGTAGAACTCCACCCCACCTTTTTGTAGATGCTATAGCTTCCAAACTGTACCGCCGAGTAAGGTACGATTCGAATACAGTTTGTCCCATTCCCCCGCATAAACCCTCTCCATCCTTCTTCCTTCCACATCTTGATTAGAGCTTTTGATATGGACAATTTATAGTCGTTTCTACCGGCATTCTGAACTTGGAGGAGAATTTTTAACCGTTCGAGGGGTGAAACAATTGTTCGGGACACTGCGCCAGCCACTCCACCAGCAATGAACGCTGCAACCACGGGGTCCGAGAGGAGATTCCTTGTATCCGCATACCACGAAGTAGGGTTGGTCTGGACCGCTACCTAGTAGCGAATTTAACAAATGCGTTTTGAAGAAGGATCGCCAAAGGAACAGATGGCCTACCTGTGGTGGTAGACTGGACAAGGTACCACTTGATTGCTTTGTAGAACGGTCGGGCGGGGAGCCCTCTTTACCGTCAAGACTCATCGTAGGCGAGCCAAAGGATTTGCGAGGCCTATCACAGAAAGCAGGATATCAGCGAATGACAACAGTCAAATAGGGAAAACAATCACCTTAACCATCAGGTGGTGGTCAGTTGAAGTATACGAAAGCAACCCGCTATCTGTGTAGGGATTGTTGTGAGAAGGGTGGTTTGATCTGGGGAGAGCCGTTGGAGCAATTTGATCTCTGCATCACTAAACTAGCCGTGGACAATGGTAAGCAGCACAATAAATTTGGTCTAAAATTGCCGGTACATACAAATCAGCATGGAGGTTAAATAGTTAGTTGAGAGCAGAGCAATAATGCTAATAATCAGAGATTTGGTGTTGCAGTCGGATGCGACGCAGAACAGAAACACAAAAGAGAGAGAGAGGTAGATTCACTGATAAGGTTAGGAGGAGGATTGTTCTAGGATAGAATTGAGAGTTCAGCACAACCAAATTGACAATGCCCATACCCCCCCGGTGTTAGAGGAGCAAGATTGGCACTCTTCCTGCGTTTTTTTCCCGATGCCACTGCTGCAACTGAGAGTGAACCGCTGACCGGGTGCTAATTATCTAAGCAAACCAAGCCTTTCAGCCTCGCTTATATAAGCAAGAATGACTTGTTTGGAAAAGGCTTTTTTTTCTTCCTTACCATCATAACAACCACCGTCCATCACCAAACGGCCATCATCTTAACCCATCATTCTCTTATCTGCTTTGGCTGTATTGTGGATTGTGTCGAATTGAGTTTCTTAGATTTTACACTGGCCACTAGTCTGGTTGTGTGCCAGCTCATATAGCATCTTTTCCTCTTTGCCTCTATCACTCTTAGAATCTCTACATCATGTCTCGCAGTGGTACCACTCTCTATGTCACCGGCTTTGGCCACGGAACTCGTGCACGAGAACTTGCCTACGAATTCGAACGGTACGTCCCATTCGTGGATGCTCTCCTCCATCGATAACCCACGAACGATCCTCTCACTTCCGTCTTCTCTCGAAACGTGATCTTTCGATACAATTTTCTCCTTCCCTTCACCTATCGAGCGCACGTCGTTGCCGACGTCCTGGTCGCCTGCATCCCCTCTTATGAATGCTTCTATCTGACAGCAGCCTCCCACCTGCATATTTCACGTATTATTTGACTCGCTCGTGTCTTACAGCTTGGAACCCTGACCCTGGCTACCTGCAACATAATGTGTACGTAATATATACTGACGACATTCTCAAGATATGGCCGCCTTGTTCGGTGCGATATTCCGGCTCCTCGGACTGCCGCTAGTCGTCTGTAAGTACACTGAACTTTGAGTGTGGCCGCCCCAGACATGCTAATATTGTACATAGCTTTGCGTTTGTTGAGTATGAGAGCCGACGCGATGCAGACGATGCTTATCACGAAATGCACAACAAACGTATTGGTCGGGACGATGTTTTGAAGATCGAGGTGAGCTCTAGGCTTTCTTACCCATTTGATCACCCAGTGGCTTATCTCAGTCTAGTGGGCTCGTACACCGCCTTCTGCGTCGTGGCGTTTTGATTCCGGTCGCGATCGACGCCGTGATCGCACTCCACCCCGTCGAGTGCGCTCGCCTTCTCCTCGCCGTGGCAGGGGTGACTATTCTCCCCGCAAGGAAGATCGTCGTGATCGCGATTACGACCGCAGAGATCGCGATCGCTCTCGGAGCCCCGATGACCGTGATCGTGAGCGTGATCGGGACCGCGAGCGTGATCGTGAGCGCGATCGGGACCTCAGAGACGATCGCGATAGGCGGGATGAAGATCGCGAGAATGGGACAAATGGTGATGACAGGAAAGGTAAATCTCTTCACAGAATGATAGCTTTTTAAATTACTATCTCACTAAGCTGCGGACAGTTCCCTTGGATTCTCCCACCCCTGCTCATGACGAGCTAGATACTGCTGAGTAGGTCAAGCCGGTTAAACGGTAGTTGTGCCCTAGTTCCTACCGAGGGTCATTACTCCTGTGCACGCGTCTCTAACCCAATCACCGACTTTGAACGATGATTCAACCAACCTCGGCGCACATTCGTGGAAGGATATTGAAATATTACCGTCGTATCCAATAAAGGTCATGCCCCAGTTTCTTTCCCTATTCGCTTCGAGCAGTCTGTCTCATTCTCCTTTCCTGCGTTTGTTTTTATGTTTGCTTGCCGGTTATTACACGTGGCATATTTCTTCCAAGCCAAAGAGCTCGGTAGTGTAGGTCTTCTCCCATTCGGCGGTATACATTTATTGAAATAGTGATATTTCCGACGGGTTTCTCGCGAAATATCCGTTTTATCCCTCGCCCGCGGCCCTATCGTCGTCGATGCTTGTTGTCCGTCCTAACTGTCATTCTTTGGGTGTGAATCATCAATGGCGGTTTGTCTTCTTATCTATGTGTTTTTGCTCTGTTTCATCTAGTTGTAGGATTTAATTGTTTTCGGGCTGAAAATTGTCATACCCATGCGTACTGCACATTTCTCTCTAGGGCCGACCTTAGCTGGCCTGCATCACCTCTTTTAGACAGCTCTGGATGGATGTCGAGTCAGTGGGTACTACGTACTTTGTTCTCTGGAGTTACTCTTTGAATCTTCCATACAGAGTACTTTTAGCCAAAATGCAAAGCACAGCATGGAACCAACTTCCTTTCACAGAGTACAGTCCGAGGAAACCAGCAGATACTTCATTGCTTATCTGTTAATCCATACGTTACTTCTGCTACCAAGGGGATCCAACCGACAAAAAATGATTGGCATGATACAAATTTTAATTTAGGTAGCAAAGCCTAGGAATACAAACATACTCTGCACACCGCTATGTGTGGTAATATTGGCTCTCAACTTGGGGATTTACGAAGATGGAGAGATGCTGATAACTCCACAAAATTCCTACTCGCATTCAAAAGCAGAGTCGAGAGAACAGAGTACAGGGTAGGGAGTACATACACAATAGCCTTTTGTCCTTTGGGTGGTCCACCAGAGCTAGTTATGGTGACAAATACTAACTAGCGGTTCTCTGCAGTCAGCAAGCCTACTCCAAAGTTTGTCTTGTAAAACATAAAAATATACAGAGTATGGAGTACTCCGTACCAAGTAGTGAAATCTTTAATACTTTGTTAACAGGTTATCACTCTGTGTTTTTGTATTTGCTGCAACATCAACAAGTTTGCAAAGTGTTCGGTGGATTACCTGTATGCAAGTTATTGCAGCATTGACCCTGACTTGAACCCCCCAGGGAAAATGGGAACTCCATCAATAGCCTCCATTGGTATCATTGGCAAATCGGTAAACCCATGTCACACTCTTATTTCTGTCATATGGGCGAGATGCTTATGGCTTCATAGGATAATCTCCTCCATATTTCGGTGTTTCCACCTCATCAAAGCGCACAGGTTGAGTTTTCTCTAGCGTTCAATTCATCTCTTGATGTACTTGAATTGCGCCAACATGACACCTCTGTTGATCAAGATTTTGGGTTACTACATGCCTTGGATGAGAGATTTTCAGTTTATGGCTGGTTGACAAACACCGGCGTAAAATTTTTGATTATTGTTGATTTAGAGGGGAGAGTGGCTGTCCCTGGAAAGTTCGCACCGCTTGCGGGCCTTCGAGAGTCTGATTTGAAGCCGGTAAGACTGTGAACGCAGGCATGAATGGATTAAGATCTAACTATGGTCCAGGCTTTTCGCGCATTACAGACAGCATATATGAAGTTGTTGCAAAATCCATTTTATGATCCAGACAGAAATAATACTGATTGTGGAGAGCCTGCAACCAGTAACATAGGGATCAAAAATCATCATTTCATTGCTGAAGTTAACCGTATTGGTGAATTGTGGGTGCCTGGCATGGTGAATGTTTAAAGCTCTTGGGCCAGTGCAGTGCAGAGATCTCCGGTCAAAGAGAACATTACAGCATCCTTCTTTAGTTAATTTGATGCTTTTGCGACATGACATCGAAGGTCCTCACAGACAGCCAGACCGATTTGACCTGAGAAAAAGAGGTGAACAAGACTTTTTACCTTAAGCAATTGTTGACTGCTTCCTTTCCTGGAATCCAACCAGTAGAGGCTATCATGAAAGTTACGTGTAAAGTACACCCATCCAATACCATATCGAATCCTTTCCTTTGTACTCCGTATATAAGGCATGCTCAAATACTCCGTATTACGCCGTCACTTGCCAACGTGCTCTAGACGGTGACAAAGCAAGCTTGGCCTTGGCTAAATGCCTTAGGTAAGCATGCGTCATTCCATAATAAGACTAGCGTAGGGCTTCGCTCCCACACTCCACATCAAAATCTCTTCGACAAAAACCACGAGGAGTCAGTCTCGATTCCACGGTGGTGTGAGAAACTGCCTAGGAGTGAAAAGTCCGTTTCCGATAGCAGCCATGGGTAGGTTGTGTTGTTCTTTCAAATAATAGGATATTTGCTTGGTGCGATTTTCGACTACTAGAGTAACTGTACGCTGACAATTATTGATCTCATCAGGTATCGATTTGGACCGTCACCATGTCCGCAGCACCCACCGGAAGGCGCCCAAGAGCGACAATGTCTACCTTCAGCTCTTGGTGAAGCTCTATCGCTTCCTTGCCCGTATGCACCTGCAAGTTCTGCATAACCAATTTGGCGCCGCTAACAACGATGTCATCACCGTAGGCCGCACTGATTCTAACTTCAACAAAGTCGTTTTGCGACGCCTCTTCATGTCCCGTATTAACCGTCCTCCAATGTCTCTCTCGCGCTTGGTCTCTATTGTAAAGAAGGACAATTCCGAAGAGTCTATTAGCAACAAGACCATCGTTGTCGTTGGGACCATCACTGATGATGAGCGTCTACTTGTTGTTCCAAAAATGTCGATCGCTGCACTTCGAGTTACCGCCACTGCCAGAGCTAGAATTGAGAAAGCTGGTGGTGAAATCCTTACCTTGGATCAACTCGCGCTCAGAGCTCCAACTGGTGCAAACACTATTCTTCTTAGGGGAAAGAAAAATGCCAGAGAGGCTGTCAAGCACTTCGGATTTGGTCCACACAGTGGGAAGGTTAGCCATGTCGCTTTTCAATGTCATTTTTGTACCAACAGCTGACTATGTTATAGAAACCAAAAGTTGCCAGCAAGGGCCGGAAGTTTGAGAGAGCTCGGGGACGGAGAAGATCGCGTGGCTTCAAAGTTTAAATCTTCTCATTGTGTGAGGTCGTCATCCGCCGGTGGTATCCTAGCTAGCTGGATCCCAAAGTCAATCGAAACGAGTTTCCTAATTTCAAACCTATTTTAGCTATAGGATACTACGCATAGGGAACATATCTTGTATTGGCGAGGAGCATGTCGATCATATGTTTCCCGAAATGATTCAATCATGATGTATGGAGAAGCTGATAGTATGGATTGATGGGGTCAAGAGCAAAATATCCATCGATGCCTCATTTATTTCCTATGTGCAGGCTATACTATCTGTCGCCTAGGGGCAGTTGTTGGTGCTTCCATTGCTTTCCGGCTTCGCCTTGAAACTCTCCTGCGGTATGGCCGTTGCCTCTAATCAAATATTTGTAAATTGTTAAACCTTCCAAACCCACTGGTCCTCTTGAATGGATTTTGTTGGTGCTTATGCCAACTTCTGTGCCAAATCCATATCTCATCCCATCGGCCAGTCTGGAGCTGGTATTCCAGTATACTCCTGCACTGTCGATGCCGATCAAAAATTGTTCTGCCGTTTCTTTTGACGACGTTATGATAACGTCGGTATGTTTGGACGAATGTGCGTTGATATGTGCCATTGCTGCATCAAGGGAAGATAAGGACGGCGAGGCAGACACGGTTTTTATAGCCAAGATTAGATCCAGAAATTCAGTATCATAATCGGATTCCATTGAATCTTGTAGAAGGGCTGCTTGACTCGGCGACAATGATGCTACAAGTGCGGACTTCGATTTCCTGTCACAGCGCAACGAAACGCCATTTTGGAGCAATGCTTCCGCGATGGAAGGCAATAGTGTGCATAATGCGTCTTCATCAACGAGGAGAGTCTCGACTGCATTGCAAGCCGCAGGGTAATTCAGCTTTGCGTCGAGGATAATCTTTTTCGCCATTGTAATATCTGCATCGGAACGAAGATAGATTGAACAGAGACCATCCGCATGTCCAAGCACCGGAATTTTGGTATTGGCTTTTATAAATCGGACCAGCTCATTCGATCCTCTAGGGATTACGAGGTCGATGCATTTATCCTGAGCCAGCAGGGGAAGAATCACATCCCTCGATTCGACGAGCTGGATGGCTGTGTTGGGAACATCTGTAGACAAAAGTGCCTTTGACACAATGCGCGCTATTTCTCGGAACGACTCAATAGATTCCTTCCCTCCTATAACGAGGTCAGAAAGAAACTCTCAATATGATCCAAAACACGTACCTTTAAGTATCGCAGCATTTCCAGACTTGATCGCCAGCGCGGTGATATTGGCTATGACTTCCGGCCGAGCTTCAAAAATAATCAGCAGGACGCCGATTGGACAGCTTACTCTTTCGAGGACCAAGCCATCATCGAGCAAGGTTCTTAAAGAGACGTTTCCCACTTTATATAGTAATAATTACAAAAAAAAAGGTCAGCCTGGCGTCTCAGTGGAGACTGTCGCATTGACAAACGCGGATAAAAAGAAACTTACATGGGTCCTCAAGACTCCGAACATCAAGGATCCCTTGTAGCATGTCATCATATTTCCCTGGACGGCTCAAATCTAGCCGTTTGAGGATGCTTTGACTGAGCGTCCCTTCATTCACAGCCTTTGTCGCAACCTCAATATCGCGAGCGTTCGCCTGTAAAATAGCATCCTTATTTTGGTAGAGAGCCGTGTGTATTGCAGTTAAAGCGTCATTGCGAGACACAACTGGAAGAGCTCCCAACTGCCTTGAAACGCTCGAGGCAAGTTTGGCTATTTCCGATGGAGAGGACTCTGTTAAGGACATTGTGCAAAAGTCGGTATTATGCGAGAGTACGGAATGGACGACTGGACGACTGGACGATATTGTCGGAATTGAAACCTACCCACTCAAAATAACTCGCTGAACTCTCGAAAAAGTCAGACTCATTATAATTGTGCCTTGGCAGCCAAGGGAATCCAACCTCGGCGACTCGAAGGCTGTGGGTACGTACGGAGTCGCTGCCACTCAACTCTGTAGCGAAGGATCCAAGGACACATATGTGATCTATGGCCGGGAACAACATAACCTTCTACTCGGACCCTGCATATCGTGGTGGAAGCACTTCTAATCGCCCAAATCCGTAGCCGACCTACCTTTAGGGATAAACTAAAAATGGGGAAGGACAGCCGTTTATGCTGTACACGTTACTCCGTACATCTACTTCAGGGAAATCGCTACATGATTATGGTGGGGGTGATAGGCCATCATCTCTTTATAGACAGCAGGTGACATTCCAGGGAAAAGAAAATACAAAGTAGAAAAGTACAAAGTCAAAGGTGAGAGAGCAGAAAGAAAAGAAAGTGTTGTTCGACAAAGTAGTTATTTTGTGTGTAGGGAGTACGGAGTAGTTCCACCCATAGGAAGCTTGCAGATGGCAAGGCGCTAGTCTCTATGTAGCTAGTCTCTAGGTTCGGATCTTCTTTGATCTGATGTACGGAGTACAGGCGGCCGAGGTTTCCTTCCAACTTATGACTCGTACTCCGTACGCTAGTTGAGAATTGAAAGCAAGAACGGAGTACTCCGTACTCCGTACTCCGTACTCCGTACAGATTGTGGACAAAAGCCCTTGTTCTCCGTACTCTGTATTTGTAAGGCTTTGTGTAATTTAAATGTAACCCAACCAAATTGGTAAATTTCATACTCTGTACGCCGTACTCCGTACTTCATCTTTTTCATCTTGTCGTTTTCAATTTCAGCATCTTAGCATTTTAAATCTGTTAATATATATCTCTACTTAATATTTTAGACTGACCGTTGGGACCGGGAAGGGAAGGAATTTTCCGACGGCCCTGAACCCATCTCAATTAAGACTGAGAGATCCCAATCCAATCCCCCCTGGTAGTGGTGGTTTAGAAGAGTCGGAGTTCAGCAATGCAACGCGCAAAAGTCTTCTCCATAAGCTCGATCCGCATGTTGGCAGACCTTCCCACCAGTGAGTGATGTGGGCTTGCCGATATTGAGATCCTCCATCCTGGCTGGGCCGGTGCACGAACAAAATGAGGTCGTGGTTCGACTCGGACTCAGCCCGTGTTCATTGATAAGTTAGGGCCTTCCAGGTTACTATTCAGAAATGTCTAACTTGCTTCCCTCTCGACATGACATGCTGCATGATCATGGCCATGAATAAGTACTGCAATCTCGCAGAGGAGCTACGATCTTGCAGAGATTGTGATGCTATTTCTGCGACCTCTCTGCCACCATCATCTTCTCCTCCTCTCTGGTCACTCTCTATCAGTTACAATGGAGTATATTCCCAGGTGGTAGACAATGGAAGAAATCTAATACTAAGCTATACGGAGATGATCCATACTCTTTGAATGCACTGAAGAATCTAGATGTTATTGGCTAGCAAAGCACCTTTCCTGACCTACCAATTTTTCTTTTTCTCTTCTATTTCCTTTTTACTTCCTCTCTTTATGTCAAACTGAATAGAGCAGAGCTTTCATCCATGGCTTTCTTGTTAATTATGCAAAGAACTCTACCTTTGTCTGGCTCTTTGGGGTTTCCTGAAAGCTAAAATGGCCTAGGATGGCGAGATTGACCAAAGAGGAGAGCAGCCGGCGGAGGAGAGGAGGAGGAAGAGGTGGCCCTTTTAGCTTGGAAATGCTTAATAGACTGCAGTAATTGGCAGTTTTGTGGGAGAAATGACTAAAGATTTCGTATCCAGGCGAATACAGCATAGCTCAGGCACTTGCAACCAGCTCGAAAGAAAATGGCAGCTGTTTGGGGGAAAGAAGGCTGTGCTCCGCGTCTTTGTCTTGGAACAGAACCTTCAAGTACAATGGCGACACCGCGACTAGCTCGCAACGTCTGCTAGATGCAAGCCTGCTCCACCAACCAAGCGACAACCTTTCCGAGTTACAAAGCCACACGCCACCCCAAGTGCTCAAAGACTTGATGAATGCTGAGGACCCGGGCCATTGCACCTTTTTCAACCCAAGAGTGAAACTCAATTTACCGCGGACAACAACAAGATGGAGTGTAGAACAAGAGCGCGAATTGACAAATCCCCGCAAAGACCAACCCGATTGGTGACCCAGACCTGGGTAAGGTTGCAGAGCTACAGGGACATTGGCTGGAAGATTTTCAATTGAGAAGTTCAGGGTTGATTCGTGGGACTGGCAAAAATGGAACAACAAAGACCTGGAGGTGCGCGGGATTGAGGACGACGCGCAGAGAGAATCAAACCTACAGCTATTCCTTTGCATGAAGCTGCAATGGACGCCATTCATGAATGGTCGCCGGATCGTCTCAGCAAAGCCACTGGAAACAAATTTGTTTGTATCAGGTCTGCAGGTGAGCCTAACCAAGCATTATTTTCTTTCTTGTTCTATTTTGGTCAATTTTTGCTTCCTTACCAAGCTTTTGTATTACAGCCAATCTATTATATATTGCTAGGTGTCCGCCTCAGCAGTGAATATAATGGAAATGAGAAGGCTCTTGATGAAAGTCTCTGTCAGATCAGAAAGCAGTTTCCTCTAATTTCTGTTGAAGATGCGATATGCGATTTGCGAGACTACAAGGAAGGCGTTTGAAGATGCTAAAAGATGGCTCAAGGGCTCTAATGAATGCACAAAGTTGGTTATTGTTGTTGATGTCAAAAAAAGGATATCAAGAGAAAGAACCGCTGAAACAACAGACTGGGGCCTTTCTAAGGATGTACTTGGCCGGCTCAACTCGTTTGATCTCACCGAACATATCCTACAGTGGCATAAGGATAACAAATGTTCGCTAGTTGGAAGCTTCCAAGCATGTTTCTACCTCTACTCTCGAAACCAATAGCCGCAACAAGTGTGGATATGCGAATTCTCCCCAGATGAGCTTGAGCCAGGATGTTTCATATGTGAAAGAAGCGGGGATGTTTATATCACACAAAACGAGCTTATACTTGAGCTGGAGGAATCCGACTATTTCCCGCTACTTCTCCAGGAGTTATCACCCAAAACGCGAGAGCGTCTGATCAATCATGATTTCAAAAGAGCATCTGATGAAGCTTGGGAGAACCTGAAGGAGATGGGGAAGATACCCGGTCAAAAGAACACCAATCACTGCACTTGTACAACCTGTGAAAGAACAATCAGGTGTCTAAGTCATATGAGTTCACCAACAGGCAGGCCGTCGCCGCTCGAGATAGCATAGTTTTCCTTCCAGCTCCCATGCAGCAAAGAGTCTTCGTTCTCACGTGGTTATCGGATATAAATCGCTCAAGCGCCATGATTGTCTTGCCTGAGATTGATCCCGTGTTTTGCTTGTCTGTTTATGAGAGATCGAGTGTTATCCCCTTCAAATAGAATATCTAGCTCAAATCTATCTGGTAAGGTGATAACCTTCCTAGCAGAAGAGTTTCACATCATTCACTGTATCAGGCCGTTCTGTCTCTCAACAAGTTACTTTGTGTTCCCTCTTCTCTACCCTTTTCTGTCCTCAGCGGCAAGGTTTCTCTCACACGCGGTGGCTTCACTTTCAAGTCCTTTGTCTGATATTTCTGTCTTGGAGTCGATGAAGTTCCTTCCCACACGGCCGATTCTCTCCCTTGGTCAGGATTTATATCCACCAGCAGTCTGGTTCCTGTTCCGCAGTTTCAATACTGGTCTTCACGCCACAACAAACTGAAGAAACATTTGGCAACTCTGCATCGCATTATCACGCAGCGTACCAGTATCATGTCCTCGATGTTGAACGCTTTATATAGATCGCAGATATAAACCAGATGACAAACGAGCTGTACTTGGCTGTGGGCCAGTATGGGTGGCAAAGCGGCCAAGAAAGCTGCTGGCAACGGGCGCGTCGTCGGGGTTAATATCAGTGCCCGCATTCTCGGACATGCCAGCCGATACCTTGAGCATGCTAGCCTGGGTGGCCAAATCGCTGTACCATTCATCCCGTCTGATAAGTGTGAAAGATTTAACAAGATTCTGGCCCTTTGGGACTTTGACGATCTCGACGCCTATGCACATGCAGAGATACAGTGTGGAGCAATTGCCTCTCGCCTGGCGGATCCATCATCATCGACCATTCCCACGACCAAGAAGATACAGCATCCTGTGAAGTCCCTCGAGTTAGCTCACCGGCTTTAGTGAGAGGGTTCTCGGCGGCTGATGAGAGAGATGGATTGAATGCGAAGTGCAGTTTCGTCAAATGGTCCACAAGGCTGATCTAGTGTCCTGGTCTACAGTCAGCCTCTATTCCCCTGATGGCTACGGCAACCTGTTTCCAACTCCAGGCTCAGCGCATATGGGAGAAACGAGGCATCCAGAGATCCATGGCTCGGGATTTCCTTCGAGCTTTGATCCAGGAGCAGGTTGAAAGGGAAAACTTCGGCCCTAATCAGATATGCTACCGCAAGTTGGTAATCATTGTGGGGGTAGGGGGACGGGAAGGCTGACAGATAGGATGTACTCCGTACACCTTCTCTTTCCTTTTTTTTTTTTTTTTTTTTTTTTTTTTTTTCTCTTACTTCTATCTGCATTCTCTCCTGATGATTATTAGCTGTTACACTGAATAGGCCATAGAATAATGAAGACATTTCTGTGTCGAAAGCCAACCCAAGTACGGAGTACGGAGTACTAGCTCAAATGACCCAAATCCGCGGTAAGTTTTTCATACGGGAGTTACGGTGTCTCGCCAAGGAAACAGCAATTTGAGTCCATATTCAATTCTTGTGGAATAATCTGTGCAAAGGACTCTACCCCACGTCTGCCATTATTGAATTTCCAATTTTCATTAATAAATCTTCTCCTACTTCTCAGGCTGGATAACAAAGGAGCCGCAATTTCCTGCTGCTTTCCCATTTTCTATTGGTCTGGTTGCCAAGAAAAAACGCAATGCGCAAAGTAGCTTAATGTTTGCCATAGATGGTAATTTAGTTACCTAGGGCGGAGTATGGAGTACTGTACAAGATATTACCAACCCTGGGCAAGTGTGGCATAAAGTGGCGAAACTGGAAACATTATAACTTCTCCAAGGTTCTATCATTTCTTAGTAGTCATATCACAGCCATCATCATCCGGAATTTTGTGACTAGGTATTACCTACCTCGAAACCCGACTTTTTGATTGCCGAGCCACCGTATCTGTTCCGACCTACTCTCTCATAGCGCCCCGGAATGTTTCGCAGAGCCATCACGACCATTTCTAGGTCGGCTGCTGGACAGCTCTCGCGACGCCCGATTCGACCAACTGTAGCATCCAAGACTTTTGCTCCCATCATTTTCCAACAGATTTCCCGAAGCTACCACGAAAAAGATAAGCTGCCTTATTCCATCCCAATCTCCCAGTTCGATACACTCCTCTGGCTAACATTCAAAGCACTGCTTGACCACTATAGCAACCCTCGAAATGTGGGATCAATGCCGAAAACAGATCAGGATGTTGGTACAGGGCTTGTCGGGGCTCCTGCATGCGGAGATGTAATGAAGCTTCAGATCCGCGTTGACAAAAACAGCAATACAATCAGCGATGTAAAGTTCAAGACTTTCGGCTGCGGAAGTGCCATTGCCAGTTCTAGTTACTTAACGGAGCTCGTGAGAGGCATGACTTTGGAGGAAGCTGCGAAGATTCGCAATACAGAGATAGCGAAGGAGCTATGTTTACCCCCAGTAAAGCGTGTGTGCCCAGTGACCCGCCAGACTTCTTCTGATGATACTAATACTCCGCAGTGCATTGTTCTATGCTTGCAGAAGATGCAATTAAGTCAGCCATATCCAACTACTATACGAAAAACCCTAAAGCCGCACCGACAAATCTCTCAGGCACAGAGTCTACCGTTCCCCGAGTCGAATCTCGACCTACCCCCAGTCCAGGAAGTGAAGCAAGTAGTTAAATCAATTCGATGGCTCTCTTTTCTTTTCTTTCTGCTTTACCCGCCTTTATCCGAAATCAATAACGATGGGGTGCTTCTATCACATCTGGAGTTTTCAGCTTCATAGGGATAAGAGTAAAATGCGTTTATCTCGTGGTTAGTGCTAATCAAAATCATACGTTAATGATACTACCACTTGTCTGAGAGAATCCGGTTATCCGTCAAGGTTGTCCGCCGATATATTATCTACATGATTAAAGGAATACCTCTCCTTAATGCTTCTCCTTTATAGCTAACCCAATGCTGTTGAATTTTCGAGTTCGTTGCCATTATTACTCAATGCTCAATAGTGTTCAGCATTACCGTAAATCGGCCATGATATCTTCCTCAAATTCAACCGCACTGTGATTTTCTCCCATCAGAATACCACCTTCGTTATCACCTCCGTTCTTTCGCCACTTGGATGTTCTCAGACCCTCGATGTACTCCCGTCCTAGTTCCAACTTCACATCGGTTCCATGTACACATCGCAACAAAACGTCCATACGGTGCTTTTGCTCCATTAAACAATCCCACAATCCGGCTTCGTTGGCACCTCTCGTAGCGTGGTAGTTATAGCCAAAACGAAGAATAGTTGGAGTTGAAGGATGTGATTTCTGGAAGAGGCGAGCATCCAACCGCTTTGTCGCGAGGAGCTCCGCCACAAATAGTTCCATAGGCCAACCATCGCCATCACTAAGGGATAGACGCGCCACATCCGGCAAAGAAAGTGCTGCGAACGACCGTTCAAGCTTAAGGACAGAAAATCGACAAAAAGAGTCGAGTAATTGGAAAACAAGACCCGTGTTATTATCCTAGTCACCAGTGAGATGAAGTTCAAAAGCCACCATACGCTAAATGCCTAACAGTAACTTACTCTACGCCATATTTCTATCCCTGCACTCACTTCAGCCTTTAGTCTTAAAAAGGGGCCTATTTTGAAAACCAAGGCTAAAGCACTGTATGGCTTTGCCAGCGCCTTATATGCCTTTGCCACCGAACCGTTGACGGTGTGCGGCATGGCTGGTACCTAAGGGATGTATTGATTTAGTTATTCCCAAGGTGTAATGGTAGGGGCTTAGATTATCTTACCATGCCTTTCTCTAAAAGATTAACGAGAATCCATTTTTTATAGGCTTCCACCATGATCATGCTTGCAAAGCTGCTAGTAGGTGTAGAAATAACAATGTCTAGGAAATGTCGCGCTTTTCCCCACCGCTTTAGGCCGATATAGATCATGGCGCCATAGAGAAAGTATTCGAGAGGTGTTTTGTAGTTCATTGACCCCGGCAATCCTGAAGATAGCGTAATGTAAGAATTGCTAGATGGATGCTGCTGAGATGGAAGTAATTGAGATCGGTTGAGGAAGACCTTGTCAACAGCAGCCGGGAAGTGGTAAACATCCCTGTCCAGGATACATATGGCGGGCAGATAGCATCGTGCAAGTAAACATAGTCGTGTAAAGACTGTATGAGTAGATGTGAAAGTGGAACAGGAGGGATCTAATCGAAGTATGGCTTGCTGAATGGGTTTAACAACTGCGCATGGCTTTTTCCTCCCTGTCAATAATACAGATAAAGAGGCTGCAAACATTCCATCCAACATACCTGTGATGAAAATTCACCGGCGTTTGCCACATACTCAACAATTCTGTTGAATTCAAGGCCAGCATATCTCACTTGAACAGGGTCAAATGTGTGTAGAAAAGCTACAGTTTTGCACCATATACCACCACCAGGGCGTATATTATCAGGAAGGGGTTGCTTATCCGTAGGTCTCCATTCCTGATAGTGAGCCAGTAAGAGAAATAAGTAGGCTAAGGACTGTTTAGCAGGCTCAAGAATCTTTTCATCATCAGCTAGTTAGCAAAGTCAGGTTGGAGAGGATTAAGTTCTTGGAGACTCACATCAAGCGGACTTTTGCTTGCGGTTTGTCCAGTCAAATCTTTGGGGGGAATCTGACGGAGACGAGAAACCAGAGCACGAGCCTTTTGGTTATATTCACATTCAGATGTAATTTCAGGTTTAGGGGGCTGTGGGGGGAAGGATAACAGAATAGAAAGCACATCAGCCATCTTGATAGAAAGAGATTGCTAGGAAGGAAATCACTATAATAGACAAATTAGAGGCTAGGTACGATGGGAAACAGTCAGTCTAGCAGGCAAAATTAAAAGGCTAGGCTATGGGGCCTCAGTAGTAGGATCTATCTGAAGGTGCCTGTCAGTTGGAGTGAAACATAGTGAAGGGCTTAGAAAAATGGGTAACAATTTGAATCAGTTCATCCAAACAATGGGTATGATATCTCAAATAACCCTTGGTGCGGGCTTGGGATATCAAATGTACTCAGTACTGTGCTTCACAACTTCAGAGCACAGTATTACTGGACAACCTTGTCAACCCACGGGAAAAGTGAATTAAAAGAAAATCCCTAGAGATACTTAATTGTCAAGGTAGAAAGTCCTGAGTGGCCCAGAATGTTCATTTGCCAGAGTCTGTGGGATGAAGTAACTAAGAGCAAGAAGATAATGGAGGAACTTACCTGCGCTCAAGTGGAGTAGTTACCTGCACATGGTGCCTGAACTCCAGTAAGCTAATAGGTATGGAGTACGGAGTACCCCGTACAGAGTACTCTGTACGAAGTAGATGTGGTGTTCCACTCAGCGCTGTTGCAGCACTCTCTGCATCAAAATACAATACCGTTACACCGTACCCTAAACTCTATTACTAACTACGTATAATGGACTAACTAATTAGTTACATACTTCCGAAGTTCCAGAGAACATGAACTCGCATGCTCGGCTCATCTCTCCAATGCCAGGAGGAACCTTCCCTAGCTCTCCCAAAGCGGTTGCCCAAGAAGAGCCAGCTGCTAGCTGAATATACCACTGCGAAGTTATGCATTCTTGCCATAGAGCAAGGGCATTGGCCCTATCTAAAGGTACACCAGTTTCCCCGTTAACCCCTCGGGCGCGTAATTACTTATGGTCGGCCTGTAGTGAAAACTCGGCCAGTACTCCCTGCGCTGCAGATTCTGTCACCAACTTGGATTTCCACAGCTTCATCTGCCCAGGCCTCGGCTTCCCTGGAAACCCAAACGCAATCCTCCATGACTCAGACGAAAAAAGACCGAAGAGAAGTGCCGCTTCCGAGCCAGCAGAAGAAGGAGGGTGCCATGCAGTTTGCCTTGTTCGTCTCCTATAACCCATGAAATCATTATATGTTTGCTCTATTCGCTTATCGATCCTGTTTCTGCAGGACGACACTTGACCAGGTCGCAAATTGGGCAAGGCAAAGTTCATTATGGCCGATGACTTTTGGTCTCGCATGTTGTGCAGTGGAAATGATGCATCTATCGACCCCCCGTTACGACCAAGATCGTTTAGGAATTATCTTCAGAGCTTCTCCTCGTCAATCCGATGTCATGATAGTTGCTGGGACTTTGACAAACAAAATGGCTCCGGCTTTGAGACAAGTATACGATCAGATGCCAGACCCCCGGTGGGTGATCAGCATGGGGAGCTGTGCGAATGGCGGCGGTTATTATCACTATAGCTACTCCGTTACTCGAGGATGCGACAGAATTGTACCTGTGGATATATACGTGCCTGGCTGTAAGTAGACCATTGTGGCCATGAAGTGCTCGCCACTAACGTGGTTTCAAGGCCCACCAACGTCGGAGGCGCTGATGTACGGCATTTTTCAACTGCAAAAAAAGATGCGGCACACTCAAATTACCCGTATGTGGTATCGTAAGTGATATTCTGATCTACCTCGATTACGCTTGGTTTTGCGGTTTAGAAGGCGGGCAATATCCGTTCGTTTCACCCGAAAATATTTATGCACCAGCAACAACAGCACTTGGGAAAGGTGTAGATATGCATCCAGAGGCAATGAAACGGGATTTTAATGGTGAACCATAAGACTGTATTGGCCTGTCTAATACTTGAAACTACAGCCAAATTGACGGGGAGTTCAATATATGTACATTTTTTATTTCTTTTTCCGTAGCCGTAATAGCGTAAAGTCCGGAAGTCATACTCCCTGGAGCCGCTAATACTGAATGAATATCGCAGACTCCCTTAAAGTTCCCTGTAATCACTAGGCCTGAGTCTCCTTTGTTTCGCCTGATGACGGTGTGGATTCACCGGTTGTCGGAAATAGGCATTGTCCTCTTCTTTGGCAAATGGTTCACTGAAAGTTGTGCGCTGTTGGTTAGAGAAGGGGGGTATTCCTTGGGGCTGCTGGACCGGGAATGGTGGAAAGAAATGGTTCGAAGCAGGCACATAGACAAGAGAGTTGGGTTGAGCCGAGAATAAATTAGGCGAGGCATGACCACCCATAGGAACCATTGGATGAACCATATTGTCTTGGTAGAAACCTGTCTGTCCTGAGGGCAGATAATTAACTGCGGGCTGCTGATTCCACATATTTCCGGTGTTGGGATATGGATTGAAAGCTGGAAAGCCCTGGTTGACCAACGGATCTGATTGTAATTGTTCCGTTCTTGCTGGGTAATCAAAAGAATTGCAAGGTTGGTTGAAGGACGAAGTTGAGGGATTTGTAGATTCTAACTTGGCGCCCTGAGCCAGGTTTGGACGTTCCTCGGATTTTTGTTTTTTCATTCTCGGGGCAGCTGTGGAATCGACGCTTTCATTCGCTCCTTGCTCTTTGGCGGGACGTTTTTTTGTATTTTTCGGTCCAGGCTCATTTGAAAGCTCTAACGCATCCTCTGATATACTTTTGGAATCGGACTTAGAATCGCCAGTGAGTTGGGCGTCTCCCTGTTTCAAGACTCCAACAGATTTGGCCTCATAATCCTTTATTCTCGCAATCGCATCTTCATCAATAGAGAGGTTATCGAGTAGTACACTCTCAGTATTGCACCCTGGACAAACGAAGTCGCTTTCAATCAATGCATTTGTGATACAATCATTGCAATAAGTCTTTTTGCAACACGGAGTCTTAGTTGGGGCAAGGAATAATCGCTTGTCAATGGGACAAAGAAGATTAAGAGACTGAAGATTCTTGCCATTTTCAATAGCTGCAAGCTCTGCCGCCGCCGCCGCCGCGGCACTAGTCTTTTCTTGATATAGTTCCCATGACGCCTTGTCCGGCTCAGCAATGACAAAATCCCCATCGGCATTGACCATGACTCCAGAAAGCTTTGGGTCCTCATCGGAGCCATCGAGTGCACGGGGCTCCGGTTTGTCTACTTGTTTCTGAAAGGAACGTGGTATCCCAGTGGAACGCTTTACACGGTAACGACCATCGAACCTCGGATCGTTATTGGTGGGGCATGCTTGAATCCAATGCCCTGTATTTCTGTCAACGGGGATTTCACACAAACCAAAGATATTCCACCCTTACCTTTCTGCCTACAGCGATAGCACAAGTAGCCTGGAGGAGGGGGATGCTCCGGAGCGGTAGCAAAAGTTCCTCGATTTCGGTTGGAAGGTACTGGGGTCGCGCTTCAGGCCACCGTCAGCAAAACTTGCTAAACTCTCGGTATATCAGCTAATCAAAAAGTGCACGAACGTAGCCATATCCTCTTGTTGCTCCCTCCACTGAGATTCTTGAAGATTTAAAACTGCCTTGATCTTCTCGTCTTCTGACTGCACACTGTTCAAATCAGGCCTTAAATTGCCACCACCACTTCCTGGGCGACTCGTAACGTTCGGTTCAATCCGGGAGGATGGGCGCCCAGTCACCGGTACTTTACCAGAGATGTAACGAGCTGCGGTTCCTTTACCTGGTCTTGACGCTGGAAGCCTGCGAGCAATAATGGAGGTCGACCGGGGAATTATAGCAGTATCATCTTCGTATTCTAGAGACCACACGTCAGCGGGATAACACCACATAATGCTACTCAAGAGACCCGGACCACGTACCTTCGTTGGTGTCCTCATTATAAATGGCAAGATCAAAATCGGAGCCATCCCCTAGGCGATTTTGGCTGATAATCTCTCTTTTCAACTCAAAAACAGAGATTCCAGTACCATCAAACGATACCCTAGAGGGCTCTTTCTGAGATTTGAATTTGAAATGGACGGAGGAACTCATGGTCAGATAGTGCAGGTTGCAAACAATTGACGATATTTGATTGTTCCAAGTTGGGTGTCCTAAAGCAAGAAAAGCAAAGTGTGTACGGAGTATACAACTGTGTTAAAGAGTAAAAGAGCACCTCCCTTCAGAGCCACCTATACTCACCAGTAAAGGGATTGAGCGACAACAAATAATATACAGTATAGGCTGAGGGGCTTGCGTCTATGACAACAGTCGTGTGTGTACAGAAGATATGTCTGGAAATTGGCAGGAATAACGAGCACAGTTCTCAAGCCCAAATGCCCAAGATTACTGAATGAACATAATAATCCCAGGTGCCTGCTCTTTCTGCCGTATTCTGCATTACCCGGTGAAAGAAAGAATGTGGAACACTCAAAAGTGTGCACCAAAGATGTCTTGATAGCAGAAGGTCGGAGATATCATCAGTTTAGAAGGGAGGCAAACTGGAAACCTGGATGCTTAACCAGTGGCGAATAAGACTCGGCTGTGACAAAAGGAAGTAATCACATCTGAGAGGAAGCCATGGGGTTGTACATCTTTATTCAAATAGAAAAACTGTGAATTATAAAATTCTGAAGTATGTAGTCTGGTAGAAAGTAGAAATAGTGTTTAAATATGTAGCTATTAGTTGGGGAAGAGAGTCTGACAATGGTCGTCATGGAAGGGAAGGTATGCAAAAAGGTGGTCACTGGGCTAACTTAACTAAGTTAGTTAACGTATTCCACAACCGAGCGGGACAACCAAGCGAGCGGGACACCAAAATACACATACAAATCTCAACTTTTTGCTCTCTTATATCTTAACAAGTCTATGTCTGATCATTATAAAATGAAGAAGATACTATACAGATATAATAAAGTTTGTAAATTATAAGAATTATTTAAATATAATAATTATTTCTTAAGTTATAGTATTTTATTATCTTTTTACTAGCATGTATCAAAGTATCTTCACAAATAATAGAGTTAAATAAATCAAATTGATAATACTGTTTATTAAGTGTCTATATACTCTACATCTAAATTCTAAAGTCTATATTCAACAATGTTGTTGAGATATAAGAGAGCAAAAAGTTGAGATTTGTATGTGTATTTTGGTGTCCCGCTCGCTTGGTTGTCCCGCTCGGTTGTGGAATACGTTAGTTAACATTTCAGAATTAGATAATCAGTAACTAACTAGTTAGTTAACTAGTTAACTAGCGGGTTCCCACTGCTACAGATAGCTCTCTGTACGGAGTACGAAGTATGTATCCAGTACCCCGTACTCAGTACAAAGACTATTAGTTACGCCACTAATTTTATGTCGATTCTTTGACCTCCCATCTTCTATCAAAAAGCGAGCGAGGGAATTGATGCCTTAATTATTTATATAGCCAAGAAACCTTTCCTGAGAATCTATCGATTTCCTTCTTGATATGGTGTATGGGCAAAGATATTAGACCTCTCTTCTCGAGTGTTTCGAGCCCAGGATTTGCAAAGTTCGACAGACCAAGAAATGCCAGGCCTTGCCATGGACGGCCCCAGCGCAATGGCGTCGAGGGCAACAGTCGCTGATATGCACTATGACCCAGCCTCCGCCTCACAACAGGCCAATGGGGGTATTTATCGCAATGGAATCGGGAAGAAATCCCACTCTCCAGTTGATGGGCTACACGATAGCCACATCGGGTGTCTGCACGAACTACCTCCCGAGCTTTCACATATCACCCTTGGCTTTTTCCCCTTCAATAATCTCATTAGTAGAGTTGTTCAGCAGTCGTGGAACGACTTGAATGAGCTCTTGAACGAGATGGGTAGCAGCCAGGCATATCAGACCGGCATATCCTCCCAGTTGTCAGCAACCAAAAATGGAATGAGCGAGAAGTTCCGAGGTGATCAAGCGACTGAAAACTCTCTTAAGAAACTCCGGATTCTTGAATTTACTCATTCAAGACGAGCAGAATTCATCAAGTTGCTAGTTCTTTCACAGTGGAGTCGACAGGCCAACGAAGTGAGCAGGCTTATTGATATCCAAGCTTTTATTCGCATGCGCTCTGGATTTTATGAGGCTGCTCTATTCCATATCGGAAATATGAAGCAAAATCTTATCGTCGCCCAATTAGCCAACCCGGATTTAAAAACCGCTTCACATGTTCTCTCGGCTGGAAAAATCGACGCGTTGCACGGGGTTAGGAGTCCTTTCCCACCTACATCTCGGGAGTTCTTAACTAGAGGCTAACGTTTTATCTGTAGCTCGAATTTCTCTCCCCGCGGCCATTAGCACCAAGCCAAGTGCTTAGATTACTCCGGGGTATCAACAAGCTCATCGACATGCGACTGGCACTACACGATCATGTCCCCGATTCCCTCCAGAATTACTTTGTTCATGATGGAAGGGTCACTTTCATTGTCCCTAACGAGTTTGAAATTGATCTTTCAGTTGCGTCTGCGGCACCATCGGCGCAATTTTTCTTAGTCGATATGAAATTTCTGTTCTTCCCTTCCTCGTTGCCAAAAGGGAGGTTACGAAGTATCGTGGACCATCAAGTCAACTCCACCCTTATGAACGCTGGCCTCGTTGGGTGCTTCAACTTGCTGCATAACCTTATTTTAACACATAAAATAACTATCCTTTTCAAACAGGCTATTGACCTCGCCCGCACGTACTGGTCGGAGCACTTGCGTGTTGAATTGTTCCATCGCACTCTGGTTTTGCAATACTGGAGCAAGAAGCCAGGAGGAAAAAGTTGGATTGAGATAGGAGTCCACAGTGGCCTCAAAGGATCTCCACAGAGTACGGGAACTACCACGTCTTTCTTACAGTTACGTTGGTTTCGTGATAATGAGGAAGTCAGCGCCACAGATATAGATTTCAATTTAACGTTTCTAAGTGCCAAGTCAATTCTTTTCAGCGCTATTTCATTGCACATTACGCACATTTTACGAACCGCC